TCATGTATTCAATTTACAAATGACAATGATTTTGACTTTCAGATCTGTATCATCAGTTCTTTGAATCACAAGGGTTACATGGTAATAACCTTGATTGCAGAACACATCATTCAGGTTTGCCATTTTGTAACAGCTTTTTAATTTTTTATCAACCTATCAAATCGGTGTCTTTTGTAAAATTGTGTTTTGAATTACATATACACTATAAATCTAATATTGAAATATTAAGTTTTAAACGTGTAAAATTTTGACAAAAGTTAATGTGCATTAATTTAAGTTTTTAATAATTTGTTAATATAGTGCAGTCATCAATGTTTTTAAGCTTGCCAAATTTCTTTCCTGCACACACATTTCTTTTCGGTTTTCAAAGAAAATTGGCAAACTATTCTTTATCGGTGACCATAGCAATTTGTCCAATGATGTTCTCTACTTATTTTCAGCTAACAAAATATGTAACGCAATTTACAAGTACCTCTTCATAAAGTCAAGGTACTCCATCAATCTGTCACATGTACACGTCTCATTGCACTCTCGTTCCGAATGTCCAGCCAAACTTTTGCCCATTACTGTGTATTGAAAGTATGATCGTCGCCAAAAAAAGTGTCTTTCCATTTTCGTGTTTAAATATTGAATTCTGCTTGGGTCGGTGCTAGGAGGCATGTACAGTGACATGCACTTTCCATTACCGTTCATGAACAGGCTCAATCAGATCGAGCCTGCAACATTTTACAATTTTGCCGTGTTGGGCTTTCTTAAGGGATTCTGTTTTTCTCTATTTCGTTCTCCTGGTCCGATTGGAGCGATAGTTCAAACACAACAATAAACTTATCCATGTAATATTAATACATATATCAACAAAGATAAACCAATGTAAGAACTTAGTATACAGTTAAGAAAAACAACAACAAAAAAGAGCCACACAGGTCCACTGAAAAGACTTCTAGTAGGACACGTAAAATAGGGCAAATACAGCCCGTAAGACATAAAACAAAAAGCTGGAGATGCCAAATGCACCGTTACCTTTAGGACACCAAACAAAGACGGAGAAGGGCAAAGACCTTAGGACACTGAACAAATGCAATTGAGGACAAAGGCACCCCTTGAGACACCGAACAAAGACAGAGGAGGGTGAAGTCACCCCTTAGGACACCGAACAAATGCAGAGGAGGGAAAGGCACCCCTTTAGACACCGAACAAATGCAGAGGAGGGTTAAACCAACCCTTAGGACACCGAACAAATGCAGAGGAGGTCAAAGGCAACCCTTAGGACACCGAACAAATGCAGAGGAGGGCAAAAGCGAACCTGAGGACACCAAACAAATACAGAGGAGGGCAAAGACACCCCTTAGGACACCGGACAAAGACAGAGGAGGGCAAAGACACCCCTTAGGACACCAGACAAAGACAGAGATGGGCAAAGTCACCCCTAAGGATAACGAACAAAGTCGGAGGAGGGCAAAGGCACTTCTTAGGACACCCAATTAAAAGGCACTCCTTGGGACACCGAACAAATGCAGAGGAGGACAAAGCACCCCTTGGGACACAAAACAAATAGCGGTAGAAGGCAAAGGCACCTTGTAACACACCAAACAAAGATACTAAGAGGGTAAAGCGGGGTTCAGCATGAAGGGTTGTATCAATGAATTTGTCAGTACATTTCATCCAGACAAGTCTTCTTTATTTAAAACTTTTAAGTCATTCAAGAAAATATTTATATATTTCTTCTAGTTTATGACTTTTTTTTATATCTTCCAACATCTTAATTTCAGTTTGGAATTACCTGAGGCATATCTCGACTCATGACTATAACTACAATTCTTGTCAGAAAGATATAATATACCATCTAAGTTGTAAGTTACTACAACATATTTTACCTAGCTTTGTGGCTGTATGATATGCATATATGTATGTTTCTAATGAACACCTTTGCTTATTCAATGAAGAAAAAACAAGAACCAAAAAAATAAAGACGGTTTATTTACAATAAATAACATATTTCTTTGATGTTAGGACAGACGTATTTTTGTAGTCATAAAAAAATGTGTTGGTATGAAGTATTTGATAGAAAAGATACTCACTTTCATGACAAAGAATTCAATTATTTTGTTTATCAATATTTTTATTGTGGTAGTTTTACTCATGACAATAATTATGTGATATTGTTTCTTTTTTTGTACCATGAAATGGCATGTATTTGTGTGATGAAATAAATTATTATTATGATTGTTTCATTTATGATTAAACCAATCGTGCGTTTCTTTCCAGATGCATTTGAAATACATCCTGACCAGTGTGTATGTACTGGTGAGTTTTAACAAAAGTTTCGTACATTGTACGTGTACCACATAAAAACTCCTAATATCTATTTGATAAATTCTGCATAAGTTGAGGGTCATATTTGAGAAGCATGATATGCTTTAAAGGCACATGTCACCTGTTAACAAAAACTCCCTTTTATAGCCATAGCACCCTTAGCAATATTATCTATGTTTCTGATCGTACAAAAACAAATAAGATAAGAGATTTTCTCTTAATCATACATTGAATGTGATTATTTTGCAAAGAATTGTTTCTACGTGGACTTTGACATTGTTGTTAACATGTCGGACTAGTATTGTACGGTTTGCTTGTCGCGTTGGCTCAAACCCCATTCAGAGGCAAGCTGTTGTTTACTTACATTCATTGCTTAGTACTGGTTAGTTCCAGGAGCAGATTTGAAAGTTTATTGCTTCCAAATCAGTCAAACTAAACTAATTTTCATATTATTGATTTCAATAAAGAAATGATCTATTTTTGTATCCTTTGTAGAACGGAGTACATCACGATCAACAAGACATCCAACATCAACCACACCAATGCCAACAACAAGAGCTGCAACTACTTCTACAACCTCTGTTGCACGGGGTATATAAACAATTTTTACATTTTTTTTTTAAAGAAAATGAGCTTTTCTGTAAGAGCATAATTGATATAATTGACGAATTTATCCGTGTATCCAGAATATTCATTTCTTTATTACTTCTATTACCATCATCACTTTAACTGACTTTCCTGAATTCTTCTACTTTTTTTTAATTAATTCAACCATATATGATCCCTTAATAATTACTTGAAATACCACCACATCATCCGACAACAAGCTCTAAAATTTCCAATATCATACTGCTCGTTTGTTACGTCGTTTTTCATTCGGTAATCTTGTCGTGTATATAGTCTGTATACACGGCTGCAGTCAATTGATAAATAAAGTTTTTCCATGCAATAAAATAAGTTTGCAGTATCATAAATTGATTATAAAGATTCTCAGGTTATATAGGCGTATATAAACGGATATTTGCAATATAACCCCCGCATTACGGCTCTTGTTCTATATTCATACAGCCGTTTACATAGGGCTACATAACCTGACAAAAAATCTTTATTACTTCAACATCAACATCATACCGTTATATGAAATACCATTTTCTTTACCATTATTATACTTCCATTACAAGTTCATTTGTCAACTTCTTTTACAAATATTACATCTTAAGTTATCATGCTTCTGCATCCGTCGTCGCTCATTTTACCAATTTTTTCAACTTTGTCTTTTACAAAACTCTTACTGCCTTTCCTTATAATTTATTCTTTATCTATTTTGTTTTTTAGAGTTACTTTTACAATCAATATTTATATAGCCTCTACAAACACGCCCTTCACCGCTGTTGTTTCGAATCCCGACAGGGACTTTGGACTCTCTCATGTGAGGAAGCTATCCTGTTAGCTTACGGAACGTCGGTGGTTCTACTCAGGTGCCCGTTCGTGTCTTAAATAATGCACGGAAGGGCACCTGAGGTCTTCTTCCACCAGTGAAGCTGGAACGTCGCGATATAACCGATACTGTGTCGATGTGACGTAAAACCCAAAATAAACAAACAAACAAACTCTACAAACACCACTGATTATACTTATGGATATAAACGTTTAAACTTTTTGTTGCTCCGTACATAGTGTATGCTACTGTTTATATAAAAGCTCAAGGCTCCTATTTGACGTCTTTATTAACCACATGCCAGGATGTTAAATTCTAATTACCACAATCTGTTGCAATCATTGACTTTTGCTTAAGCCATTGTTACGATGTATGGACGGTACTTTGCATGATCTATTTTCGTATAAATAGAATAAATGAAATCGAGTTGCCATATTTCTCTCTTTTTTTCTTTATAGATTTTGTATGTGACAAACGTTCCGTTGTTGAATTTATTGCCCTACAACAACATACATCACATCCAAAAGCAAGCCCCTGTGATCCGAGTAGCGGCGGAAGTGACGATGCCTATGTTCTTGCCTCGTGCAATGTCACTTCACCGGTGACGTGGAGAAGAGGTCAAAACGTAAAACAATTTTCAAAGTAGCATATTTTTAAATTTTGATTTGTTGTTAACTTCGATTTTTATAATAATAAAAGTTGAGATCAATCAATGTTCAACAAATAATTATTACGATACCCGTAAATGACTGAAACTAATATATTCGAATAATAAAAGAGAACATCTTTTGTTTTGTATATTGGGCATTAGTATTATAATTTGATTTTTTCTCTCTCTAATTAAAGTTAGTTATTCACATAAATAAAACTTAATAAAGGCACATTAAGTCTGACAAATTAATAAATATTTCGTTCTGTAGAAAAGTCATATGTTGTCATAATGTGAGATACTTATCACATGAAGTATATAGCGCTGAATATGAAGTAATTTGTAATAAATTAAGCAAATTGTAAACAATGTGGTATTTTTACTTCTAAACAAAATACTAAATAACTGTAACTTGTACTTATTGCTAAAGTGCAAAATAAGCGAAGTATGGTTTATCTATGTGGCAAATGAGTTATGTTTTGGAAACTGTATCAGCACACCAAAAGTAGAAAGCTTTTGAAAAATAATAATGGTATCATTTTTTTTAGCTTAAACAGCCTTTAACTTTCTAATTAATCTGTGATTTTCTTTATATTTTAGGTAATGGCTGATTGTGAATCCCACACACATTTGATTCCAGGATTTACTCCAATATCGACATTTGCACATGCCAACTATGACGCCTTAGGTTCACAATCAGGTGTATTCCTTGAATGTTACAAAAGCGGATTTAAGGTATAAAACAATGAGGGAAAGTATTTATCATTTCAATAAGATAAACAAACAAAAAAAATGAAAGGGATAGAATTAGTACATGTGTATCTCTTAACATTAAAATGATTCATGTATTATTTTACTTTATTTGTATTTCTTATATAGTTTAATACTTTGTTAAATACTGGGTGTTTCAATGAAATCTAAAAGAGATACTCGGAAACTTGGCAAATGTGTTTTTTTCCTCAAATCTGGCTTAAAATAGATAGATATGATTTGAAATTTAATTTCTTGTATATTTCTGTATTATTTGTTTGCAATTTCTTTCCGTTACAAGTGCTCTCTTTGATATATGCAAGATTATCAAACATTTTACAGTTAGGCTGTTGGGCTTTCGTTCCGTGAAGCTCTTTAAACAAAAGAGTAATATGTAAATTTTCTGACAAAAGCACACAAGCAAAATCAACGAGGCACTGTCAACAACATTCCATTTATTTCTATATATTGTTTAATAATAAGTTGTTTTGAACTATTTCGTCAGTCTTTATTTGGTATTTCAGATGGCGATTCAAAAATGTAATGGTGTACCAGAAATAGTGCACGTTGAACATGGAGCATTTACAAATAACCCAAGAAATTATTATGCTATTGTTACATATTGATACATGATGATTTATCCCCTTGTAACAGTGTTCTTTTGTATAAATGAAAGGATTTTACGTTAAAATATAAAACAATCAATCTAATTGTTATGTTGGTGTGTTTTTTTGTGTTTTTTGTTGTTTATCTTTCTTCAGACGCAAGTTTTAAACACTTCAGTGTTGTTTCAAACAAAGTATTTCAGTAAATTTAACTCGGATTAGTGCATCATTTCACTACTAAGCCTTCATCAAACAACGTTTCAAGACCAGTTTATTACTCGTCAGTGACGTACGTTTTAAACAATAGAAAATTCTTTTGCTCTGACAATTAAATGAAACGATTGATGAACAAATAACATATTTAACCTTAAGAAAAGCTGAAGGCCGCCAAAAAGGCCAATATAGTACCCAACATTAACCAATAATGCCATTAAAGTACCAAATAATACCCAGTAATTAGAATACCCAACATTAGCAAATATTGTCATTCAAATACCTAATAATACACAATAAGGACATTTAAGTACCAATCATTAACTAATAAGTCATTAAAGAAAGTAATAATATCCAATAAGGCCATAAAAGTACCCAACATTAACCAATAATGCCATTAAAGTACCTAATAATAACCAATAACGCCATTAAAGTACCTAACATTACCCAATAATGTCATATTAAAGTACACAATAATACCCAAGAATGCCATTAAAGTACCCAACAATAACTTATTGAACGAAAATACTTAACATGTACAGTTACAAATTGTTCTCGGTATATTATAGAATGAAATAAATCTCATGAAATTTAAACTCGCCACTCCATTTGGCAATCATAATATATGAAAACTACATGAATGTACGCGGATGACATGCATGTGCACTTAAAATTAGCACTCTTATCTATTCGGTCTACTTTATCAAAATCTTAGTCGTTGACCATTCGACAATTTGAGAATGAAAAGTTAAGGTAAGATTCATATTTATATATTCATATCAAGTTGGTAATCACTATAAAGGTTGTCATTTGTGCTGTGTTTAATGATATAAACACGAAGTTGTTAGCTTGCAAGCATGGAAACACAGATCGTTACATAAATATTAGCATGGCTGCACGGTAACTAAATTAATATTCGCTATAGTTAACGCTGATAATTTCATGGCGTTTAACGCACGTGTACCTGCTACAGATTTTGAAAGTGATAAGCATTTGCCATGAGTTTAAAGTCAGGGCAGTCTGTAAAGTCAGGGCAGTCTGTAAAGTCAGGGCAGCCTGTTATCTGTTGGTAACTTAAATTTTGTATTTGAAAAAAATAATTAATCATCGAGTGGACTGTTGGGCAAATGCATTATGTAAACTCGGCATGCCAACAGTTAAACAAAAGTTGATCATGTGACAATGTTTTCTTTCCAGCGTTTCCTAATCAAACCGATGAAAAGAAACATTTCATGCCAGGATTAATTGTATATTTTTAATACTATTTTGATAAATACTCATTCATTTACTAGAACGCAATGTTAATACATGTATAACGAGTGGCAAATCCATTGTCGTTAGCTTCAGTATTCGAGGTATAATTTTACTTACTCGTGACATTTTTAAACTACAAACTGTTATCATAATTTATGTATGTTTATATATTTAAAGACATGTGGTCCCCTGTGTTATTTTGCTTTGCTGCACTGATTGCTAGTGGTAAGTGAAAGTTTGGTTAAAATATCATCGCCCCCCCCACAAAAAAGTATAATAAATAAAGTTGAATAAAGACAACCTTTAAAGCAAGAAATGAAAGTTCTCCCCCCTCTGCTATTTTCAGAATCATCGCTTTTGTTGATAATGACGTCATTACTATATGTGTTCTAGGTCAGACAAGATTTTGTCAAAAAGTGAAGGAGATATATATATGTTCTTAAAGCGATATCACTTGTAATAATCAGGTAACACAAATGTTGAAAACGTTTTTGATAGTCAATCTTTCGTTTTTTCATTGCAAAAAGATTCACTGTTTCAAACACACATGTTAGTCATAACCCGATCGGCTTTCCTGGATAACGAAGCAGTAGATACCTATTTCTCCACAAAAGACGTCGACCGTCTACTAAATATAAAACCCTCTTGATTTCTGAATCAGCGTTAAAAGACCAATTTAGAAATTATGCCTTGACCGAGGGTGTGTATATGCACACATTTGTCTACCTTGTCAAAATTGTTAAAGTTTGACTATTTTTTTTCTTACTATATATTTTTATGTGTAAATGTATGTGTTTATATTTATCAAAAAAGTTGTTTAATTAGTTAATGTATGTGATTATATTTATCAAAATAGTTGTTTAATGTTACCATTTTAGGTTACAATATTTGGAACACATTTTTGAGTTATTGTCTCACACCTATATTTCAGCATCAACCTTAGATTACAGTCACTGCACAAAGAGGCATGAATATAACGGTAAGTTAAGCAATTTCCTTGTCTTTATTTTCTGCTTAAAGGTATAATAAACATAACGGTATGTAAAGAAAAACTATGTTTCTAATTGCTCACAAATATAAAAAAGACAAAATATAGTTTGGCAACAAACCTTCAATAAATTTCTTTCTTTCTGTCTTTCTCACTTTCATCATAACTTCTGGATCGCAAAATATATTAAAATATTTACATATATCTATACAAATAGTATATGGATCGAGAACTGTTTCAATGTTTGTACATACAAAAACCCTTAAAATCATGTGCAGAGGTCACATTTACAAAATAATATATCGACATTGACTCTTTCAGTCTTGTAAACAATGCTATTAACTATAGTTTTCACATTTTCGGTAAATATTTTTCCCCTGATCTAACATTGCAAATGTTTCCTTTCTTTTAGTGCTTTATGATCTTACAAGGCACAATACGTGTATGGACGTGAAAACAAGTAAGTCATAAGCTCTTCTCAGTAGTAATAGCTATTCTAGATATATGTTCTAGATATATCCTTGAATTAAGAGCTGTACAGTAAGGTACAATTGACGGACCATACGTTCATGCAGGATTGTATGGCTTTTCAATGGTTATATTAGCAAGTCAGAACTGCTGCCATCACAAAAAAAAATAACAAAAGTTGTCAGAAGGACGGCGTCCTCGACTATCTTCAGTCAACAACATAATCCTCAGTCTTTTGATAAAGTAAAACAAAACTTATGTAGAATTCTTTAAGTTCAATCGGGGCCATACTTCTGTCAAAATCCATGTTGATCACCTATTATGCTCTCAAGTAAGTGTGTGAAGTTCTGAACAATTCCCCTCGGTAGTTTTGGAGATACCAATGTGCACACAGAAATTTTGACACCGACGTTACCCTTTATGCATAGCAACTTCTATTATTTGAACTTTCATATCATTGGCAACAGCGAGAAATACTCCAAGTATGCTTCATAAATTTATCTAAATGCTATACTGTTTTCTTTCAGTGTTCAACCTGATTCATGACATTCATCACGACGAAAATAAGCCGTCATGTCGGAGACACATAATTCGAGTTTTAGCAAGTGAGTATAGTGATTTATCATGGACGGGGGCTGTTGTGAACCGCACATAAGGTATATACAAAAAATGTAATACACACTTGGGGTCACAGAGTCAAATAGAGAAAAAACAACAGAATCCCTATTTTGATCCCAGAATTTGATTGCGCCTTTTCATGGACGGTACTGGGAATTGCAACTTACCGTACAGGCCTTCTTTCATCGGCAAAAGCAGAATGCAACATTAATGTTTTTTAAAAAAATTGAAATTTTGAATTTAGAAACATCCGCAGTGCTCATAAGGAGGTTATCTTCTTTCGTGCCATTCCATGAAAAGCGGCGTATGGTCCCCAATTAACAGAAATCGTGTACCCTACGTTGAAGGTCATACACATAAGTTTTCAATTTGCATGCTTAAGAGTTCAACTGTTCTAAATTTAAAACTTGAACATAAAAAAAAGAAATCATTTAGTCGGCTCATACGCTCACATAAAGAACTGCATCTAAGGTTGAACATTTTCGGTAATGACCTTTAACTTAAATGTAAAAAATATATAAATGAGTTGGCTGAAATAGCTTACGACAATATGTTAATTGTTTCACCTGTTGCTAATACGCACGATGCCGCCGTTATCTATGTTAAAGGTCAATGTCAATGTCAAACTGAGAAGAAAATGTGTGTCAGGAGGAAAATGTCTGCATACATAAAGATACATTATGATATTATTAAGCACAAGTGTCGCACATTAAACTCAGGTCCCTTTAGGTAAGGTCAGTATTAAACATAGGGATCAAAAGGGTAGATAAAGATAAGAAAAGGCGCGTAGAAACAATCTTGTTGTCCTTGAATTGAGATAATATATCACAAATATCCACAAGTATGGGAATGAGTATTGTCCGTTCAGGGTCAAGTTAATTCAGGTCAATATATGCAATTTCAATGTCACTGGAGATGATTAAAAGTAAATATTCTGTCAAAAGCATATCTTTCACAGGCATAAAGGGTGTTCGGTATTACTGCTTGACACAAATGTTCACCATCAATAGACGAAAAGGTGCATACAGAAGCAAGTTTTTAGGTAAAAATTCAAGGTCACACTAAAAGGTTCAGCACTTTTTGATAGAGAAAATTGGAATATATAGATATAGCTATAGATTGTTGTATTACTTGGCACAACTGTTCAACAGTTTTGTGCGCAAAGGTCAATTGCTAAATTGATAAATCCAACCACATTTCTCACCTCACATTCTGCGTTTTCGTCAATTTCATTAGAAAGTAATTTTCCAGATTTCTCTGCCTCTTATTTCAGGTCATTTTGGTCCCAATGCAACCACTCCAAACACATGTAACTGTCACGGTAAACTGGATCTAGTGCAATATCATACACACGTTCATGATGGTGAGTTTCATACTAGTTATCTTCCTGTTTTTACTAACAATAAAAATGATCTCTTCCATTTTACGTTAAGCTTTACTAGACTGCTTGTCCAGGTTTAAAATAGTTATCAATTTTAATGTCAGTGATTTTAAATTCAGTAGGAAGTTAAGTGTCTAGTTTAACTGGATGGTTTACAGTTTTACACGGCTCTTTATCGCTGACATATCAAGACATTAATGCTTCTATCACTAAAACGTTCATATAATGGCACATTATGCCTCAGGAATGACTATTTCTTTTCCATCTTTGGAAAGAGCAAACACTAGTTTTATAATGTCAAAAATGGTCAGATGCATGTAAAATGCTTATCACATGAAGAAAGTACCGCAAGATGTGAAATTATTTGTCATAAAAGGAGCAAAATGAAAACAAAGAAGTATTTTGACATCAATACAATTTACATGATCATTACACCTACCCTAATTACCAAACCAAAAGGCAACAGAAGCAAATGATGGTGTAGCTTATTGGTTAATCAGTAACTTATTGGAAACTTACACAATACACAAACAAAAGCTTTTGAGAAATAGAAATAAAAGCATTTCTTGGGGATAATTGGCCTTTAAGATTTCTTGTTATATATGACTTTATTAGTTCAGAATAATTTGTTTTATTTGTATCTTAAGATAATGAAAGGATAATTTACTGTTTTGTTTGCTTGTTTGTTTTTCATTGAAGTATGTTTGGTTAGAATTAAAATGAATATTGCAGGTACCGTGGATCACAAGGACTCCTGTATGAAGGACCATGATCCGTATAGAAGTAAGAAATTTGATTTCTTTTAGTCAGAACTGCTTTAAATGTGTTATCTCTAATCAAACGGCGATTCCATAATGGTAACATAAAGAACACTTCCCTTGTGTTAAAAATGTAAAGAAGCGGGTATAAATGTCCCCCATCAAACATAGACGACCCAGGAACTGAACAATTTTACTTCTTTCAGGAGTTTGACATTTTATCAAATTTGGTGAGCGACGCATATGAGCGATAGTTCTTTCTGCAAGCATCCTTACCTTGAATGACTAGTTAAATAAAATTGAGAAATATGGAATCCCTAAACTGTCGTGTACAAAACATTATGACAAAAGTTACGTTTCTAGATTAGGAGCAAGACCGCGAAACGACTTGACAGTGCTCATAACAATGCATAAACAAGCTTGCATCTTTAATTATAATTGCGATATCCATAACCTTGTTTATTTGTGTGACTTTATCGACGATTTAAACACATGATTGGTCATATCTCGACGATCGGTCAACCTAACCGGCTTTCTTGAATAACTAACCAGTTACCAATTTCCTCGCAACAGACCGGATACTTATCACAAACAATTTCTGAATAAGCAGCGGGAGACAAAAAAAACATCAGAATCAATGCACAGCGACAACTTTCACAGAGAAATTTGTCTTGCTGAAGATCGAACTAGCGACACAGGATTACAAATGGGCTGAAATGGTTATATTAAAAATACCGTGAAAAGAATGAAAACTCACTACTTACCTTGGCTAAACAAATCCTGTTCGTTGTCTTTCTTGGTTGAACAAGTATCCTGTTCTTTGTCTATCTTGGCTGAACAAGTATCACGTTCTTTGTATATCTTGGCTGAACAAGTATCATGTTCTTTGTTTATCTTGGCTGAAATAGTATCATGTACTTTGTTTATCTTAGCTGAAATAGTATCCTGTTCTTTGTCTATTATCTGAAGTGAAGACTCCTGACATCTGCTCTGCATTCGTTCAAATCAAAGGTATTCACTTGGCTTAGACACCGTCTGATCAACATTTATAATTGTCCCAGGTCAAGGATAATAACATGTGTTGCGTTCCTCTATTTTAAGCTAGAAAATCTGTGTTGTACTTCATATATTATATACAGAAATATATTGCCGATTAGTAAATGAATCCAAGCCATGTATTCTAAGATAAGTTGTATGTGCTTAATCACTGCTCAAAATACTATGTCTGGTGGCTCATCGTACTCCTTCCATTCATTAGTTACCTAAAAGCAATGATCTGAAAAATACATAAAAACTTGTAAGAAAGAAATACAACAATGATCAACAAGGCAAGCGAAAGTTAAAGAACGCAGTCCCTTCTCCCGACACAACCCAGCCACACGTGCAGGGTACACGGAAGGGACCAAATCAAAAACGAGCGTGGAAAAAGAAGGGAATGACATGTAAATAACTGTTTCAATTATCAATTAAATAAGTGAAATGGAAAGAACTTAAAGGGTTTATACTAGATTTAAAGGGACAAATAACATGTAAAGCATGTTAAAGAACATAAAGTAGTCATTTGATGATAACACTACTGGGGAGTTTAATTAAACTGTAATTAGACGCGTCAAACTTTATTCTTTGCCAAAATATGTTCCTATATGACGAGGGAGAGTGAGTAAATTGAATCCCCGTCAACTCAAATTCTTACATTTTGCATGGTTACATTAGACAAAATAAACAGAATACTTAAATGATCATGCACAAAAAGATACAGCCCAATGACTATAACAAAAGTACAAGATGCCTTAAAGTTAGGCAGAGCAACAAGAAAATCACATACAAAGGCTCGGCGAACAAGACAGTTTACGAAACTATTCAGTCCAATGAAGTCAATAAAGGCACCCAAAATAGATAAAACATAACACGGAATGAACACAGTTTCAATAACTATAATATGAAATTATTAAGTTTTTTCTCTCTGTCAAAACAAGACCCATACGCTAATTATTTTATTTTAGTAAAGGTAAGAAATGAGATAATCTATACATACATATCTTCAATATTATTACTTTTTACAGTTTTGTACAACCAGTTCTTCGAGTCATCCCATCACCATGCAGGTCACTGCAGGACACATGATTCAGGTTAGTATATATTGATTGGTAAATTTTTGCTATAACTTATAACCCAAATAAATTTACTTTAATATGAAGACTATAAACGAAACATTTATTGAAAGGAACATGAGTGAAACGTTCCCTATACAGTAAAAACGCTAGCGCTCTTCCTAGAAAACACCCGATTTCTTGATTTGATCAATGTAAATGCTGCATGTAAAAAGGAGTTTTTGCAAAAATAAACAAACTGTAAAGAATAAAGAGAAGTACGAAATCCGATAAAGATAAAGTAATTCAGTTTTAGAGAGAGAAATGCAGAGCCGAGCCTTTAAAAATATTATGATATAAAGGACACAGTTACTTTGCTTAAACAGTATAACAGTACTAGTATAAGATGCATGTACGCATACATATCTCACGTATTTATATTAAAATCATGTTGTATCATACATAAAGTGTTGTGCATCTTAGTTTTAAAATAAAATGATATTTTATTGAATTTATAGAATATGACTATAATATGTGCTTATTTGTTGTATAAAATGTGCACGCATAAACATATTGCCCGAATTTATTTTGAAATAAACTTTTGAAAACTCCTGTAACTGTTGACAAAATGATTTTAACAGGCTATTACACATTGTTGAGTACAATACTAAATTCTGTTGGACGATTACACAGCTGTTAAACCCATACTGGTCAAGGCACTAGGCGAGTTCAATGCAGGTTTTGCAGCCGGTTTCAAGTCCAGTAGTACTAGTATTGTACTAAACATTGTGTAAATTACCTCTTTGTTTCAAACCAGGAATTTTATAGCTAGCCGAGTCCAATATAAGTTTTGCAGCCGAAATGCAAATAAAATGAAAAAACAGTGTATAACATTGTATTGTTGAGAAAATGTTATTGTACAGTGTTTTTTTCAACTGATTGCGTAAAATAATTGATTAAGGTGCTTCAATGTTAAGTTACCTCTCAACCTACGACATCTTGTTCAAGGGTAAACTTAAATTTATTTGTATGTCTCGTTTTTATTCCAGTTTGGTTTAATCTTGACAGGATTAATCGGGACGGTGACGACCATGACGGATGTCAACAAGACTTCATGTTTCATCTCAGGTGTATGTGAAGTTCATACAACTCCACTTAAACTGTTTCGCAATGTCTTTTTTCAAACATTTTATTTTCTCTAATAATCCTGAATTTGTTATCATTGTTGTCAAAGATTATCCAATTCTTCAAAAACACATTTCAGAAAATTCTAAATTAAACACCATTTACAAGCTTAAATATTAAATTCAGATTGAGCAAGTGCTCGGGGACGTGCATGGTAGTTTTTTACCATTGGCGTCCATGTGAAGGTTTAAACAAACCAAGTCTGGGATATTTGTAATTGGGCTGACTTTTCATAATTTTCCATTTTCGACTTTTCATTTTTTCGAATTTGGTTATTTAGCACGACAAAATTTCTACCTTATTTTTTACAGACTCTTTCGAACACCATTCTGATCACTGTAGATGCGACGGTATGTTATTTAAATAGTTTTTGTTGAAGTATCATATGTGAGTGATAAATGATAGTGAGTTTCCATGTCTCATTGACCACCTATTTAAGGGTTGATGCGGCATCAAAATTGCAGTCACCGTTAATCTCTGCGTAATCCAAAGAAGCGACTGAATGTGTTCTAATTACTGGAGGCTCCAGCAGGTGGGGTAGGTTTGACCCCTGGTGTTGTTTTAAGTTTTATACCCAAGGTTAGCCAAAATCATCTTCCTTTTCTGGCGCCTTATGACCTTAATTGTGTCGAATCGCCGTAAAAGCAAACAAAACAAATGTTAGCGCATTTTGTTTTTAATTTTTCAGCTTGATGATAAAATATCTTATTTGGTCACTCGGGAACATTGATTCAAATTTTATTGATTCATGAAAAATACTGCGGAGAAGCTTAAGCTTTGGTGCATTGACTAGAAGTCTACAACTAATTTCTATACTAACAACTTATTTCTATACTAATTTAAACCATAAATTATAATTGATAATGTGTTGCAATGCTATTATTGATATCCAGGGATCCAACAAACAATAATAGTGTCGTACAACAAACAATTCTACTTTTAAGACTGAAAAAACATCATATTCAAATTATTTTCAGAGATTCCAGTCACTTCAACGCACTCAACTACACTCTCTACAACGAAGCAAACGACAAGCCCTACAACACATCCGACGACACGCCCTACAACACATCCAACGACCAACCCAACATCAAGTCTAACTACACATCCTGCCGGACACCATATTTCTCACGATATTCTTTGTCTTAATTTTGATAGTTTTAGAAGTAAGTTTTACGAACTCAACAAAAACAATTAGATGTTAAGTTCTGTTTTTGCATCGTTGCAAAGGTGATCCGTATCCAATCATAGTAATATACTGTGTTACTACCCAATATAAATCACGGATTCAAATGAGTGATTGAACGATTGTGTCAGAAACCATAAAGCATGCCGTGTCCATGGTTACACAAAGCGTAATCTATCCAGTCTGCCGTTACAAATTTTTTTCACGCCCCAAATCATGCTTTCTTTAATGTTTTTGATATTCATAACTTCACAGATGTAATTTTAAGTAACAGTTCTGAAATAGTGATTAAAACTAAATTCTAACAGTCTATACAATATTTCCCTATCAAAGAGATAAGTCAATCGAGTGTATTATTACACAATATACATACACAGCATAAAACCGCATGTTAACAAGTCAAATGACGTCCTGACGTCTCTTTACCAAATGATGTCAGAGAAATTACTTCTTTGTTCAAAGTTGTACAGCATATTTTTATCGATCATTCCATTGCTTTGTGATTTATCACTACAGGCCTACGTGATTATATTCCTACGCAATTGTACTCAAATCATGCAATATTCTACAACAATGCACTCAAAATTGATTTTTAATTTAACATCGGGAATAGTTTAAAGTTTATGGAAAGCAAATTTATGTTATATAAAGAGGTTGTGTATATTCACTTCCAGAAAAAAATAATGAAATCTTTATTCATATGAATATTTATAATTTTATATTCTTATATATTTATTTGATTCAGACCCAATAAAGTCAGTACTTTGATCCTTTGAATATGAGTTAAAGTAATGAAGTAATTATCATAGAGAAGTAAATATTAACAGCCATGAATTAAATATAAACTACTTCATTCTTTTGCAATTAAGTCAGTTCAGAAATAAAAATGCAAAGTAAAAATTACATCATATTATAAAACAATGGTTAAATGTAACACGCGATTAAAGAAAACAAGTTCTAAACAAGAAAAGTTTACAAACCAACCATAGTATAAAGCTAAAACCTTAGAAACAAATCGTTGGAAACAATCAAACTATTCATAGAATGAAATATAGGGAATAAATAACGACTTAATGAAAAAAGTTTGACAATAAATGCAGACGTAGATCTCTTTATGAGCTTGCTAAAATGATGTAGTGTTTATTTTTTTTTTAGAACTGCTTCATCTTGGGGCAGAAAATGGCTGCTTGAGTGCAAATTCAGGTAAGACCTTCTTATTTTTTTTTAGTATCGTGAAAGGGAAGTACAAAAATGTACAAGTATAATCTCAAACCATACTAACAAAAATCGATGTGTATAACCCCAAAATAAAAAACAACAACAAAAACATCCACTTCCTCTGCATCAGAAAAAAGCGGGAACTCTTGTAAATGGCGCAATAAAGGATAAATCTAATTTGATGTTTTCCTTATTTTCAGGGTAATTTTCTGGAAATACCAGAAATAAAAATAAGCATTTTATTTAATCAATATTTATCATCTTTCATTTATAAGTACACGTATATAATGAATTAGTATACTTGCAAAACCTTTACTTGAGAAGAATACTAGTTTCAGGGATATTTTGTTTGTTTCAGTATGGCACTACCTGCATGACCTTCAAGTCAAAGATCCTGAGTGTCGAAAGATAATACAAAATTACCTCGTCAGTAAGCAGTTACTTTTTCATAGTTATGTAGCGCTAACCATCTGTATGCTTTTTGCCCTTTGCAAACCATTCTCTTATATCCTAAATATGGTCCTTATGACATCTTTTATGTCAACAATTGGTTCTTAAAGGTCGTAAATTCCCTTTGTATGGTACAATATTAAGATCTTTAAAACATTTTTCAGGCAACACAATTATTTACTTGGGGACCATACGCCACTTTTCATTGAATGATATAAAAGTATCGCATTAATTCCGTTATAACTGCAGTATGAACATATTTATCGTAGATCTGTGGATGTGACTTAATACTTTATGTTACTAAAACTTGATTTTCCGTATACCAGTGACTTTCGTGTAAAAGCTTGTAGTAATCACAGCCGCCCTATGAAAAGACTCAATCAATTTTTTTTCTATTTTGTCAGATTGAGTTAGTTTTACACATTTGGTTGTTTTCTTGTTCAGCATTCATTGACATGTAAATACCCGATTCTATTTTTAACATTTCAGTTTGTAATTCTATCTTATTATAGCAAAATACAAAAATAACAACTCTAGCTCTCACGATAGCGGAATATGTACATGTCATGAACAAACACCGCTTGTTGATCATAAATTGTATCATTTGAGTGAGTACACATTTTTCTTTATATGATTTAACAAGGTAATCCGACTGCCCCATAAATATAATAATACACATAGTTTGCCTTCTTCTACAGACATACAAGTAGTTTGTCTTCTTCTACATAATATCAGTAGTTGTTTGCCTTCTTCTACGTAAATACACGTAGTTTGCCATTTTCTACATAAAACACACCGTTGGTCATCTTCTACATAAAAACACGTGCTTGCCATCTTCTACATTAAAACACGTGGTTTGCCATTTCCTACATAAAACACGTGGTGAGAAAATAATTTATTACTACATGTATCACCATGATATTCTGAAGGGACCATTTACGACGTTGCATTAATGTCTAGAGGCGTCAGCCGTGCTTGTCTATCAATTATTTTCTCCATGCCTTAACAATGCAAACTGTTTAAAAAGCTCCTGACAGTTTGACAGAAACTTCATTTTAGAAAGGACATCTTCTATCTATACAATATCATTTGATGTTCTTATCTGACATATTATGATTAATGTTTTACTGTCCGGCTAATTGTTTTTATTTCATCATGGTTAAGCAAAATAAATAAATAAATTTTCACTTTTTACATCATATGCACTGTTTGAAAATATATAAGCATTAACAAAGAAGCAAATCCAAGTGACAGACTGTAGAAAACACTTGCTTTTTTTGTTATTTTAGTCATAAAAATTCTTTTATAGTGTTAAACTAAATATAAAATACATTTAAATTAAATATTAATACAATGCTTACATACTTCAATTTTTTATTGTGGTACATGAAGCGTAATTGAATAAAATGATTATTGTATATACAGGAAACGGAAGTCACGGTCTTTGTCATAAAAACGATGCCGCATATTCCAGTAAGTTAAAGATATTTTAGTGCAAGAAATTTAGGTGAATGCTCAACATTAATAGCATTATGCCCTGGGTCACAGTCTAATAATAAATAAGCTAGGGGAAATAACAATCATACATCTGAATGAAATGCTGTGCCTTACTGTACGACAGAACTCTCAAAATTGAGATGTATTCATTTCAATTTCAAAATATCTTACATCTTCGTCATTTTATATATAATAAGTTACGGGTCGTGGAAGGTAGCCTGTTATAACATACAATCACCCCTTCTGGGCATGAACAGGCTGGACCAACCGAGTCTGCAACAATTTCAATTTTGTCATTTTGGGCGTCATAAGATATTCCGTATTACTAGATCCTAATTAACCAACTAATTAATTAAGTTACCAGTTAAATCAAAGTAGGAAAACATGTTCTTAGAGTCTTCAAACAAACATTCAAATTATTTTCAAAACTGTAACAATTAATGAGTGAAATAAAAGACATCCTCTTTCTTTACTTTTTGTTTGAATATTATGTCCCATTTCAGATATTGCAACCGAATATTTCTCGCACATTCACGAACATGGATGCCAGAATCATGACAGCTGTAAGTCCAAACGTTTTTACATCACCTAGGTTACGAACAGAATTTCTCAAGATTTAGATGTAACTGATTTATCATTTAGCACAATAACAGTATTTAATACATGTATTCATTTTTTCGATTAACAGTTGAAGAAGTCCATCCTTTAATAGTATTAATGAAGTTAACTCGTCTCTAACTGAATCAGTTGACTTAAGCGATTTAGAGTACGTACCATCACTTCTTCTTCGAGCTAATGTAGAAAGTTGTCTCTACCGAATTGCATTTCCTTTCAAATCCGTTAGTAAGGCGGACAACCTCTTACACTCGAGGCGAAATACCGTCGATCAGTCCAATTATCGGAAATGGTCGGTCTAATCATCAGACGAATAATTCATAAAAAGCAAGTATAAGATAATATTAACAATGTTTTTTTGCAGTGTGGCAAAAACTTGGAGGAGTGAACAACCACTGTAGTTTGTACGACAACGGCTCTTGTACTCAATGGAAAGACTGTCAATTTGAACTTATCATTAGAGCTACTCGTAATTAATCTTTTAAAACATTTAATTCTCAATTTTACTGACAGGGATTAAAAACAACTTAAGCCAATGCTAGGAGTTAACTTAATATTGAACTTTCAATTATCATCATAAACCATTGTCTATGTTTTCATTATTTCTGCGAGAGATCTCCTCATTCAAGATTTTTTATCTTTTACGCATAAAAAATAAATGTTAACATTTTTACATTATACGGTATATCTTCATATACGGTAAATATTGTCACAAAATCAAAAAGAACAGTTTGATATTATATGAACTAACTATATGATTCACTACTTACTTAAAAGTATGCATACAGCAATGGCCACGTTCCAGAGGCGACTCTGATATTTTAAATGCCCTAAAGTAGAGCAGCGATGTATTAGACATCGTCCTTTTACATTTTAAAGTCTCAATTGAAAGACCATTTCCACTGCAACTTGAAGAGCGGGGTAATATCTAGCCTGCGAACACTTTTTCAAGCCCGTTTGATGATCGAAACGCTCCTGGTAAACGATTTTTAAACTAAATGGACGTTGTAGAAAAACTATTCAATATTCTTTTCAGTTCAGTACCCAACTGATGATTCGGACCCATGCGTCTGTTCTAAAGGTAAACCATTCTATAGCTGCATTTTCTTATATTTTCTTATTTTCTATTTTGTTGTCCGTGCTCTCGTGGGGTCTTCCCTAACATAATTTAATATATAGAGATTGACAAAGAGCATATAATAATAGGCAAACCTCTAAGTATGCATCTAGTTACATAACCAACGGAGGTCTTCCTCCACCAGTATAGCTAGAACGTCCCGATATGACCTTTACTGTGTCGAAGTGACGTAAAACCCAAAAACAAACAAACAAACATAACCAACGACAGCATGAATTACATATTAATCTTCAAATACGTATTTTTGTATTTTAATTTAAAGAACTGGAAGTTAAGGAAAATAAGATAAACAAGATCAACAAGGAAAGGCGGCGTTCAATGAACGCAACCCCCCTATGACCCAGCAACAAGAACCAATGGCAAGGAGCCCAGGGGACCCCAAACAAAAACAGGACAGGGCAAAGACAGAGCACGGACAGGTTAATCATTAAATGATAATTGTAACTGATAAGGAATTAAAAGAAAATAAAAATAGGCCCAGAAAGGGGAAGGGGACAGGAGACCGGGGGGAAGGGTGGGGGAGTAATCAAAGAAATAAAAACTTGAGGCAATGGGGAATATACTTACCGTAGACGAGAAAACAACAAGGGACACAAGCAAAAGTGTCACCAAAACAGTATGAAACAACATAGACATACATCTGAGGAACACAGTGGAGCGCCGCCTTGGAACGGTCAGCAGCATAATAATGACTGCTGGGGAGTTTAAACCGGTTAATGGTGCACCAAACCTCGCTCTTAGCCCAACCATGTTCCTATAATCGAGGCAGTGTAAATAAAATTAATCCCCGCCAAGTTAAATTCTAACAGTTGTCATGGTTACAAAAGGTTAAATAAGTAAAACACTAAAATGATTATGTAGAAACATATAAAAGTAAACCCAATGACCATAACAAAAGTACTCAATGTCCTAAAGGAAGACAGAGCAACAAGAAAATCACCTACAAGGTGAAACATGTTTAGGTATCTCATTAAATGAGACTTCTATATTCTATATTTTCATTACAATTTTTGTCGCAATCTTTTACAGGACTTGCGACTAAAACGTCAACAACTACGCCATCCACAACTTCATTTATATCCCAAACTGTCCCGACATATACAGCAACATCAACACAGCGTGTGCTTCAGGCTCCAAAAATCCGTAATTATATTTCTTCAATACGACAACATGAGTTTAAGTAATTGTTCAACGCTGAGAAGAAAGACTAAAACACTTTAAGATGTTTCATTTTTTTCATTTTAGTGTCAAACTAATTTTTTGTTGACCTACATTTCGAAGGCAGTTGAAAACAGTTTATTCAAAATAGAATAACATATTTTCAAATTACGTAAATATTTCTAAATGGAATATATTTAAACGAGCATCACAAAATCTTCAGGTAAAATAGGAAATCAGACAGTTATGTCATATTGAGACTTTTGAGCTTCCCAGGAAGACCCCGGTGTCCCTCCGTGCATTATTTTAGGCACAAGCTTGCACCTGAGTAAAACTACCGCTAAATGGAAAATATCCAAAGTCTCGGGCGGGAATCGAACCCACAGTGGTGACGGGCAAGTGATTTGAAGTAAAATAACTTAATTACTCAGCCACGCACGTCCAAACATCTGATTACTCTTGCACTTTTGTAATACGGTTTTTAAGGATTGGGTTATATCTTGATAAAGCCAGAAGAGCGTTATTTCCGAACATTGTAGCATAAAGATCATATACTACTCTCAAAAGTGTTTCTCTTGAATATAAATTAGCAATGGAGGACATAAAATAAGGATATGATAAACTTGTAGGTGAACATAGGCTGTGTTGCATTTACTTGTACATGTACATACTTTATTTACGTATATATTTTACAAAAGTCATTACATTAAAATCGTCAGCCCGTTTAGCTCAACAGCGAAATCATTGGATTTGTGATACAGGGTCGCTAATTCGAATATCGCACGAGATGAAATTTGGCTCTACCAATTGATCTTGGACACTAAGTGTGATGGTTATTTGTATATTTGTATCACTTTCACTCTGGCGTTGGTTCGATCCCCGGGAGATGCTTTGGTAGTTTAGCGCGGAGGAAGGTCGTTTAGTGCTGGTGTAACTCTCCAGGAACGATGGTTAGGAAACTACCCGCCTATATGACTGAAATACTGTTGGAAAAAGGCGTAAAATGAAACAAACAAACAAACTGGTTTGTAATCTTTGAAAGCCAATAAGGTGGACGTTGACTGGCATTGAAATTGGCCTATAAACTAAACAACAATTATAACCATTGCCTTTTGCTAGATTAGTTTATATAGGTCATCTCAACAAGACGGCAATATACGTCTTGGTGCCAAATCTTAATGTAAAAAAGTTTTAGATTGGTAAACTCATATTAGTATTTTTTATAGAACATTAAGATTGGCACCAGGACGCTTTCGTAGCAGAGTACAGCTATAGTACATTGTATGTTATTAGTGTTTATCTTAAAAAGATCAAGTACATGTATACCAATATAGGTTTATTTTATGACAGAGTTTACTTGCGACAAAATGAAAGTGATCGAGAGTGTTGCAGGCTTGGTGGTAACAACACATGTAAATTCAAGTTATTGCTTTCCACACACACAGAGTACTGATGACGCAATTCTTCTCTCGTGGTGTAACATGACGTCACCCAGTTCTTGGAAAAAAGGAGCCAATGTAATCAAATAAAGTTATCTATTTATCAAGTACATTTTAACGACTGTACTATTTAATCCACGACCGACATCGTTCTTGATCTGCTGTAGGTTTAGAAAATGCATCAACAAATACATTTTGCAAATAATCCTTGTCTTAATATAACGACTGTCACTATTGCAAGAACCCCAAAACACCGTTGGTGGGCATTTATTTTGTAATGTTTATATAACAAAGTCAAATATGGCGCCAGTTGAATTTTGTTTGTACCGGGTCACGTGACAGCAATAGGAATAGTTGTTCCGGATTACAGCAATTGGGACAGGGACTGCACGCTGTGGTGAGAGTTCAGAATAATGTAACGAGAGATGTCAAAATTACTTAGATATGCCCCCTTCTCCTTAATATTTTTGTGTAGTAAGAGTTGGTCACAGAGACCATTAGACTTATAATGATTATGTTATGACAGGAGTGCATAAATAAGCAAACGAGGTTTACATTCTTTTCAGAAAACATGAATTTTAAAAGGGCTAAACTGATGTTTTTTACATGATGGAGCTGAAAATACAATTTGAAATTTTTTTTTTCATTTCCTGTAGGTCAGTCTTGACCAATAGATCTAACTTGTTTGCAAAATTTCAGATCATTCGCTTAATTTGTTTCTCAAGAATGAATATATTTTAATTGTGAAAAATGGACCCAAAAATCTAAAATCGGGCTAATAAAAACACGAATAAGATATCATCATGTTCTCATAATTTAAATTATTTGTATCTCTATAGATTGTTTTTATCATGCAATAAATAGTAATTTCAAAAAAGAAATAACTTCACGGTAAGCAACGCTTTAAACCAACAAAAACGTTCTTACATCTTTATTATGTTTTCAGTAGTTCCCTTAAAGTATTTCCTTTTAAATAATGTCTTCTATTTAGCGAGGGTGACCATCTTGTGAATTTGAAAGCACTGAGCCGAATATTTCTCAAGTTAATGAACGGATTATGATTTTTGTACTAATAATCTTGACCTGGCCTTCCACACTGAGATTTATAAGCTTCTGTAACTATGGTGTTCATCAGATGACCCCAGACCTATCGAAATAAATATTATGTTTATTAGCATTTCTATAACTATCATGTTCACCAAGTGACCTCAGACCTAACAAAACAAATATAAAATTTATAAGTTTTTTTACCATAGTGATCACCAAGTGACATCACTAGCAACGAAAGCACGACATATGCTTTTATGTGCGTTAATCGCTAAGTATGTAATATTTACATAAAAGTAAGAAAAAATACATACATACTTAACGATTAACGCAAATAAAAGCATATGTCGTGATTTGAGGGTACCTTTGTGTTCAAAAATGAGAGGGTATCTGTGATATAAAATTTAAATGAAGAGAGGTAGCCCGTGCCGCTGCACATAAATAAAACATTATAGTATTCCATGGTATACATCTTTTCTACGTGACATACCTCCTGTCAATGAAATTTTACTGGATTGGTATCCATTGCTGGCTTGTTTTTAGCAGAGAATGACCTGTGCATGTTCAAAGAGGGTACCGTTTGAGCAGATTTCGCAAAGAGGGTACCAATATGGATATGCACCGTCTTTCTGTAACTATGGTGTTCATCAAGTGACCTCACACCTAACGAAATGAATATTAGATTTATAAGTTGCTGTAACTATAATGTTCACGAAGTTACCCCAGACCTGACGAAATGTATAAGTTGCTGTACCTATAGTTTTCACCAAGTGACTTCAAATATTTATAGCGAAACGTATATTAGGCACTGCTCTATGAGGAAAACAGAAAAAGCGGAGGTGTTTGCATGGTACTTTTATATGTTATATTTTATACATTTATAATATCATTTATTACAATGTATAACATTTGACAAGGAAATGCCAAATACAATCAAAGTTTTTGACCTTTTGGGCTGGGCATATCTTTACCTTCGATGAAACGAAAAGATCTAAGCACATAATATTCTGCAAATAATCCCGTATTTATATGTTCAGAACAGTATCCATGAAGCGTTGTTTTACTTAATGGGCAATAAATTGTAGGGTATTTGACCTTCAATATATTTAACGGTTGGACGTAGGTTGTGAAAGGTTAATATTTCTAAAGTCGATGTTACAATGTAAAAAGTGAAAGATGTTTCGTTGTTACTTGACACCTTAAAAAACATAAAACAAAAATAAGCTCAAATAAACCGAGTAAAACACTTACTGTTTTTTATAGCTCTTAGAAGATTCCCTTATTAAAATAAATTTCTGGATAAAAGTAAATTTTCATTCCAGATTATGGTTGACTGTGAGTCAAGTTCTCCACGTATACCAACATATATCCCGATAGCAACATTTGATGAGGATAGGTACTTTGCCACCGGAGCTCAGTCTGGCATATTCCTCGGCTGTTCCGACGTTGGTATCAAGGTATGTAATGCATGTATCACTGAAACCCTTGAACAGGCTCTTTGAAACCGACCCTGCCACATTTTTAAATTTTGGCAAGTTGGGCAACATTACAATGGAAATAATATTGTTTTAACCTTGGTAACACAAAAGTATTCTTCATGATTTTAGCATTTCATACCTGTAAACATCTACTGATGTTTGCAATCAGAATCAATCTTCCTTCTCCTTTTTGAACAACTGGACATTATATTTACAATCAGATAGATACAAGCTTACACTATAATGACAAAAATAACTGCGTGTTCGCCGTATGTATATTTATGTTTGTCTTGCCAAAGGCACATATCTACCGAATTGTAATAATAAATATTGACTTTAACTTTCGAAATTAATATCGAAGGAAAATTTGTTTATTTTTGAGGCAGTGATACTATATATTATACATGTATATATTGTTTTTTTTGTCGACAATTATCATTCACTACACATTGAAATAATCCCAAAACATTTTAAAAGTGAAAAGAAGAAACATGCACTTATTGTTTCATGTTTTGCATCAATGCCCGTAAGCACCGATTTGAGAAGATTTCTTTCAACTTTTTTTTTTGGTCTCTATAGAAACGGTATTGCACGGCTATGCATTTACATGTATTTCGACGTGACATTTACAGCGCTGTACAAGCATAGCGTGAAGACGCGCTAAATGTTTGCATTTCACTGTAAACACGTTAATAAAAAATGGATTTATTTTTACTAAAACAGTTCTTGTTTGACTATGTTATAAAAAGAATATCATATTCATGTAGCTTCATTACTCAAATAATTGAACTAGTTGAATAAAAAAAATATAACACCCACCAAAGGCTCGCATAATACAATTTTTATTCAACTCGTTCAATAAATACAGTATTGAATCTACCCTCATTCCGTATCCTCTGTTTATAATATTTTCAAATGCCACAATTGATAGAAATGTGTGTTTGTAGCCTTGCGGACATTATTCGAAGCTTTTTGACTGAAAACTAAACATTTGGAATTAATTTCGTCAGTTTTTGTTTTTCAGATGGTGATTCAAAAATGTAACGGTGTACCAGAAATTGTTCACATTGATCACGGAACTTTCCAAAGTAATCCAAGAAATTATTATGTAATTGTTACAAATTGATAATTGATGCATGTGTCCTTTAAGACACTAGTATCAGTTTTTCTGTTAATTGATTAAAAGAAATGTACGTCAAAATAAAGTTCAATGAATCAATCTCACATTATTATTTCTTTCCATTCACATTTGATATATACATATTGAATAAGAGTACAATAGCGTAAACAAGACCTGTCCCACACCGTACAATCAAATGGGCAAGCAACTGTTCCACCGTCGAGAGCGTGCTTCACATTTCTCAGTGACAAATAGTAAAATAAAAAAACCATAGAAAAGGCGGCATAACTCTCCATACGTGCTTTTTAGACTTACTTGCCCTTGAAAGTCAACACATATTTTAAATTTGAAGTGAATACCTTTAATGGTCTCCGAGAAAAAGGCAAATATTCTATGTTAAACAAAAGGAATAATAAAAATGATATTAGGATAATCTCCCATCTACAATTGCAATTTAAATTTGATATAAGATTAAGTATGCTTAATATCTTAGAGTTATCTCTTTGGGTTTTTTAAAAGATAATTTTTTATGTTTTTACTATAAACATAAAGGGAAAAACAATTACCCCCTGGGGTGGGGCCAATTTTGACAACATGGCTTTTATTTGAACAAACTTGGTAGACACTCAATAGCAGACGTTTTATGCTAAATATCTTAGCAATAGCTCTTTGGGTTAAATAAAAGATGATTTTTTAAGTTTTTACTATATACATACAGGGAAAAACAACGACCCCTGGGGCGGGGTCAATTTGAACCCCCGGTTTTTGTTTTAAAGAAGAGTTTTTAAGTTTTTTACTATACACATACATGTATAGGGAAAAACAATGACCTAAACGTCGGGCCAATTTTTACCCCGGGGCTTTTATTTGAAGAAACTTGGTTGACACTCACTAGAAGATGTTTCATGCCAAATATCTAAGCTCTAGCTGCTTAAAGAAGATTTTTAAAGTTTTTTTTATTTGGGTTGCCATGGCAACCAGAGTTCTGCATGAAATTTAATTCTTTGAACAAATTTTAAAGGTGACGACCAAATTAACATTCCTGTGAAGTTTGGATGAAATTGTTATAGTAGTTTATGAGGAGATGTTGTTTAATTAAAAGTTTAAGGACGGAAGGACGGACGCCGGACGAAAAGCGATCACAAAAGCTCACCTTGTAATTTTGTAACAGGTGAGCTAAAATGTCCTTCAAGTCTGAAGTTATCAACTTTGACAATTTTTGAGAAATAAACCTCCGAGCAAAAAGGGGGCGTAAACGATTGGATAATCTTCCATTTTGAAATTGTGTCATATTTTGATACCGGACATGTATATCAAGTTTGAAGTGAATAGCTTTGATAGGAACTGAGAAAATAGACCTTAAAATATGATTATTATGAAAATGTACTTTAACGAAAAGGTTTACCAACGCTTACCACAGGGTCATGACAATAGCGGCACGTTTTCTTCGAAAAGTATGCACATTTTGGAAAATATGCAGCCGCGTAATATAAATAATCTGGAGAAAGTAATCCTTCGGAAGTATCAAAAGCAACAAAATTACATGAAAAATGAAGACTCAGTTTGTCCTTGAAGGATTATGAAAACAGTCGATATCCCTCACGCCCCTCCCAACCGGATTGAATGGTACTTAATTCTAAACACTTAATGTAAGTGCTTGACTCAATGATCCCGAATGACCAGACAAAAAATAACAAAATATAACCACTCAGCACCATGACAACTTCCTTTTAGACACTATCATAGATTTGCTTTAAAGATCCTGTAACTCAAATCTTTTTACGGTTTTATATCATACATATGATGCTCAAACGAAGATTTATCAATATTGTAAGTTTCAAAAAGCATTATTAGTAAAGATATTTCATGCAACTAAAGGGAGGTATTTAGAAACTTATTTTCGATAAAGTCTAAGCCAAATTTTTCATAAAGAAATGAATGCATATATTTTAATGATAACTTATAATGCGTATAAACATCATTTGCAGTACATTTTTAACATGTTCTACTATTTTAGAAATTGTTTTAGAAGAATAATCATATACATATATAAAATTTCGCTCAAGTGTTGTTACATCCTTATTAACAACATACAGGATATTTAAGGATACGATATACATGTATAACCTTTTTTAAAAAATCATGATAAATACCTAATAAGCTTAAAAAACTTGAAGATCCATTGGGAGCAATTTAAGAGAAGGTAAAAATCATATATTGGTTTCATAAGCTCAATTCACGAACAATAATGAGAAGTTCGTCCATTTCTAATGCTAAATAGCAACAGGTATTATGAAGATCCTGTGTGTTGTAATTTAAGTGTAAAAACTTCTGACATATCATCAACCAGTATGTTATTTATACTTTTTGTTTGTAAAAATAAATAAGCAAACATCTGATATCATACGAACGTATTACATAAAACATTCAAATAATTTAAGAACAGCCTTAGCAGTGATCATATTAAATGCACTGACTATACTAATTCTTATCTTTTTGAACTACATTTAACAAAGTTTGAATGAGTTCACCATTGGCCGACTTGGTTGTGAAGATTGAAGGTAAGGTTAATATTGGTATATTTACAATAAAATAATACTTCTACATATCGTTGTATATGAGGAATGGAATTAACACATGGTGTAATTAAAACACAGAGGCGGTCATATTAGCTGGCCTGAACAAGCTCTAAATAGATGTTTTTATAAAATTTGCCACGATGTCATAGTAACAATGTACAAATATACTTAATTTTCCTAAGTTATTAGTCCTAGATCGCTCACCTGAGATCTGTCGTCAACAAAGAGCATAATTCACTGAAACGTGATTCACTATTGACCTCAACAACATGATTAATTCACCTGTTTAGAGGTACAATACGCCTCGTTTCTTGCCAAATTACTATTGGTGCGTAAGAAATGGATTTGTATTAGATTCCTTGTTGTTTTTTCATAATATTAACATTTTATTACTTTATATCACTTTCCAACCTTCAACTTATAAGATAAACATAGTTTTTATTTCACCGACTTAGTTCAGTATTTTTTTCCATTTTTTAAAGCATAAACAATAATAATCAATAAAATACGATACTATTCTACTTTCTTTTTCTAGGAATGGGGTTCCTTTTGCTGTATTGTTTCGCTGCAATTATTGTCAGTGGTAAGTGATAATTTGATTTATAAAACTAAAGTTAAAAAAAACTAGTCGTATAAAGATAATACGTTCGCGCTTTTTTTAAAACTATATAAGGGGTTTATCTGTCAAAAATTCCTATAATTATGTTGACGTCAGTACTATATATATTTCATTGACTTAATAAAATGCAAGTCATGTCCCTATACATCACCGAAAAAAACACAACAAAACAACAACAAGAACAACAACAACAACAACAACAAAAAAGAGAGGTATACAAACAACATAAAAACATAGCGGTCACATAATGATTGTTTTTAATAGATCACGTGACTAAAAATGCCGTTTTAATTGTTAAAAAGAAATGTTTCTTTCAAGGGCAAAAGAATATAATTATTGTTTACAAAAGTATTGTATTAAGAGATACTGATATTGGCTGTTTAAGTATACATGTATATATGTACGTACCTCACTATATTTATAATAAAAAACATTTATTTTTATAGGATAATTGTTAAATGTAGAAAGAAAAATTCAATAGAAATATCAAAAGTTTGAAGTGTGTAATATTTCTAAAGAGCTATAGCGTACCATTTGTTTTGATGTTGGATTTTAAGTCACAGTGACACTGTTATGGTCATTTGATGACCTCCTAGCTTTACTGGTAGTTGGAACACCTGGAACCATATACCTTAGTAAGCCAACAGAAAAGCTTCCTCACATGAAAGAATCTAGATTCCTTAACGGAAATTGAACCAAAATATTTTGGAGTCGGCAATTTTTACCACACGACCACGGACGTTTCTGATGTACAACATACACCGGATCGTTTGATGAATAAAATTCTTACAAAAGAATCTCACAATTCATATGTATTTTTCAGTATCCACATCAGAGTATAGTTATTGTTCAATGTATCCAGAATACAACGGTAAGTAACCCTTTCTCTTATAATGTCAAAGAAAATAATTATGAATAATCATCGAGGTGTTTGGAATGCTCAGCCAATTAACGCCTTCAATATACAACTTCAGCCTTAATATCACGTGTACATTTTCAGAATACTGTATTAACATTGACCATTCTGATTTAATTGATCCGGAACAAACCATTTGCCGAAATTTCAATATCATAATCGTCAACAAGGCTACATTTATGATAATAAATATTAAAATAAGGCATATAAGAATCGCATTTAGCTCGTTAAGTAACACACTTTGAACGTCAGTTTTTCTCTTTCAGTCCTTTACAATCTTACAAGGCATAACAATTGTTTGGATGTAAAGAAAGGTAAGTTATAAACCCTTGTATCTATGACCGTTTCAGTGCTAAATATTTAAAATAGAAAGTCTGTATTTACAAAGATTTGTAAACATTTGAGCAAACAATTGTTAAACATATAGTTAGATTACCAAGAAATTTTTATGTGGTTGATTTAGTTTGTCATTGCACAACACAGTAAACGTCTTGTTGCTACATTCCAGCTTTATTGATGCATAAAGACTTGTGTAGCGCTCCGTTCCGTATTTCAGGCACTAACGGGCATTAGAGTAGAAACACCAACGTTTCGTTAACTTGCTAGATCGATTCCTGATATGAAACAATTAAAAGTTTCTGGCAAGATTCGAACCCACAGAGGTGAGGATGAAGTGCCATGAACTTAATGACATAAGCCAAAAGACCGCGGAAGCGCGACAAAGATAATCAGTATAATAGAGAGAAACGAAACGATTTATAAAAGAACGAATTTACAGTAAAAATGAATATGTTGCAGGCTCGAATCGTGCCTACTCCTGGACGATATTGGTAAATACACGCTTTTAATACACGGCACTTACATCGACGTAATCAGTATTTACTATTTAATCATGAAAATTTTGAATCTTTAAACATCCGAAGAAGTATCAATATCTTAACTCTATTATGAGCGTTAGTCAAAAAATAAAATGATGTGTCTGTCCTTTACAAGAAAGCGATTGGCGAAACTTAACAGAATAATTCCTTTTGGTGATCAAAGCGTGCACATCAAACATAAAAAACCCACCACCAACTACGCAGACAACCAAAAATAAAATACCAGAAACAGAATGATAATGTCGTGCTGAATGATATTTAAGGACTGGAAATGTACTACTGCAACTAGCAGAAGAGGAGATGATAAAGAATTTTAAACACAATGATAATGAATCGTCTTTATTGTATTTATATGAATTTCAAAGTAAATTTATTCAATAAGTATTTTCATAAGTTGTACAACATATATAAGAAATAAAGTTGAAATATGTTCATACTTGTGCCGGAAATTATACATGTATATTTTAATGAATTCCCGAGCTAAACTTCACACACATTTGAATGAACCTTATACGAATGATTGTATAAAGACCGCGGACTTATTTCGGCATAAGCAAAGACTAAAATAGGAACCTTGCACTGGCAACCAATGGTGATGATGCATGCTAAATACAAATACATTTTAATGTGTCTTTTTAGTATTCGATCTCCTTCAGCCACTGAACGACGTTGATAATAAACCTTCATGTAGGCTGCATATAGTAAAAGTTTTAGCTGGTAAGTACATTGTATCAAATATTCAAATTGGGTTTTATTTTCCAAGCCATTACGTCAATTTTGACACATATTTGGTGATATCCGTCGAATTTCTGTTTTCAAAATCATTTACAACATGTAGAATCTTCATAGTAGGTTTGTTTGTTTTCCTCAACCGTCGGTACGTCACCCCGACACAATATAGGTGATCTGGCGACGTAACAGTTTTACTGGTGAAGGTATACCTCATGTGCCCTTCCGTGCATTATTTCAGACACAATTTTGCACTTGAGAAGAACCACTTACGTTCAATAAGCTAGCTAGATAGCTTCCTCACATAAAGGAAATAAAGTTCCTGTCGGGATTCGAACCCAAAGCGATGTGGGCAAGTGATTTGATGTCATTTACCTTAACCACTCGGCAACGGACGCCCCTTCACAGTAGGTAAGTGGAAGTAACTGCGACCTCTGCAAAAAAGAACAAATACATATATCTTTAGTTGCCGCAGCCTAACCGTCTTATTTAGTTAAATCATATTTTATTGATTTTTTATTTTATACAAAAACAGATACATTGTCACATGTAAACATACTACAAAACAGTAACGAATACATTTACAGTTAATACATGGATGTTATAGTTATTATAAAAAAGCAAAAGGGTCGGGCCACAAGTTTTAACAACATTAGAAAATTGACCCTTCCCACCGTCTAATCATGGCCGCCATGCTTTGCTTTGGCCCTACACCATGAGCTGTCTGGACTGGCAACTTGTCCTCTTTGCAAATGAATCTCAATACCGACAGGACAGCACGGACAGACATGCTTTATTATAGAGAAGGATAAGGGAAACGTTGAAAGTGAGGAAAAATTACATACTGCAAATATTGCTGAACACGACCCGTAAAAAAGAGATGCAATTACTGCTCGGGGTCGTGTGGGATTGCGTTCATTGACCGTCACATTTTCTTGTTGATCTGGTTTATCATATTTTACTAGTAATCGGCTGGGATATATGAACCTGAAAGAGACAGCTTTCTAAGCAATATTTAGATGACATTCCCGATACATTTAGTTCGACTCTAAATTCGCGCAACTGGTAATTTGTTTATGTTGATGAATGAACTGATAACTGAGTTAAAAGAAAGGATGAGTTGAAGCATGCAAAGACAGAACCAAACCGTCGTTAGCAGCAATTGGTCAAAATTTTGTTACTGAATTCAAATTTTTTCCCTCCATAGTTGTATTTTGATATTTTCACAATGGTCAATAAACATATCACCTTATTCACATTCCTAATATAAAATGATAAATGTAAGCCACTTGATCATACTTGTAATGTGGTAAAGGTTCAAAGTATACAAAAAACTGTGCCTCAGGTAAAGAATTGGCAGCCATAGCTAAAAACTTAAGACGATTAATAAATGAGTGAAATATGATAAGATGTGTAAAGTTATTCCACACACAAGGATTGATTAAAGAGTTTAAAGACCATAATTTAAAAAAAACCTAAAGGAGCAATGGGCATTTATATTTGGACCCTTTTCTAATAGATACTTAATTATATAGCTAATAGATAATAGTCTAATGGAAACAACAATGTTGCAAGATTGTTGAGATACATAATTTTAAAAAGTAATATTAATTATCATTTAGATCACTTTGGACCGAATGCAACAATACCACACCACTGCAGATGTGACGGTGGATTAGATCTAGTGCAATATCATACAAACGTTCATGACGGTATGTTACATTAGACAAAGCTTTAATTCCATCAAAAATTACAGCTTAATTTCTACTTCAGATTTAGCTAAATTGTTATCAATTTATAAACCATAATGCTTATAATAAGAGAACATTTTAGTTTATGATCATATTAAGTTTTGCCATAATTAATTTAAACATTGATGTATTAAATAAATATAATAACTAACATATAATGCCTAAAATACAAACAAATAAATAAACACAATTTTCAAGACTTGTTTATTATTTTACTCATTTTGTTTGCTATTTTGTCTACCGTTCAAGTAAGTTTGACTGGCTATAATCAATATTACAGGCACCACTGATCATCGGGACGCGTGTTCGAAGGATCATGCTCCGTACAGAAGTGAGATATTATATATCCAGCCAAAGGGCATTTAAAGTAAAAAAATTGTACTTAAAAACATTCCTATATTTTAAACACTTTAAGTAGAAACTAGGTTTTCTTTTTTGTTTCGTTTGGTGTTATTGTTGCCACACATTTTTAAAGTGAGCAGCGGATGTAAACTTACGGACGACTTTTTTTATTTAATATATTTTTATTGGCGATATTTGCGTCTATATATTTCTGTATTGTTTCAATAGTATCAATATGTGGTTTTCAGCATTGTACAACCAGTTCTTTGGGTCACATCATCACCATGACGGTCAATGCAGGACTCATGATTCAGGTTGGTAAATAGACTCGAAGATTTCAATAAACAATTAGTGATACTAGTTAATGACGGAAAGCTATAGTCTGAATTGTAAAAATATGCCCCAAGGAGCTATTGTCATCGGAGCGCCAGAAGAAAGTGACGCACGTAAAGACTGAATATTATGGTAACAATCCCTTCTTGTAAATCTGTTCTTGGAGACATTTAGGAATATTCAAGTCTCCTACGAGCAAAATCTCTATATACTGCAATGTGTAGAAGCAATTTTATTTATTAGCCAGAAAGATTAGTAAATACCCCCAGCGTTCGTAAGAAAGCGTTTTCCGAATTTTTAGGCGCTTCTTGAATGTATACAAATCTGGTATCAATCATAATTTTTCTTTTATAGTCAACAGATAATTGTTCCATTTTTTAAATTTAATCAATTAAATCAATTCAATTCAATTAATTAATTATTTGATCAAATCCAAATTAAATCTCTCTTAATCAAATACACATCATTCTTGCCTAATTTCAAACCAGTGGAAACTCACTCGATGACAAAGAAAATTATTTAACACAAAAACAAACAAATATCCTCAAATTTATTTACTGTATTCTTAGAAAATAATTGTAAACAATTGCCCCGTTTTTTTAGAATGGCGATTGTGATAAACTCGCTGTGGTTAAGCAATAATAAATACATAAATGTGCAAACAGAATTTTAACATGAAACAATGCTTTACTGACATCTTGTTGAATAGTTTATCTAAATTGTTTAAAACATAACATGAACTGAATTAAATGCAATTTACTCGTTTAAATGTAATAATTAAAACAGCACTTAATATATTATTCTGTCGATTCAACCTGCACATTTTTGTTTATTATCAATTCCATATAACTTCGGGGCCTCCGTGGCCGAGTGATTAAGGTCGTTGACTTCAAACCACTAGCCCCTCCACTGCTGTGGGTTGGATTCTTTTATGTCAGGAAGCTATCTAACTAGCTTACAGAACGTCGGTGAAAATACTCAGGTGCTCGTTCGTCCCTGAAATAATGCACGAAAGGGCACTAGAGGACTTCCTCCACCATTTAAGTTGGATCGTCGCCATATGATTTTTAATGTTTTGGTGTAAGGTAAAACCAAATCAAACAAATAAAACCATAAAAAATAAAAAAAAACATATAACTTCTCTTCTTTTTGTTTGAAGTTTGGTATGCCCTTAACAGAATAAATAAAGACGGAAATGACACTGACAGATGTCAAAAGGACTTCATACTTCATCTCAGTTGTAAGTAATTCTAATGCAACTCTTATGTCACTTCGCTTTAATTTATTCATAGTCCCATTTCAAATCAACAAACATGTAAATACAAATTTAAGCTAAAATACACCTTTGTGTTTTTTTCTAGTTTTAACTAAAATTGGAACAAATAATATGTCATATTTTGGTGGTCAATCCATCTTACAGGTTTTCCTGAATACTTAACAATAAAAAAGCACTTTTACGTAAAAGACGGAGTGATTATTAGCGGGATGGAATTTGACCATAAAAATTGAACTCCGTTTTCGTATTTGTATGTTTTTTTATATATTGCTTATTTAAAAGAAAGTGATAGGGAGCTAAATTAAAGGTAACTTACATATGCCACTGCTGATAATAAAATTACCTAATAAAACTGAGTCTGCAACATTTGTGATTTTGCTGTGTTGGCCTTCCTTAAAGTTTTCCATATTGACCCAATGAATATCAATTATTTTTCATTTTTTATTCCAGACTCTTTCAAACATCACTCTGATAATTGTAGATGCGAAGGTATGTTAAGTCAAAGCATTTATTACTCTAATCGAGTTTAATATTTTTCAAGTCAGTTGAAAGCAGAGTGCCAGATATTTAAATTTTCTTATGGCACGAAAATAAAAAAGAATAACATTACATGCATATATTGAAGGTGATGTGGACATACATGCATTATATTGAAGGTGATGTGGACAGAGGTTAAGAACAACTAATAACGTTTTAAACATCCGTGCATAACTATCATATTAATCACGACGTTTAGAACAAGGCTAAATGTGAACATTTACTATTTCGATTGCCTTAATGACTAACTTTTATTGACGTTTTATATTTATAATTTACATTTTATTTATTTCTAATTTAGATCAATGCTTAATATTTCTTTAATTTTATAGTCGGAATACTGCTGTTCTGAGTACACAGAAGCGTTCCCTGGCTTGATTTTACCAGTACAGATTTTGAATTTACTAAAGTCCTGAATCTACGAATAGTTTTAGTTAAACTGCTTTTCTTCTTCTCTAAAACTAAAATGCAAATTAAATGCATAGTATAGACCTTAACTCTACATAAAGGAAACAACATTTTAAATTTTTCAATTTCACTTTTGAACAGTTTCGTGCCTATAGCAATCACCCGGTGCAAATGAAGTTGATAATGTAATGGGGAATACCTGATGATAACTGCGAAGTTTGAAACTGTCCAGTAGTGCAATTAAAACAAAATGTTCATTTATTAAACTTGCATGGTTTACCATACATACAGTGCCTGTTGTTCTTGCTACCACTAGTATTTGTCACTTGTATAGCTCTTACATATAAAGCAGTATATTTTATCATTCAAAGATACTTCTAACCTTCCATCGACAAGATCTATAACACACTCAACAACAAGTCTGCCAACAAATCATTATATAACTTGTCAAAGGTTTAACAGTTTTACAAGTAAGTTTCAACTCTTGGACACAAATAATAAATTTCATTTGCTGTTTTGCTTCAGTAAAATAGGTCCATCAACTAGAACAAAGTCTTGTTCTTACATATTTTTGAATATACACAATTATTGTAAGTGTTGAAAAAAAATTGTTGCTTTCTTAATATGAGCTAGATGGTATGTAAGATGATCAGTTTAAAACAAACCAAGTTTATTCATTATTGAAGCAAAAGTTAGAACGTGCTTTTAGATTAAAGAAAACAAAACAATCTAGATAGCGAACATACAAACAAAGAAAACGTAGAAAAGACTTATCCTACATACGAACAACACGCTGTTTTGACATCAAACTTTCTATTAAAAACAAATCTAAATATTAGTTTTAAAAAGGAGGAAGTTGTCTGAAAAATGAAATGAAAACAATGTAACAAATAATACAACAACAAATACTCAAGATGTATGTTAGAAAAACAAAAGAAGCAGGCATGCTTGTAGGAGTATATTCTTGTCAGGAAAATATGTATATTTTCAGAACTAATGCACCTGGTAGATGACTGCATGAGTGCTAATTCAGGTAAAACTATAAGTCTACTTCTATATGAGTGCAAATTCATGTAAAACTATATGGCTTTTTCTATATGATTGAAAATTCAGTTAAAACTATATGTGTGCTTTTATAAAAGTGGAAAATCAGGTAAAGTTATGTCTACCGCAAATGATTGGAAATGCTGGTATATATACTTCAGTATAACTGGAAATTCAGGTAAAACTGTACGTCTACTTCTATATGATTTGAAATTTAGTTGTAACTATATGTATACTTCTAAATCAGTGGACATTCAGGCATAACTATATGTCTACTTCTAAATACCTATATGTCTGTCTATCCCAGTTTACTAAGTACCAGGAGTAGTTTTCATCTAATTGTTTGTTTGTTTGGATTTTGATCACACTATTAAATGACGTCCTATCAATCGCTTTAATTGATGTATAAGCATATTGTGCTGAGTGCACTGAATACCGCCTTTCGTTGATGATCGAATTGATTATAACATTTCAATTAAAATGTTTGAAAAATTGTTTTTCCATCTAAAATGAGTTGAATATTTTTTAAACAATTATACTAGAAATAGACCAGTTTAGATGAATAGTCTTTGCTTACAGTGTGGCACTATCTGGATGACCTTCAAGTCAAAGACCCTGAATGCCGAAAGATTATACAACGTTATTTGGCCGGTAAGTAGTACTTCCTACTAATATATTTATGCGCTTGTTTTGTTTATCTGTTGTTTTTTCTACGCCGTTTAAACACAATTTAGTCGTACTTCGGAGGTCACTTTTACCTTACGGGTTTCCTTTATAACTAAATATTGTAATACATGGTTAATGATAATAAACTATTTATATATCATTAACTTTTGTGTCGTTTCAAATTCTTACTGTTGTGTCTTAAATCGACTCAGTATTGTCATTAATTTCTATGTCTTCAATTACTTTTATAATTATGTATATAATTATTATTGTATATATTATATTATATATATATTATGTTATTTCGTTTATTTAAAATTCTATATGACTTTGTACATAACATCAGTTAAACATAATTTATAACTTTATATCATAACTGATATTTTATTTCCAATTTGTTATTTGTTAACATTTTCAAAAACTGTTGATTATTGGTTATCAAAAAATGGATAGAATTCATTTCAAACATGTTCATTCTGCATCACTTTGAACTTTACTGGCTTTTTCTTTTCAAGCAACTTTTCAAAAGAAAAAATGATATACCTTTTATTTGAAATAATTTTAGAAAATGTGCCCATTGTAGACATATCCACGTTAAGCTTACTCTCAATCGTCCGTGCTATAAATATCATAAATCGGTGTTTCAACATTTTCTATATACTAAATTATAGTACGTTTTAGCTCTCTTTATTTTTTAGCTCTCTTGTACATTGAATGTATGGTTTATTTGATTTCTACACATCTATTGTTATATTTGCAGAACAATACAAAAACAGCATTTCAAGCTTTCAGAATATGGGTATATGTACCTGCCACGAACGTTCACAGCTTGTTGATCACCACATTCCTCATTTGAGTGAGTGCCTTTTCTTTTTTGAATGCTTTATTCCGACAAAATCTATAGGATGTTCCGTAACATGTAGTTAATTCTTAACATCTGTATGTAATTGTGTTTAAATCTATTTTTATATAGGAGGTAACATTGGGTGACAATTTATCTCGGGCATTTGGTCATTTATCTTTTACCGTCATGTGAGATTAGTAGTCGGTAACTTGTTGAGAAATTGGGAATTACTGGTAAAATAGATTTTTTCTTGAACGTCTGTAGAAGATAAATTCTGTAATAAAAAGAAGTTTAGTTATATGTCCTTAAACTTATGTATGTATAAGCATGGTTGTATACGATATAATGAAATAAACTTATTCTCTAAATCTCAGCTTTTACACACTTTTTTTAAAAAAAATGAAATTTATTGACAGAAGTGGTAACAATAGGAAAGTTCTGATCAGGATAGCACGCTTCACTTTTCTCAGTTGTGGATAATATAAAAGAAACAGTTAAAAAAGAGAAATATTCTGCAAAACTGCTTATTAGACTTACCTGTTAGTTAAAAATAGTTCAGGTTTGATGTAAAAACCATTGTTTTATTTAATTTTAAAGCACATGGACACTAAATTTCATATAGTGACTTTCAAGCTTTACTTGTGGAGAAGACCTAAGGTGCAGCTTTTTGCATTATTTCAGGCAATCATATTGTTAATTAAACATAAAATTACATGAAAAACTTATTTTGAGATTCTTTGCGACAATATAGGTTGAATAAATCTTTTGTTTATTATTTAAACAGAAAATGGTAGCTTGAGTCAATGCTCTAACACTAATGGAACATATTCTAGTAAGTAACATAATTATATAAAATCAAAATTTTTGCATAAAGTATGCAATTAATTAACAATGCCATTAAAAACGAAACCGTGATGCAAGTAGGGTTTTGTGACAAAACACAGTACAAAAGTGACGTTAAATTTTAATATGTTTGGGAAAACAGCCTTCATAACAAAAATGTTGTTATATCTAAATATGCTTAAATATACTACTCAACTTTTGCTAAGCAACATATATTTGAGTGTAAATATTTTTGGGATAATTCTATAAACGACGTGCAAAAGTTTTTAAATGTTGATTTACTGTTTTATCAATTCAGCTGAAAGACGAATTTAACCCTATAAATGAGTGTTACCCTGATTGTGTGCTAGAGAAGAGGATGGTTCCCCCTCTTTGAAGGTTTTAAAACATGCAGCGTGTTTCCTATTTTGTTAAATTGGATTTATTTTTGTGTACTGTTTAAGACTTAATAACGTATGTAGCACCCGTGACTAGCAATAACAACTTGGCAATGCCTTCTCATACTCACTTTTAGGTTTCTGATTGTTCTAAATGATATGGCTGCCCATTCTTGGACCAACATGGCTCCAAGTTCCTGGGTGGTCCTGGGTTGCAGCTGAGGACTTGAATTTTTTTGCAGCTTACTCAAAATGTGTTCTATTAGATTTAAGTCAGGTGAGCAAGCTGGCCAGTCCATGCGCTCAATAGACTCCCTCTCTAGATAGTCCAGGACCACGCTGGCCCTATGGGGGCGAGCGTTATTGTCCATCAGAATGAACTGTTCGCCAACTGCTCCAGCATACAACCTTACCTGGTTGTCTGAAATGTCGTCAACATACCGCTTACCTGTCAATGTGCCTCATTTAAGCACAACCATCTCGGTTCGTCCATCCCGGCTTATGCCTTTACACACCGTATCTGACCCACCTCTGTAGCGGTCATGCTCATTGAAACCGTTCATCTTGGTTCACAAGATTCTAGCACCCCTATCTGTGAAGTCTATGCAGAACCTGGACTCATTCGTGTAAAGAACGTGTCTTGTATGTTGCAAGGTCCACCGTGTATGCTCCATTGTCCATTCTAAACGCAACTGGCGATGTCGACTCGTCAAGGGGATACGTATCAAGGTATTCTCGACCGCAAATTACCTTCATACGTACCAATTGCATGGAAACGAATCACGGACCCTACAGCATTAGCAAGGTCATTCAAAGAAAGGTTGCTGTCAAAAACCTTGTATGAGGTGTGTGAACGACAAAAAAAACGATCCTGAACTGGTGTTGTGATTCTTTGCCGACCTTCAGGATGCTTCCTGTTGGGTCTTCAATGTAGTAGGTATCTCTCCCAGGCTCTGGTTATGAAGGTGTGGTGTACACCATGCGCGACACCAACCTGGCGGAAGGTGGCCCCCTGCTGCACCATCCCTACAGCCCTCCATAAATCTGTTTCTCTCAAATTCCGCCTTATGTTATCATTCGCCATATCGAATGACAAATGTAAGAAATGTAAGCCACTAAATGGCAATAAGCCGGCAATGTCGCCGTATAACAAAAGACATGTGATTGTACACCCCTATCAAAACATGTAACATTTGGGTTTGCATGTTTTCCATGCTACCTTAACGAGTTGTAACGGATAAGTCAAGACGGATTCATGCCAGGTGATATCTCAAAACATTGCTGAATCAGAATTTTCAAAAAAATCTGTTTCATACTTGTGATAATATAAAAGTAAACTTATGATGATTAGCAAAAGTTGAGAAGTATATAATAAACCTGTTGGAAACGGTTGCAACTGCATTGATACGTAGTTATATTACATATTAATTTTACATTAATAATTTGGGCTGTCTCAAACAGAATGATATTTGCGAAGATAATGGATGTTTTCTTTTAGTATATAGAAAGCCAATGATTTAGGAATTGTATGTCTTAGTAATTAATGTGTTGTTTGATGAAATAAAGTATCCGAATCGTTCACAGTTCTCACAAACTGATGCATGAGTAAACAATTATTTTGCTTGTTTATTTTTGTTCCATTTTCAGGCATTGTTAAAGAGTTTTTAAAACAAGTTCAAGGACATGGCTGTCAGAATCATGATGTTTGTAAGTAAGAAATATTACAATGAGATGTATGTGAGTACATTAAATTATATTGAAGTTCGGTTTTGCTATATGATAAAAGTAAAACATTCGTCCATTTATTCAAGTGCGACTACAAAATTATTTACATCTTTTCAGCAACGTTAACAGCATCAATGAGGTTAAATGAAACTGAGCAACAAAATTTTTCAATGTTTTGTTACTTTGGCCGTTCTTCAGGCAGGCTGTATGTTCCTATTTCATAATGTGGTTGGCTTGGTTTTACTGCGCACCAACACAAATCAGGTCATATGGTGCATGAGTGATGAGATGATTTTTGCTAAACATAGGTGTTACGCATTTAAAGCAACACCACGGTACTAAACCACACCAGGTGCTCAAGCTAAGATATACAGTACATAGGCACTGCAATTATGATGCTTCAACCCTTAAAGGCAATCCTTCTGCAACAGGGCATGCTAGACATTCTTTAATCACTTATTAATAGAATAGCCAATTAATTTAAATAATTTTCAATCCTGATACCACAGCACCATTTGAATTATTTAAAGATTATGCGCGGATGATATCACTTTATCACGTTGGGGATAACAGAAGCGGGAGGGGGAGGGGATGTAGCCTGTACAGAATTAAATCAGGTAGTTCACATGAGAACTTGTCGAACCAATCAAAAACCGTTGTTGATAAAAAAAGGCTCTAAAAAAAGGCAGTAGAGTGTTTCGTGAAACACCAATATATAAAAGGTGTGTTTATTTTCCAACACCCTGTTGTTATGTATATGTGACCCTTGACAAAGTTAAAGGATTTTGTTGTTGTTGTTGTTGATAACAGGATCAGAGTCTTCCTTAACCTGCACAAAATGACAGGACGTTGATCATGTAAACGTAACATTTCTAACAAAATTTTTATTTGAAAAAAAGATTCAGAAGATTTTTTAATGCCAGAGGTAATAAAATATCTGACCAAATGACCCGTTTAATCATTTGTCAGTAGATAATATCAGACTATAAATCATATTGTTGCAGTGTGGGCAAAACTTGAAGGAGTTCAAAGCCACTGTAATGTCCACCACCACCATGGATCTTGTGGTCAATGGACGGACTGTCAACAGGACCTGATTATCAGAGCTGCTGGTAAGAAATTCATACAATTCTGACTTTTTTTATTAATTCCATTTTATTCAATTGCTACGTGCTTTGTAAAACAGTTTGAATATTTAAATGTCAATATTTTAAAATTATGTATGTTCAAAATTGTGATTAATTAAAGATATACTTTGCTCAAATTTGGTATTAGAAAATATCGATAATTGTAATTATTTGTAAAATAAAATAGCAAATAAATATATTTTTCTTCACTCAAAGTAGATATGTTTTATTAAATTTCTATAATCTAAAGGTGGTCACAGTATAAATATATAATGTCATTAAAAATAACTGGCGGTTTTTTAAGAAAAGACCTACTTTACTTGACCTGTAATAGGAAATACAACTCCCCATACATAATTCAATCATTCTTTTATTCAAATAAGACATATTCAGTAAGAATTTCATAGATTTCAATAAATATCTGTGATTAAAATATTGTAAGTATGAACAAAGTATATCTTTAACGTAGTTTTACATATTACTGAATTAATATGTGCTAAATTACAATAACATACTTTGCATGAATATCGTTTTTTGGGACCGATAAAAAATAAGTTTTACAAACATTAATATATTATACATAATTACGCGTAAAAAATTCTCGAAATTGTTTGTTTCACAACAAATATTTCTAAATTCGTATTATTTAAAATCAACATTATGGTAGTTTGTACTTATAACAGATAATGTATTTCATTGATTAATCGAATCAAATGTTGATCGGTTGCTAAGTAATGAAACATTGTATGAAGTATGAACATTAATATGATGAATCATAATTTTTGATCTACAATAATTCATTATGTGCTATGTAAAGATGTTTCATATCTATAGCTAATACTTACCAATAAAATCCCTATACTGTATAATTAATCGTGGTTAGCTTACACGAATGATACAAGAAAATCAGCAGTATATTATATACTTTTTTAATCAATTCAGGAAACTCTTCTTACATATTCATTACAGTTCAGTACCCAACAGCTAATTCCGACAGTTGTGTATGTGTCAAAGGTAAACAATTCATTGTTGAAACTAACTTGGTCTTATAAGATATGGTCACATCTTTAATTACTATTATATCTCATAAACAGACTAAAAATAAGCATAGTCTGCAATGTTTAATTTTTGTTACCATTCTCGTTTTCAAGATGTTACAACAGTATTCATGTATGTGTAAATGGCCATATTTCGTTGATAAATGTATATGTACGAAAAAGACTAAAAACGTGTGCCTGATTTCAATAAAGGTTTTACATTTTTTCTGTAGCAAACATGCCCCTAACATCTTTATTTACAGCAGCAACGCCAAGCAAAACAACAGCTTCAGTGCAAACAACATCAGCCCCAACCACATCTGTGGCCTCAATTTTTACAGTATCACCAAGACGTAATTATACTTTTATTTGTGTTCTATTTATTTCATTGTTTTAATTTGTACACTGATGTTTAAAAGACCTGCACACATATTCTTTTACATCCATCACTTATTCATGGAATAACATTTTGTGTCAAATTTCATTAACATCGCCAAAAGAACTGTATTATCCTTTTTTTTAATTTGAATTAAATGTAGTTTCATATTAACATGTTCTTCGTCATGCTATGTTCCGTTTTAGCGATTTATAACCGCCTATCTGTCTGTGTAAACACCCAATTAATACGAGACTGCATCATTTATAATATTTTCTTATTGACAAATTTCTTTTTTAGCCTACTTGATAATTGTAACATATTTTGAAAGAAACGAGAAAATAAATGTTATAAAAAACAATTAATGACTCATTCCAAAATAACACAGAATTTTCATCATATAATTAGTATCATTGCAACCACCTCTAATGATGCAGAACTTACTCTATTTTCAAAAATATTTTTCTTAATAATACAATATCAAAACACTTTCACCGTCACAATAAAAATGACTGTTTTGCAACCGCCTTTTAAATCAGCAAAATATTCTAAATATTTCACAGCTACTTTTATCTTAAGTTATATTTAGCATTCTTTTTGTAGAAGTAACTACCTCATCTCAACAATTATTATATTGACAATAATAACAATCAATATCAGTATCTCCGTTATCATTTAAATTTATTTTGGCAACTTATTAACATATTAACGTTTTTTCCATTTATATAACATCTTCTTCAGTATTTTGTCATATTTGAATTACTCAACAACTTCCCTTTCCTCCCTTATCCTTTTTCATGTAGTAAATATGTTTGTACAAACAACTTCTGTAAAACCCACCATTTTATTAGCCCCACTCCCTCCTTTTAAACTACTATTTTGTCAAGGTCAACATAATCTTGTTTGCAACTTCTTTTCATTAATAGGTGCACATATCTGCAGGTGTTAATATATCTTTCACATTATAATGAGCTGTATCAAAAGGTTTCTTATTTTAAGCATGTATTACTGTACATTAACTTTAACTTGCAATGCCAACTATTGTGAAAATATGGTAAAAAACGCACCTGCAACATTTTATTGCAATGTTAAATGTCATTATGCCACCTCAAAATTGAACAAGCGGCAGTTTTTAAAAATTTGAACAGTATGCCTTTTTTTCTTAATATATTATAGATTTTACATGTGCAGAAGTCTTGGTTGTTGAATATATTGCCCTAGCACAACACACAACTCATCCTGAAGCAAGCCCTTGTGATCCAATTAATGGCGGATCTGACGATGCCTATGTTCTTGCCTCGTGTAACATGACGTCACCGATGACGTGGAGAAGAGGAAAAAGTGTAAAACGCGTTCTATGCTTTTGATAAAAATTATTTTGGTTGTAAACTACTTAAATTTCAATCGAACACTTTGAGACTGATGGCTGGGTTGTTTATTTAACGTAAATTTATGCCTGAAACAAATTTATTCGTGTAAATGCATTTTAAAATTATTTATGATTGATCAATAGGAATATTTTGTTGTTGACTAGATGCTTTATTTTTAATATCATAGTTTGTTTTGGACTTTTACTTTATAACATAATATCATTTAAATATGTAAACCTTCAATTAGCAGTCAATGTGTAATTTTGTTTTATGTTTCAGATAATGACTGATTGCAAATCCAACACACATTTGATTCCAGGATTTACTCCAATATCGACATTTTCACAGGACAACTTTAACTCAATAGGTTCACAATCGGGTGTATTTCTTGAATGTTATAATAGCGGATTTAAGGTAAAAACAATGAAAGGTAAAATAATTGAACACAACTTGTTACAAAGGGATTTATTCCGTATTTCTTAACGTAAAATTATCAACATAGTAGTCTTTAAATAAGCTTAAACAAATATTTGCTTAGCTATTGAGATGGAAACAAGTTTTATTAGGAGCAACAACACTGGTCTTAACCCATTGCACCACACAATGTTTCACTCATGAATGCGAACATACGTACTCTGTTCTTAAAAATATCGTAGTGAAAGACCAAACAAAGTCATCATTTCTGACTTTTGATCTCAAAATTAGTTTAAACCTAAAGTTAGAAGTACCAAAATTAGTCTTCGCTTGACAATTTAATTCATAATTACATAATTTATAATTCGTCAGTTTTGGGATAACCAAGAAATTTCAGAAAGTAATAACAACACTCGAACATGAGAAATGATATCGATAGAGCCAGAGCAACAAATGATCATGAAATCAAAATTTCTTAATATATTCACTTAATGGAAAAAAAAAAACACTCTTAACATATATTGAAAGGAAATGATAACATTCCATTCAAAATATCTCACTTATGTAAAGATTAGATTAAGATAATGCCACACTGTTGCGGGTAAATCTATATAAAACGTATAAATACAGGAAAATTACATTACTTTACTGTTCATTTAACACAAAATGTAACAATCTTATATTCACAGTATGAAGAAGTACAAATAACTGAACATATGTTTAATTATAATTCTGCACGTTTGTAACGTCACTTTTCATTGGATAATCGTGACGTTTATATAGTTTTATATACACGGCTGCTGTCGATTCATCAAGAAATCTTACTTTTTTCTTTAAAAAATGATGCTTGCTGTATTATACTTTCGTTATAAAGATTGTTGACAGGTTATATGGCCGTATATAAACGGCTGTTTGCAATATAACCCTCGCCTAGCGGCTCGGGTTATATTTACAAATAGCCGTTTATATAGGGCCATATAACCTGTCAACGATCTTGATAACTAATAATATAACCAGCCGAGATCGTTTTTATAGCGTAATGTAACATATTTTATGACACATGCACTACCTACAGCTGATTAAACTGCACATGGGATTATTTCAAATTTCAATGAAAAAAAGTTAAAAATCGAAAGCGAATAATGTTCAGTTATTTAAACGAACACAACTCTCCTATTATTATACTAAAGCAGAAGGATGTCGCCTGCAAGAACAAATACTAACCTTAAAGTGCTTAAGACACACGCTGAGCACTGCCCACACAATAATAATGATTAACCAAAAGCACCCAGGTGGGCTTCGATTTAAACCGTAATATGTTAACAGCGGAAAGTGGTTTAGAAAGCAATTATATGTATACAAAATGTATCTTTAAAATGAATTAACATTGACAAAAGCATACAAATGAAATAATAAAGCACAGTCAACATGAACAAAAATAAATGATACGCAGAAGGGCAGCGTTATTGAAACGTAACCACTGGTGATAAACGAAATAACTGTGCCCTGTTTGCGATCCAATATAATTCAATATAGACCACCAATAGCACTTAAAAGCACTTGTTGCTCACGCTCATTGTCACTTTTATGGAGCCTATACTTTTTAACTTGTACCTTTCTTACGATAACAGAATGTAGACTTGTTTAAACACCGTGCTATTGAAATAAACACGTGTGTGCTATTGTAAAACGAAACCTTACATATACTCCATTTTTTCTAAGGCAAGCTTCTATTCTGTATAATTACTATTCATTACTTTTGTTACACATATACATGTATTCCTATATATAAATACAGCAATTTTAACTATATCTTATCTTATTTCAGATGGCGATTCAAAAATGTAACAGTTATCCTGAGATTATTCATGTTGAAGGTGGTGCACACTTCAACAATGACCCTAATAACTATTATGTAATTGTCTAAAATATTCTCATATTGCATATTGCCGCAATGCCGTGATCTCTTTTATTTCTTATGGTCTTTTTATAGGTATAAGAACCTTAAAAAGTAACAATTTTCTTGCATCAAATGCAGCATTGTTTTGAAAAATAAATGTTAAACATTGTTGTTATTCACTTTTATTTTGTTTTCTGCTTTCCCGATAAGAAAGAAGAACGATCAGTGATCACATGTGTCGCCTCATAATTGCCAATTGCATGTTGTAGCTATTGTGTATAACTTATACAAACATCATTAATGGGCAAAAAACGTTTTTTTATTCAAGGGCTATAACTCGCCCAAGAATCATTCAACCGGAAAACACGTGCATCTTGCACAAGGACTTTAGCTACATATCAATCATGTAAAGTTTAATCGAAATTGCATAAATGGTATAAAAAGGAGTCGTCCGTACCAACTTTAAATATAAAAATGATTAAAGGGTCCTTACTCTGAGAAAAATCACTGAACAAATAATGCAGATGATATACATGACTAGACTTGGTACTGTCCATTTCTGTAAGGTTTAAATGAACTTGCACTAGCAGTTTTTGAGGAGTAGTACGGATGGACAGACGGATAGACAGACAGATGACGGAAAAGTGACAGTAGGGTGCGAAATATGTCAGCCTAATACGAAATAAGTAAATAATCTCGGCTTGAAAAAAATTCGTTACTGATGTACCTTATTTTGAGCGGTGTTTATCGGCTATTTAACACTGGTTTTGTCGTTTTGATGCGAAAGAATTAACCACTCAGTGCTACGGCCTTCCTGATTAATTCATACGAATATAATTCCCAACCGGTGTTCAATAGCTCGTAAATGCCACTGAAACCCTTATTATTGCTAAAGTAACGTTGATATAACGCAAAAGAAATTTTACATGTACATATATGATGTCCATGCACGGCGGGCATTCTATGTTACAAATTGTGTCATATTTCAAATTTTTTTCAAATTATTTTTACGTATTTTACTTGACAATTATTGATGACAAATTAAAACTTTTTCATTAAATGTAGCCTGTGAATGTTTTCTAAATGGCTTTTTCGAAAGAAATACAAACATAGAGTATTTAATGGTTAACCACCTGAAAAGAAATTTAGTAAGTTATATCATGTATCTCTTTTCTAAATTTTGACGCCTTTGAAATTAATGTAAGAATAAATTTGCCGATAAGTACTCAAAAAGGATGAATGTGTTTAAGAACAAAAAGCTCAAGGTATATTTAGACTTCTGTATCGTCTGAAGTTGTCGCGTGATATGTCACTTATCTATATAAGACGAAGGTAACCTAGTGTATGTTACATAGCAAATCTGAATGAAATATTTTATATCAAACACTATTTGACCACATTAATGGCCATTAATAAAAGACATCTGAAATGACAGGCATGAATTACATTTTTGGGTATGTTTGGGTCATTTATTATCAGGTATGTATCAAGGAATGGCAAAAATGTGGATGGTTACGGAGTTTAAGATTGTTTTCTTTCTAGTCAATATCATATCCAAACGAAATAGCGGCTAGTAGTGGCACAAAGACAAGGCCGACAGAAATGAAATGGAAGTGATCTCAGATGCTTTTGCAGGTGACCATGGTAATAACACCGAATACAATTATACACTTACGTGCACTCACGCACACACGCATGTACCTTAGATGACTCATCGAACATATTGAATGTGCCAGATAAGTAATATGCAAAATGATAAATGTGACTTCTGTTAAAAATATTCAATTTGGTATTCAGATTATAAAACGCCTGTACTATACTAATAGCACTATTATACAAAATTATCGGCCTGGTACATTACAGTAGATTTTTTGTTGGACTTAAGTCACGCCAACACAGAAAATGAATATGGACACTTTCCAATTTTACAGGTGAAGAAAGAGCCCAGGTGTCCTTTCGTGCATTCCGGGTACGAACGAGAACCTGAGTAAAACCAGCAATATTCCGTAAGTTAGCTGGAGTATCTTCCTCATATGAAAGAATACTAAGTCCCTTGTGGGATACGAACCCATAAGTGCGAGGGGAAGTAGATGGGCACTGGTATGTTTATAAACTTGCCTTAAACGCTCAGAAATAGAACAGATGAGTATTATATGCACATAAAGTGTAGCATAGTTGCAAACTATTCTTTTATCTATCACTTTTACATTCTACCTTCAAACAAAAAAAGATATTTGAAAAGCATATATCGTCTTAAGTCAACATATTAATCTGGCCATTTCGTTATGTCCCGATGTAACTTAATATATACAAACATTTATTCAATGTTTATTGTAATATTATACCACTAGCTTATTAAATTTTATCATGAATGTAGTATTTATTACACATCTTGCTACATTTAACGGTAGTGCTACGACATTTAACGTCAATGGAAAAGTGTGCAACATTTACCTTTATATTTACAACATTTATTGGTAGACGATTTTGCGACATTTAGCGGCAGTTACGACATTTAGCGGCAGTTGCGACATTTAGCGGCAATGGTGCCAAATTTAAGGAGTTGTGACATATAACGGCGCCACATTCATATAACGTTAGTATGAAACGTACTAAATTATATTTGTTTTGTCGCGTTCTTATCTAAAGATGACCAGCATGTACGGATAATTTGCGATTGGCATATAATTGCACTTAAAAATCAGTAATGTTTAAGTTAAATCTTATCTATTCGACCTAATTTTATCAACATTTATGCCATTCATCATCCGACAATCTTAGTACGACAGGTAAAGGTAGGATTCAAAATTATATATGTGTAAAAGAATGAAATGTTACATTACATTGTTTAGCATGTCATTTCTGATGCAAGCCATTCATTTGTGTAGCATTTTAAACTTTAATGCAACATGTTTTTGGTTCAGTTTTAACTCGTAACAACACAGGATAGGTCATGTGGCGGCGTCCAAGCTTTACTGTGCAAGAAGACCGCAAGTGCTCTTCCGTGCATTTATGTAGAACACGTACGTATATCTGAGTAGAACCACCGACGTTTCGTAAGCTAGCTAGCTTTCTCAGACGAATTAAATCCAAATTTTCTGTTGAGATGCGAACCTACAGCGATGGTTAGAAGTCAATGACATTAACCTTTCGGCCAGACTTTAAAAACAAACACTATAAAAGGCATAACATTACGATTTGTAACGACATGCAATAGTTATACATATTCATATTCTAACACTAGTGTAAATAAAGTTTGCGCTTTAATATGGTTTAGGAAATATTGTGTTTGCTGGCACTGACAAAGGCAGAAAGTTCATATATAAATTGCTTAATTTTATAAGTGATCTGAAAACAGTGGTATATAATGCTGTTAAAGTGTTTAGCGAATCATTGATGATCACATGCTCTGTCACCTGATAATAGTGTTAATGTGATCTTATATCACGTGTTACATAGCATGTAAAGATAATGAAAATTGTATGATCAGTAGTAGTTCAAAAATGTAGGTGAATGCATATCTGTTCTTACAATGTTATTAATTCAATAATGCATTTTCTTTCCGATGCTTAGTTTGAATAAATAACTAGGAAGTTAGATTTTACTGGTTGTAACACATCAATGAAAGAATCTTCACTTAACTATTGTTTCTCTTTTCATTTTAAAGAAATGTGGTTACCAGTGTTATCTTGTCTCGCTGCACTTATTGTTAGCGGTAAGTAATTATTTCATTTATTTTACCGGACACATTAAGAAAATAAAAATTCTTAAAAAGATTTTAAAACTAACAATGAGAGGCTTGGTTTCTTTCTTACAATTTCCATTGCATATGTTTCTGTTTACGTCAAAACTACATGTGAACAAATGGGAAGCTGTACTTAATTAAAAGTTTAAGTTATAATTTGACATAATTCGAAATTAAACAAAAACAGTCGTCGGAAACCAACAAATGCCAAAAACAGCGCCATATAGAGAACCATAACATTGACTAGCTTTTCTTTAAAAAGAGTGTTTCATTAATATACTAAAACTATATTTCATTTTTAAATGAATAACAAAATATGACTATACACAACGTATTAGTTTATTTTTTGCCTCCTTTTTGGGTTGGCAAAAGAACCTGATTGATATTATGACGGTCACAATCGATTGATCACGTGACAAAAAAGGTTTTGAGAGTGATAATATCTTTTTATCAATGAAAAGGAATTAAAACAGAATGATGATTTTGACCGTGTCTCATCTTATGAAAAATTTACAAAAAGTTGTTGTTTATTTTCTAAATAATCCTAAATCAGTCTACAGATATTTCTTTTTTATCAGCAATTTATAAAGGAAATTTGACTATCCATTTCGGTCTTCATATTTAGCAAGTGGCTCGGAGCCTCTGTATGTTTTGTACATGTATTTATATATATATTTGTCGAATGTGACAAGGAGAATATTAAGGTTACAATAGTTGGTAAACAATATAATATTATTGTCTTATCACATACACATATTTCAGCATCATCTTAAGATTACATCATTTCAATCTGAATGTGACAAATTTGTTACAATGTTTGGTAAACAATATAATATTTATTTTATCATCAGACACCGGTATATTTCAGCATCATCGTTAGATTACAGTCACTGCTTTAACTATCATTCATATAACGGTAAGTTAATAATAAATATTGTTTCTTTTTCTTTAGTATTAATTATGTTATTTTTTACATTGAAAGTATGATCTCCAATAAAACGGTAAATCAAATATAAGACCTGTTTCAAATTATTTGGTACTCTGCATAGCTGAAGAAAATATAGATCTTAGCAACAAAACTTGTTGTTCCATTTTTTTCTTTAAAATCTTGTACTTAATTCTACCTACTTTGTTAGAAGTTCATGTATGTTATCAATGTCATGTTTGTTGTGTAAGTTCATACAAGCATATAAAAACTTTATACAATAATAGTGTGGCCTGGCCGACAACCATTGAGAACTCAAATACCTTTTTTGGATAGAACATTATACCTGAAGCCTGTTCTAAATACTTCTAAAATGTATTATGAAAATGTAATATGAATCGTGCGATTTTAATATGATACATTCAACAGCCTAAAGGACCACACGCATGCATCAAATAGAGTGAAATATTCAATACTTTTATTGAAAGAGTTAAATGAAATCATAATATGCGAAGCACTAGTGAGCATTAGTGAGCATTATAGTGTTATTCAACGAATTCGATAAATTTAGAACTGAATGTATACAAATATAATAATGATAATAATAACAATAATAATAATGATACATAATGTATAATGTATCAAATATTCAAAATAAGAACAGTTAAAGTTTAAAAGAGTCAATTTGAATTGACGCGCCTATAGTGTAACTTTTACATTAACGCTTTGTTTGTATTTATCGCAAATGACGTCACTTCAAATTGTTATTACACTAGTGTATTATCGTTTTTACAAAAAGATTTAATTAAACTCCTGTGTCGTGGATTTTGTCATACAATTGCATACTTTTAATTATTTTTGGCTGACATCGAATGGATTAAGAATAGAGAGCAAATAGTTCATACAACTTTATTATCATTTACCGTTTTACAACTTTATTATCATTTACCATCTAAAACGAACTTTACACTAGCAAATTCTACAAGTATGAGCCTCCTAAACTTGGAGCTGTTTAGCATTTTTCATTTTTCGGCGTATTTTTTTCTCTCTTCCTTTCAGTCCTTTACAATCTTACGAGGCACAACACGTGCTTGGACGTAAAGAAAAGTAAGTTTCAATTTCGACCAATTACTGTTAACTTACATGATGTTTAATATATGTCCCGCCTTAAATACGGAGCATTCCTTTGTTATTTTTGACATTTTATTTTTTAAACAAAAACTCAAATTTAGTAGACATCAGTAAAAAGCCGGTAAGACTGAAAATACCTTCAAACACGTGCGACTTTGATCTGATTATGTAAGTAATTCATTTTGATTCTATTACAAGAACTAATACGAAGATCATACGGGTTAAAACACCCCTATTTTTTATCAATGTGAATCTTAAAAATACTATTTCAAAGCAAGAATCAATTTCATAAATTACATTTGTAGTACATTTAATTAGTTTAAGATGAAATAGTTTTAATAAATGTGTCTATAATATATGGGCTTTTCTGGATAGAACGCTCATTTAACTATCATTCTAAGACGAAAATAGTTACTTATATAAACAAGACCTTATCGCTTTACTTGCAACGAGTTACACACTCAGATAAGACAAATGCTATTTCCCTCTTCTGAACACCTAAAAAATTAACGTCAAGTGGATATGTTGCATGCTTATTCCCTGCGGGCCGGAGCCCGCAGGGTATTGGTACGCGTTTTATTTTTAAGGCATGGAGGAGCACGTGACCTGTTTTCGGTACATGGGGGAGCATGTGATCTGTAAACCGTACATGATGGTTAATTGTCCTATTCGAAAACCTAGCTAAATACCGTTTCCCGGTACGTTACGGATTAACCTCTAGGGCACACCGGTTTCTCAAATGACCGGTGTACACAATGCTAGGGAATTAGTCCGAATTACACCTAATTAAGAACATAACACCATTACGTGATATTTCTAATTTTCTATTATTATTTTACCGTTTAAGGTGGAAAAACTTGCATGATATGTTTGAAAATTATCAATGTTTCTTTAATATCTATCTGAAATTTTACAAACAATAAATTGTTTCTAGTGAAAATCCACAAAATTAAAACATTCGTTTGTGGCATCTGCCATAATAGATAGAGATATTTTCTGCGTAAACTTGTGTGTTTACTTTCTTTTATTTTTTTTGCACAGAATTATTCATACAATGGTATTTGATCATTTTCTTAAACAGAAATATTGTTTTATTTTCGACCAAGACCAAAAACCTTCTTCTATTGATCGATTATTGTCAACTATATTCCTGATACAAACGTTATTTTTTTCCCAAACAATGTTGAAAATAGTTAAATGAAATATCTTTAAATCATTATAAATGTTCCCCGCAGGAAACCATTTTACTTGTATTGTATATGTTTTATTTCAGCGTTCTATCTCCTTCGTGACTTACCAGGAGGAGACGATGACCGACCTTCATGTAGGATGCACGTTATACGTGTTCTAGCTGGTGAGAAATGAAAACTCTTCATACAATGCACTGAATAAAGTAATTGTTTCACTTGAAATGACCACTATTGAACAAATAGAGAAACATGAATTCCTAAAGATCTTTTTTCATAACATTGTATAAAAATCCATAATCGATGCTGAAAATTTAACTTTTATAGACTTTTGAATAGATTGCTTAGCATGGAGAAAGATGACATTTCAAACAGTTTTTTATCTCTTAATATTGACGTACTTGTGCAGTGTTTGACTTAACTGACTTGCAAGTTTGGGTTTTTCTTTGTTGAGCATCGACAGTTGCTAGCAGTTGCTTGGCGCATGAAAATGGCACAATCAGATTGATTATATGCATATTGCGTAAAACTTGTCACTGCTAGGAATCGATTCATTTGAATTAAATCATTTCCCTTTTTTATACTTATGACAACCTCCAAGATCCATGTTGGTATATGTGGCTCTTATTCAGAAAATACATTTGACGCAAAGTCCACTCAATTGAGAAATGTCAAGCAAAATGTCTGTCATAAAAGGAAAAACCTGTTAGGTTAGACTGAAACAGTTATAATGCAAGGCACTTCTTTTCAAAGAAACGTAAAAAAAAGTAGTTCCGGTTAATACTCGTGAATAGTTTAAAAGTCATGTCAATATCAAGGTGTAATAGACGGGCGGAAGTACGTGCTAACATTTGTATACTAAAAGGGCAATCTCATTCCATCGACAAATTGTCTATAAACCACAGAAGATAATATACATTGACAGAGAACTTATGGAATGAATTATATAAAGAATAATTACAGATAACTATATATTAAATACGTATTTAAACGTTTACACAAAACCATTTGGAGTTTACCTGGACGGTCTAAAAGCCAAACGAACAATACTAAATCTATATCCCTCTACCATCGGCGGTGGACGACAAACATTATTTATCCCATTTATATTAAAATATCGGTGAGAAGTCCTTTCTAATCATTTTTTCACCAACAACATTGCCAGAATGGGGGCAATGACATCAACACATTTAAAGTGATTAAAAAGAGATAAACAAAATCATTGAAAATGCACAACACGGCAAAATTGTAAATGTTTCAGACTCGGTTTGATTGAACCTATTTATGAACGGTTATGGTAATTTCTAGCTACCGTCTACATCCTCTAGCACCGACTTAAGCATAGCTTAATTTTGAACGTAAACTTATAAAGTTTTGAGTTTTGAAACATCCGCAGATGTGTTATCAATGAACTTTTAAGGTGACACGTTAGTGCTACAATTTTTAGAATTTGTGACAAGTTTATTTTCTTATGCGTGCGTTTGCACCTTACAGTCCTCATTATCATCAAAAAATTTACAGGCTTATTTTAAATATCATTCAGGTCACTTTGGATCTTATGCAAACACGCCACATAACTGCATTTGTGACGGTAAACTTGATTTAGTGCACTACTATACAGATGTGCATGATGGTAAGTACATAAGAAGGAACTTCCGTTTCAATAAACAGAAATTCTTATCATCGCCTTTACGTTACCCATTATTATAATTCATTATTATAAAAAATACAAGTCCTGCACCAAAAGAGCTGTCCATTGTCAATGTCAGAGATTTTAAAGTGACAAGGGTTATACAAAGTAAATAGTTTTCACTGTCTGGATCAATTGCATGGAAATGCAGGTTTTCATGTATTTTTTTGAATATGCATGTCGTTACACTGCCAAAAAATGTATGGATATATGGAAGTGTACGGAGTTCCGTATATCATTAATATACGGGTAGAAATACCGGAAATTTGAAACATTGAGATGTACGGGACAGCTGTATATTACTTATATACGGTGATCCGTACACTCGAAATTTACGGGAATTTGTTGTACTAGTCCGTATTTTACTAAAATACGGAGTTTTAATAACTAATTAAGTCCGTAAATTAATTACTACAATACGAAAATCGGCATTCTTTCAAATACGGATTCTGTATATACGAGAAATAGAGAATTAAGATTTACTCCTAAACTGCCCATTTCCTATAAGAGGAAATCTAACATTTGTCACACATTTGTCAGAATAACATCAAATAGTAAATTAAAGCTTTAACTCAATATATATTTGCAGGATTTATTTACATGTTTGTATATGTGCACAGAACGTGTAAAACATCGGAATATTTTTTCATGTACAGACAAGACACAGACAAGATACGATGATATGATTTAAAATATCAATCATTTTTTTATTCATGCATTCTGAAGATCATTCATTCATTCGTTCATTCATTCATTTATTCATTTATTCATTCATTCATTCATTAAAAATTCCAGCACAACAGACCGGTTGCGCTAAAGGTCCAAGCTGAAGAATGCATATTACTTCAGCGTTGATGCTGTAAAGTCTTCAGAAGCCTGTGAAATGAATTTTAATTTAATTTCTCAAAATCACACATTTTCCATTAGAATTTCAAATATTTATATAAACATTGAAAATGTATCATTTGAATATTCTTATAAAATATTGCTTACAATGTTGATAAATTTCTAAGTGATTTAGTAACTACGCTTTGGAATAAATATTTATATCATGAAAAGTAATGTTTTGTTCTAATATATTTCATTTTCTGTTGTATAAATATATATCATATCAGTTCATATATCTTACTAATAACATCCATACAAAAAATTCATTTATCATGGTTTCTTGATACTAAATACTTTTAACGTTATTATTTTCTGTATTACAAACTTTCCATAATAGACCATTTAATTTCAATTAGTATTAAAATGAAATATTACAGGTACCTTTGATCGTCATGATGAATGTATCAAGAATCATCACTCGTACGAAAGTAAGCAAGAAACAGTTTTTTGTTCGTTTTACTAGAGCAGCACACGGTTTTCTTTATTTTATTTTTGTTTCATTGATTTAGTTGACATCGGGTACATACCTTAGTGAATTATTTAAGAGATTATATTTTTATGAATTGAGGGGAATTTACAGAATTGCTTGTAAGCGATTTTCCATTCCAGTAGTAACTGCTTGCCTTAGTTGCTTACAAATAGGCTGAAAAAAGGCAAAACTTAACAGAGATATCTTAATTGGCGCTCCTTTAGTTGCAGCAAAACCGTGAAACGATTTGACGACATGTTACTACATGTTATAAAAAACATATGGATGAATCTAGTTTCAAATTTCACGATATCCATTTATATAATGTATATTTATATGTGTTCAGTGAAAACATCTTTTGCTTAACTTGCATAAAATTGATATATTAAAGTTGGTTATGGTACCTTTTGTTCCATATACACTTAACACATGTTCTAAGTACTTAAATTTAAAATGTGTATATATCAAGAATTGAACGACAGTTTATACAAATAACATTTGTCTTGATTGGTCTGATGGTTATACAACAAGATCCGTGATATTTGCTCCCAGAGCGAGACTGGTTAAAACAGTTTTTTTTTTCACAACAAAAATTGGATTTTCAATGACTATTTAAGTATACCAAACGGTAAATGTGTTGTTTGGCGTGTAAACATAAAAGTTCTTTTCATGTCCTTAACAAAAGGGTATATTACTTATATATATGATTGTTTTCAGCATTGTACAACCACTTCTTTGAGTCATCCCATCACCATTCAGGCCATTGCAGGACACATGATTCTGGTATGGTATATAGGAACAGATAAAATCATGCTATTTTCATATCCAATATATTAATCATCCCTTTTACTTTCGTCTACGTTAAAGAATATAAAAAGTGAAAGTAATTAAATAAAAATGTTAAATTGTTTTAGAAAAACGTTTTTTTTGTTGTCTTTCCGTTAAATAAAACCAGAAGATATATAAAGTCTAGAAAAGTAATGTATGGAGAAAATATATCTCAGCTCAAAACAATTAAGAGAAATACAAAATTACATTACACTACATTAATAAAGGTTTATTTAAAGTATTTAAAAACGATACAGTGGATGATTTTGGTGACTACTATTCTTATTGATTGAAAGAGGACTTTTAGAATATTATAATTACACATCATTTGCAATATTTTGTTATAGATTGGCTTACTATAACTTTTTTGTTATTTGTTATTCCATTATATTTACTTCTGCCAGTTAATTTCTTGAATATATCCATAGATTTTCAAAATTCTGAATATTCTGAATAAAGAATCATGTTCATGTTTAAAAGAACATGTACTTGACCAATAACAAAATATTCTGAGTAACCGTAAAAAAGTCACCCCGGAGGTAAATACTGTTGCCCGAAGCGTTATGATTTTTCTTCCAAATCTTAAAGCCCATGTAGCGAATGCCAATCGTGTCCCTAGACTCTCTTTTATCTTGCTCTGTTTTTGTTTCAGTTTGGTATACCCTCAACAAGATAAATCGTGACGGAAATGACCATGATAAATGTCAACGAGAATTTATACTTCATCTTAGTTGTAAGTGAATTTGAACCCGCCCTTCCTTGTTGATCTTGTTTCTTATATAAAACAATCGATTGGAAATAGATTATGGCTTTATGGCTGATCGATAACTCATTTGCCACTTAGTCCATGAACACGCTTAATGAAAAAGGTCCTGCAACATTTTAAATTTTGAGGTTTTAACGCTCCTTTGGAGCTCAATTTTCCTTTAACATTGCTGGCATTGAACTTTGATTTTAAATTTGCCGCCGTCCAAGACCAATTTTGTGGTGTTGATCGACCTTCAATATTCTTAGTTTGAGCATTTTGTTATGCTAAAAATGTTTTTTTTCCAGACTCTTTTGAGCATCACCATGATCACTGTAGCTGCAGGGGTAAGTATTATAATGCAAGGTAATATTATAATTTAGCTGCTTTAGACATTTATTAAGAGAAGTTTTTCGTCATTTGCTTTATTATCAATACTCATCATAGAAAATAAACATAAAGTTTAATTTGCCGATCTATGTAACGTTTATATTCACACTTCAGAAACATTTTACGAGAAGCATTATGTCGTATATTTATGTTTTCGCTGTCGGATTGCACATAATCTCAGTCAAAGATATTTCTATAAAATTCAAAATAATGACTTATGATTTTATAAATTCTGAATATTGGAAACCGATGCAGTAAGTTCTTCGAAGCATAGGAGCATTGCATTTACTAGTACAGTAATTGTATTTTTTACAGTACGATGAATGAAAATTTCGTTACAATTGCACTTCATTCATTGTTCTCGAGGACACTTACAAATGCAATGCTTTAGATCTTTAAAATTACTCTCCCCAAAATTGATTAATAAATACATCTATATTTTGCAGAGCGCTCTACCCCTTCAACACACCCGACGAAAAACCCTTCCACACATCCAGTGACACGCCCTACAACGCAACCAACGACACGCCCTACAACGCAACCAACGACACGCCCTTCAACGCATCCAACGACACGCCCTACAACGCAACCAACAACACGACCTACAACACACCCAACGACACGCCCTACAACACACCCAACGACACGACGTACAACACACACAACGACACATCCAACAACACAACCAGACAGACATCATCCGTATCATGATGTAGTTTGTCTAAAGTTTGACAGTTTTATAAGTAAGTTTTACCAATTGAATAAAGTGCTGATTTGCATTGTTAAAAATACAAGACACTTGATATATATCTATGGCTTTTGATTCTGATGATTGCCAACTTAGCTAATAAGGGTGGGACATGAGAGATAATGTTGTTTTTGTGGTTAAACATAAACATACCTGCAGTCTGCTTTGTAAAAGAAATTTGATTAAAGCAAAACTACGACAGCCAGTCTCTATGAACAGTTTTGTCCATTTGTTAAAAAGAGGAAATCTTCTGAATGCCGGGCTGCATCAAACAGCGAGTTACTGGGCATTAGTCCGTTATCAAGCAAACGGTTTTAAAACTATAAACAAACATAGCTTTTAGTAAAAGCTTATTTTTATCAAATATCTATCACAGCTGAAGTTGAGAAAACACAGGCTTTAAAATAATTAAAGTTTGAAATAAGCAATAGGTATCCAAACAACTTGTTGCAAGCAAGTTGTTTTGAAAACGAACAATGAAATGAAAATAAGCATGGTTTTCTTACTTTGCAGATGCTTCATGCTAGAGAAACTGAGAATTTTTTCGTACATTCTTGATTTCACAATGTATACCTTCTTTTCAGAACTTGTTCAGATAGGAGCAGAAAATACCTGTATGAGTGCAAATTCAGGTAACATTATGTCTCTTTATCTACCTTTTTATTCAGTATCAAGATATTTGAAAACGAAAAGATAAATCTTTGATTATATACTTTTTAATTGTACCTCTTTCATAAAAACAAAGAACGTTTGGAAATAAAATGAGATATTGGTATGATCGGTTTTGAGTATTCTGTTCTTTAAAGTGCCGTTGTTTATATCATTATCATGTCGCAAAGGATTTGTCGAAGATATTACCTTTTTCCACATCAGCACATGCGTTCATAATTAGTAAATTGTCACATAAATGGTGTTGAATGAACTTGTCAAAACATTTCACGAACAAGTACTTTTATTAAAATATGTACTGAAAATACTAGTTTCATTTATTTTTTCTTTGTTATAGTATGGCACTATCTAGATGACCTTCAAGTCAAAGACCCTGAATGCAGAAGGATTGTACAACAATATTTGGCAGGTAAGTAGTAATTTATCTATTATATCGTAATTTAAATTATCTAATTTATTAAAAGTGCTTTTAAAAATATTTTATTGTTCATTTGTTTTGATCAATTTAACGCCGATTTATCAAATCTTTGAACATATATCTGCAGAAAATCCATCTTATTGGCTTTCCTTGATATCGAATTGAAACTATATTTCTCAGCAAGTGACAAACTATTTCCCTAAATGACTTTGAATCGGCGATGAGAGCCAAATGACTGTTACACTCAATGTCTTAGATCCATTGTCACGGAACTATTCGCCTTACCTGACGATTTAGAATTCCTACTTAATTGTATCTAAATTTATTCAGTATTGTTCTTACTTTAATGTCCAAAATTTCTTCTTTCCTGTTGTAGTGCCTATTATCTAAAAATATTAATATTGTTTCGATGCTTTCAATCATCATACCAATTAAAAGCAATAAATTAAAAAAAACTACAATTAAAAATATAGGACAAATACCTTTGGTCTTTTTACATTTAAAAAAGTCATATATCAAATTTTTCAAAATCAAACGATTTTCAAAAAAAAATAAAAAAATAATGATTCTCATATGTTTAATAAGTCCGGTCCTTATTGCAACATCATGACGACTTTCCTGTTGTAGATTTTTTCTCGTTTAAGGCACTCTCATTCCTTTACTTTAAGACTTACTCCGCTTTTGGAGGGAATTGAACGAAAGAATATATCTGTAGATATGACGGAATTAAAGATGTCACCCTTTTCATACAAAAATTAACTACGGTTATGCCAGCTCTAGGTTTGAATACAATAGTACAGTAAACCACCAAATCCACGAAAATACTTTTTAAGGTTTCTTTCAAAATAATGTTGTCTTTTTCATCTCAAGTTTAAATATGTAAAACCGGTTTTAGTTTTATCAGTCACCCAGTTATGTTATTCGTTTTGTAGAAAAATACAAACACAATAGCTCAAGTTTGAAAGAAAGGGGTATATGTACTTGCCACGAACGAACACAGCTTGTCGATCACAGAATCCATCACTTGAGTGAGTACCTGTTTTTGAATGCATAATTCCAACAAGATCGTCTCCAATTTTAGAAGAAGTTTTCGATTGTTTTTTTTTCATGTAAAGTTTACAAAAAAAACGTAAGTAGTAAAAATATCAAAGTTACATTTGTATCGTATAATATACTATATTGAATTTCTAAAGAGACCTTTGAGGACATTGCATCATTTACGGCATGGTGTTTTAATAAATAGAAACAAGAACCTTAAGACATAACGAAGCTTAGAGATGCCAATTAAGTCGCCCCTAACGATTACACATGGTTACACTGTGGCTGTAAATCTTATGCCTTAACCCGTAAAGGCCACCTTTTTGCCACAAAAGGCACAAACTATGTGCAAAGGAATTTATATTTTGAATATGCCATTTCATAACGAATCTTTAAGCTTATTATACTGATTGCTTTTTTATTGCTGTAAATAAAATACAAGTGTAGCATTCAAACAAAATAACCACTAATACACAATGAAAAGCGGCATTTGCGAATTTCAAAGTAAATGTACATTTAATAGAAACAGTGACTACACATCACGAGCAGAAATCATCATTTAAAGAAATATCAGCTTCAGCATTAATAAGTTTAAAAATGTCTTTAACGCGCTTGTCAATCTTTTAATATTGACAAAAACATTTATCATTTTAGAGAAAAGTTCAAAATGTTTATGGATTTAATATGAAACAGTACAATCCAATATTAGCATGATCATGGTCCCATTTAAGTCTAAACATACTTATAAATAAAAAATTATGAATGGTTTTGACTGAATATTGCACTGGTCGCATGGGTATAGAATCAGTTGCTGCCAGCATAGCATGCTAATGGTTTATGGAAATTCCACCCAGATTGTTGATTTACAGTCTGGCAGCGTCGTCGCATGGACGATAAATACCGTTGTAAATAATTTTGGTGTATATTTTCAAACTCTAAAAACGATTTTCGCACGTTAATCGGCGATAGTTTGTGGCACTGCATCAGTTCTCCGGACTAGGCGATTCAGTTACGTTACTTCCATACATTTTCTATTGCTTTTAAGTCTGGTGACTTTGGTAATATTTCCATCACCACGAAAATATTTTTGTGTTTAGAGAGATTTTTGTTCTAGCCACGTGAGCCGGTGTGCCATCTTGCAAAAACCGTTTCCATCTGAACATTGGTAATACCAAAGTTTGGAGAACTTCTTGTTGATACCGAGCGGCGGTAAGATTTCCTTTAATGAACACAATGTTAGGATTTTGCTGCAAGAAACAACGTCCCCGTTGTTGGTATACCCGTTAACGACAGTCATTTTTCTTGTAAGCAGAATCTCTTTTCATTTGTAAACAGAACCCGTCCACTTTCTGCTTGTGTGGTCCTAATATGACGCCGAGCCTACGTTATCGCTTTGCCCGATGCTTTTTTAGTCAATGCAGGACCGTTTTGGGACCTCTTCATTGCCAATTGGCGATCGATCGAACGTGCTTCCTAACGGTCTATGCAGAGATGTATCGTTTGTGTGTCCGGAGCGTGTCTTGCCGTAATGACAGCTGTACGTTTCTCTTCTGACGATGTAATTGTCATAATCCTGTAGGACGGTTATCGACGCTGTCAGTTGCTCTCTACTTATAATAATTAGCTCTTTATTGTAATGTGATGTACACTAAGGAGTTGCGCAACCTACAAGTGATACAAACATCTAATTCCATGTAGTAAATATAGAATATACAATTATATGCTCATTTTTGATATAAACTAAATTTAAGATGACTATTAGCCTATAAAACGCGAATCAATTAAAACAATTATTTAAAGAAAATCAATTTTGCAACCCATTTCTGTTTGGTGTACACTATCGCTGACCTATCCTGTGGCTATTCAACGCTGTTCTATAGGTAATCTACTCATGTGTTTTTTTTGTATTTTCTGATCGCAGATCAGTAAATACAATGCTGACATTCAATCTCTGGCACAGAGATTTCACGACAAAGAAGCGTTGGCTTAAAGAATTGTCGATAAATGCGCAATCACAAATTACGCGGATAAATATCATTTAAATCAATGAAAATGCTATTTTTAGCGATGTCAATTACCGAATACTTCAGAGCTGTACACAAATAAAGCTGATTGTCGAGTAGTGGAATATATACATGTCGGACTGTTTTGGCGAGAAGATATTCGCTAAATCATTTACATCAGTGTTAAACAACAGGTTTATCGTGAACAAAATACCTCGAAATTTATAAAGATTGAACAACCCCGAAATGGAAATTCTAAATTAGGATTATCTAATTTTATTCAAACTTTCTTCATATAACTTCCCGTGGTGCCGGGGTAACGCGCTCGTTTAGGGTGTGAGAGATCTGCAGTCCAAATCCCAGTTGAGGCAACTATTTTAAGTGTCTTTTTAAGGAAGTAGCCACGATATGCAAGGATAACGTGTGGCTGTCATAAAAACATGAACATAAATGATTTTTGATGTAACTCTAGTTATGCAAAATTCAGTTTGTGTCAAACTCAAACTGTTATAGTAAAAAATCTAAAAGCAGTCGCTGCATCTCGGTGCCCTGTAAGATGAATTATAGTATATAAAAATAAACTTATACAGGAAAATACATACGGATATACAGAACGATTTAGATTGCAAAGGTCAGAAAATACTACAGAGCTTGCAGCCCTTTGATTTCTTCTGAAATCTGGATCGCTGTTGAGTACATCCGATAATACCATGTGCAATTTCATTTCACCCTTTGTCACATTTTGTTTAGTACACTGTGTGAATTCCGTCTGTTCATGGTTAAACGCGCCGTGTCATCAAACTCAAACAGTTTGAAAATGCAGTCAAAAGCCAACACACAAAGTTTTGTAAAACATTGAGGAACCAAAATGTTACACGGACATATAGGATTTGTTAAGGATACAATCTGACAAATTTCAGGAAAATTAATTAGTTTTCGTTTGTTTTCTTTTATCAGTTAAATACAATACTAATGTAAAAATATATGAATTGCATGCTAACATCGCTTTGCTTTCTTTTATGTGTTGAAATTGATTAAATGCTTTTCATTTTTATTTTCAATTAGGAAATGGTAGCATTGGTGCATGCTCTAAAACTAATGGAACATATTCAAGTAAGTTGCATATATATCAAAAAAATAAATACATATATTTAGGAAATTATATATGACAAACAGTGATTTTATCGCTAAATAGAATAACTGTTTGGAGTTCGGGTGCAAGGAATGATATCAAGATGGCGTACTCCAAGTGATATAATGATGCGCGTCCGAACGACAAACAGTGATTTAATCAAGCGAAAGAAATCACCGATTTAGATTCATTATTTCTATTCTAACACGACATCAACAAACACATGCTGCCGTATCTGAAATTCAGCTAAATTGTGCCTGATTTGTTTCCGTACTTATTTTCAGCGCGTCAGATTTTAAGAAGTTACGTCACGTATATAATGATTACGTCACATATCTAAAAATAGAACGTCAAATAGTGATTTTAGTGCACGATAACACACACTGTCGGTTCTTCTATGTCCAATAGGGAAAATGTGCGTCGTGTTTGAATAATAGATAACTTGCATATACATAAAGTAGTATGTGTATAATATCTATATTAAAGTTTCATTTCTTATACATTTTTAAGAAACGAGTGCTGGAAAAAAAGCAAAACATATAAGAGCTTTCTAACGTTTTCTTTGTCTAGTTTGATACAATTCTTTGTTATGTATCAACGGATCTAACATGACTAATGTCATTAAAATTGATCATGAAAATAAATACACACTTGTTTCAGAACGACTTTTTACGCGCACTTTTGTTTATTTTATACTACATGTAAGTAATATGAATATATTTAAATACGTAATTTCAGAAAAACTACTCGTGACATATCATTTTGTTTCTAATTCGCCGGTTCAACTATCTGATTTTTTTACGATTTCAAGAAACAGAAGTCAAGAATTCACGATTTCAACTTGATGATACAGCTTTTAATATTTCAACTTCATGGATTCACGTTTTAAACGTCACGATTTGTACTTTGTTAATGCACGATTCTATCGTCCTGAAGATAAAATCTTAAATTCGTGAAATTGAAATCGTGAAGTTTAAAAATATGTATAGATGAAGTTGATTGCATGCAGTAAAAAACGTGAAGTTGAAATAGTTAGTTCGTGATGTTGAAATCGTGAATTCCGTATGCTGAGAATGGGAATGCTATATACTGAAACTGTGAATTCACGAAAATAAAAATGTGAATTCAAGGAGATTAAAATGGGAATTCATGAAGGTTGAAATGTCCCCACCAGTCTATCGTTCGTTATGGTATGACTGCATCATGGATAACAAGCATGGTCATTTAATTTCTGAAGTATTTTACACGATTTTCAGGATGTAACATCGGGATAATTACAAGTAATTTGAAAAAACGGTAGTTTTTGTTGACATTCTTAAATATATAAAATAAATATTAAGTTATAAAATCAAAGAATTACAAGATTTGTACAAAAGTCGACTTGTAAAATGAGCCATTAACTACCTGAATTCATTTTGTTTATTTGGTTCGTTTTTGTTATAATTTTAGATATTGTAACAGAACATTTCACACACATTCACGAATACGGATGCCAAAATCATGATATCTGTAAGTAAAGCAATTTAACCGAGATACTGTCAGTAGAAACACTTATTTTGTAAAATAACTTCATAAAAAAGAAATACCGATGGTTTATTCAATAGTTAACATGTATAACAGAGAAGCCAACATCCAAGGGATCTCCCTTTTCCGGATGTTATTCAACCTTTCATAACTTTAAACTTGCGATAACTCTTTCTTTTGAATAATCGAGAAGATCGATTTAAGTTTACAGAATTGTACTTACTTTCATCTTATCAGTTTCATCTTATAGTGTAGTTATCATTGCTTCAATGTAATTACTCTTTTTTTAATTTGTCATTTAAAGTCTTGATATGACAATGTATGAAATAAGATTGAGATAAGTGATACAAAACCCAATTATATTTTCTAACAATTGTTACGGAGGTTTTGCTATGATGGCTTCATAATATCTGATCCCCTTTCAAATATGATTTAGTTTCGCCCCCATAATTGCTTGTTTCTTTGATAACCGCCCTGTGGACATTTGCAGATGTTTTGAACAATTTCAACATTTTTCAAGTTTAAATTTAAATGTTGAATTCAGTTTAAACTGGTGCTAGGGGGCGTTAACTTCCATTACCGTCCATAAACAGACTAAATCAAACCAAGCTTGCAATAGTGTCAATTTTGTTGTTTTTGGTGATCTTTAGTGATTCTGTTTTTTTCTACTTCAAATACCAATTAATTTGGTGCTAGGAAGCATCGAAAGAAGCTTACATTTGTCACTATCGTCCATGAATAGACTCCATCAAATCAAGCCTGCAAAATTTTCTATTTTGTTTACAAATCATTTTTTCTATTTTGCTTATTAACAATGACAAAAAAATTTCAGTATGGACAAAACTTGAAGGAGTTAATAACCATTGTTCTTTTCACAACGAGGGTTCTTGTGATAGATGGACGGACTGTCAACAGGACCTTATAATCAGGGCTGCTCGTAAGAACATGTGCAAAACATTAAATTATTATCTCATACAAAATTAAATAACATTCAATTTCTAAACAAGAGTCAATTTTCTCGGTTTTGATACTGTCAACAGCAAGTGTTAAGTGCAAAATCGCAGCTGTTAAAATAGAATGATTTGATATGAAATGGTATTCCGTCTGCATTTTGTAAATCTACTATTAAAAAAAAATACTATGAGTACTACAATTTTCAACGAACAACTCCAATGAAATATCATTAGCATATCTTAACACGTATTAATGTGTTATGGGATGCGTTCACTGAATGTCGCCCTGCCTTGTTGATCTTATTTTCATATCTTGACAACAAAATGAAAAGTTAAAAATTAAATTGCTTAAGTCGTAAGGCATCTAATATAAGTTACAGAAAATTATTTGAATATCTTTTCCAGTTCAGTATCCAACAGATGATTCCGACAGCTGTGTTTGTTCGAAAGGTAAATCATCTGTTGCTTTAGACCGTATTTTTCATTATCTCTCATGGGCAGGCTCGATCAAATCGAGTTTGCATTCATCACGTTTATTGTTTTCTGTGATTTCGTCATGGAGAAATGGGGACAGGCTACATTTTAAGAATAAAAAAAAAACAACACGAAATTTTTCAAATGTTGAAGGTCTGCTGTAAAAACATGCCATTTACCATTTCCTATTGTTATATGTTTATGGTCCTTCAGAAATATTGATCGCTTATCATTTAGTGTCCTGCTATTGGCGGTGCTAGGTGGCGTGATAGATGGTAAACTTTTTATGATAACTAACGGAAAGACTCAATCAAACCACGCTAAAATAGTCGAGTATTTGATTTATTTACAAAATAAGTTATATAATATTTATGTCAATTTTACTAATATGTTTGTTTTCAGCACTAGAAAGATCTTAAACATGCCTTTGTTACTTTGTAATAAAACAAAAAAATATCTTCATTGTATTCATAAGAATTAACGACATCATGTTTTACAGCACACGCGACAACAACTTCATCGTCAAACACTTTTATTTCGTCTTCATCTGTGACGTCATCAACAGCAACAACAACTCAACGAGTGACTCCAACAATTCGTAAGTATTTATTTGATTTATGAAAACAACGCTATAAATGAAAACGTTCCTAGTAATATTAAAATATGAACTTTCAATGGGCTTTATGTATGTAAGATATATCAATAAAAGTTTAAAGAAATAGAGAAAAAAAGGAATCTCTAAAGAACATCCTAAAGGACAAAATTTACATTGTTGCAGACTCGGTAAGATTGAGCCTGCTCAAGATGTTTTGAATTAAAAATGTAACAAGTTAATCTCAATGACGTTAAGATAATCAAATGCAGGTTAATGCATTACAGAGTTTGGTTGTGACAAAATCAAAGTGATAGAAAGCCTTGCAGGCTCGTTAGAATCAAAACATGTGAATTCCAGCAATTGCATTCCAAATACGGGAAGTTCTGATGACGCAATTATTCTCTCCTGGTGTAATATGCCGCCACCAAAATCGTGGAGAAAAGGCGCAAATGTAAGAAATATAGAAAATATCTTACAAACTGCATTTAGTTTGGCGATGGGCATGATCTCAAATGCATCGATAGATAAAATATGTTAGCCTATAAGATGACGCGTTCTAAGGAAACAGATAAGTTTCTTCAGAGCCCTTTTATATCTAGGCCTCTATTTAAATAAAGATATTTTGATATCGAATTTGAATTTATATGCCCATGGAATCTGAATTTATATGCCCAAAACAGGATTAATATGTACAGAAATTATATGCCCAATAAACAAAATCATTAAGACTTAGTACGAAGCAATGTTATAGGACAGATAAGGACATTCTCAAGCTAACCAATACATTGTATAGGACAATTTATGAGCATGCCTTAGATGATTCACCACAATTGTGATTCTGACAATAATGATTATTTACATAAAGGTTTGATTTCTTTTTAACATTCAAGGTTATGGATGACTGTGAATCAGGTTCACCAGTTATACCAACATATACGCCAATAGCATCATTTGACAGTGATGTTTATACGGCCCTTGGAGCACAATCTGGTATTTTCCTCGGCTGTTTCAATAGTGGTATAAAAGTAAGTGCAGCAATGCTATTTACATATAGGATAGAGACTATGGACGGTATTGTACGTCACTGCCGTCCATGGTTAAATTCAATCAAAACCAGTCATGCCGTGGTGAGCCGTATCTTCTTGTCACACGATTTGGTAAACTATAAAAAATATTCTTCACCTAGTTGTCAACGTTTACACTGATATAATACGCTCATGCCCGTGATGTGTACCAAGTTAAATGAACACACTTGTAAGGGACTGCAACGTATTTGTTCCTTTCGGATAAAACATGATGTTTTTATGTTAACCGAATTTGCAATCATTGGATAAACGACAATAGAAAGTGACTTAAAATGTGATATTTTATATATTTGAATATTGAATATATCAGTCGCACAGAAATGAAAAAGAATCTCTATAATTAATGAAATGTCATATATTTAGGAACAGAAAAAAACACCAAAAAGTCACAAATTTAGCACAATCACTGAAAAAAGCAGAAACGATAAAGGTTTGCTTAACCTAATTGTGAGTTATCTGCCCTTGAAAACAAGTGAAAATTTCAAATGCAATGACAGATTAATGTGTCTTTTATCTTAGATCATACATTATTAACTCATTCATTTTTGAAGTGTTTACTCTGTATATATGTTTATATGTAACTGTAACGTAAACCTTTAATGCATTGTCACTTGAAAACAATGGTGTGTTAACAATAATGCCATTATGTAAAAGAGGATGAAAATAATCAAAGTGGTTTAGATGATACTAGAATTAACACCTTAATAATCAGTCATTACAGTACACTCTTATTGGGAATTATTTCATTGTATTGTTCATGACTTAATTCAACTCAGAATTATTTCTCCAGTTTTTGTCTTTCAGATGGTGGTTCAAAATTGTAATGGTGTACCAGAAATTGTTCACGTCGAACATGGCTCATTCCAATATAATCCAAGAAATTATTATGTAATTGTTACAAATTAGTAAAATATGATTGTTTGTTTCTTTGTGGCTTTACTTTTATCCTTCTCCTGTATGAATGCAATGTAATTTCATTTGATAAATAAAAAGCAGTCTGAAATAAACAATGCAAATCGTTAACAGTTTGTTTCTTTAAGTCGTAAAATTGCTGTCAAAGTCATAGTATGTACTACGTAAATTGGACGTACAATTCAAATGCAGAGTTTAGTTTTCGCATTTGCATTACAAGTCGTAGCAAAATTCTTCTTCTTTCTTGACAAATCAATCAATTTTAATTGAAGTATATACAATTTAAAGAGGATCATATATAAACCTGTGTTTGAAAACACATATCCTCCAGACCAAGGTATTGTAAGTAACTAATTTGCTAACACGATTTATCAATTTATGCAGTTTTGAAGGGTTGATTGCTTATCATTTCTATTCGATGAAGTTAAAAATTATTCAACTTGCTACTTATACATAAACACAAGAACTTGACCTTAAACCAAGTGCTCAAATCCAGCCTCAAGATAAAGGACAAACCATGTCTATATGAACGATATTGGTCATAAAATAAATGCTTTCTCGGCAAAGATTTAAACAAAATTGATACATCCCGCATTTATCCTTTGTAAATTTTAAGAACTAAGTCAACGTAAGTTTATCAAGTTTTTAGCCTGTACAGGGAGTGTCATTATACAATTTTATGGGAAATCATTTTTATACTCACTTTTGCATTAATTCCAAACTAATACTGCCTTTACAGTATTGTTTCATCCTTAGTAATTACGAATTTTAACTGCTTGTAAAGCGCATCCCTCTCTAAAGGTAGCCATGTTGTTCAATTGCATTATGGGTAGTTACCCATGACATCTATTTAGAATAGTGTCAGACTTTGAAGTAAAAAATTCACAGGTAAGCTGCAGATGGTTACAGATATTTAGGGTTTAATCTTTTGATTTGTAAACTTTAATTCATTTTTCTGATTTAAAATTAGTTTGTCTTGTACTACCCAAGGCTTTGTTATGTATACTTTATTTAGCTGTGTACAATTTGCACACAATTTATATGTTGTGTTCAGAGTTTCGTAGAGTGCACACAGCCAGTCTTTGTGTGCACACATAATTTTTGTTTGCAGCTGAAGAGTATTTAAGCCACAGCAAGTTTAAGAGATTTTGATCTTCAGTTTGGGTTTTGAACGTTAACATGTTTTTGCATTGTAAGTCAACTTAATGTATTTTTTTTCTCTTTTGCTTTTATAAAACAATCCTTTATCAGTCATTTAAAAGTAAAAGTTTTCATTTGAAGTAAGGAATTTATTGTTTAAACTAAGTCTTGTTGAAAGATATGTTTGCATTGTAAGTCAACTTAATGTGTTTTTTTTCTCTTTTGCTTTTATAAAACAATCCTTTATCAGTCATTTAAAAGTAAAAGTTTTCATTTGAAGTAAGGAATTTATTGTTTAAACTAAGTCTTGTTGAAAGATATGTTTGCATTTTGAGCTTAATTATACTAAATACTACACTGCTTAAATTGTTGTTTGGACTTTGTTTATATCATATGTGTTTCGCTGAGATTTTGATAGTTAGGATTTATTATTTTTATATGATATTTTAGATTAATAATAACATTTAAATTTACTAAATCGTGATGTTTCTTATAACAGAAATAGTTTAAGTAAAGGTAAAGGTAACTAAACCCTTTTGTTAGAAACTTCCGATTAAGCCTAGCCTTAATCGAGCCACACTCCCCCGACTTTACCAAAAATAACTTGAGCAGAGACCTAGGAATCCAACAAACAGATACTAAACCGACCAGAGCGTAACAATATATTTATATTTTAACTTTGATGACTGTAATACCTTGCCAACTTTTAAAAGAGCACTCAAAACACATTATTTCATAAAGGTCTATGGACGTTAGTTTCATAAAACAACATATATGTGCATGTACTACTTTTGCTACTTTATCGGTGTAAATAGTGTGTTTCATTTTGTGTCTTGGGTTTTACTTTATAAGTGTTTATTTTGTTTACTTTTGTTGTTTGTTCCTTTGTTTAACAATCTTATTTCTTTCAAATCTTTTATAGGGTTTTATTTTTGTATTCAATTGAGCCTTGATTTTAAACTAAATGTGTCTGAATTTCTTACCATCCTTTACTGGTTTTAGATTATCATTATTGTTCAATAGGTTTACTTATTTACTTAATAAGCTATAGCCACCTTGGTAATTGTTTGTGGTATTTTTTAAGTTAGAAAAGACGCACAAATTTTTCAAATTCAAACTGTCCAAGTAAATAAACACACACGCACACGCACACACACACATTCAATAATTACACCTAATCCAAAGAAACGATCTGGAGGTCATTCTGGTCATTTTGATGGATCATTCAAAAGGAGTGTTGTGTCCAAGTATAAGGACATTAAGTAATTATAAAAGTTAATTACAAAGGGCATACCGGTACTTCTGTCAGACTATCAGAGTTATGAAACCTGCCAAGAGCTGTCACCTAAGTGACGAATGCCCCCGTAAAGGCATCTTAAGCATGCAGGTATTATGAAAATAAAAGAGAAGGAAATTAACTAATTGCTGAATATTGTTCTTTGTATTATTGTACCTGCAGTCTCTAATTGTGATGGCATGAACATTCAAAAAATAAATTTGACCTTGACCTTTAAAGAAGAGACGTGGTTCCTGGACGCGACAGAATGTTGTTATGAGATAGACATTTGTGCCAAATTATTTCAAAATCCCTCAATACATGACAAAGTTACAGTCTGGACATGATTATTGTGTAAGTTGGGACACACGGACAGACGGACACGAGCCTTAGCAGCCACAAATTGTCTTGATATGGTAGACATTTGTGTCAAGTTATTTTAAAATCCTAAGATGCATGACAACATTACAGTCCGGAAATGAATGTGTATCTTCAAACTCTTCTCAAGATAATGAGTACCTTCAAACTATAAGTGTGACCTTGACGGTAGGGACAGGGGTATTGAAACCGACATTTCTAAAACCGTCGTTTTAAAGTGGTTTACATTTATGCATAGCTATTTTATAATTTTTCAATGCAAGATAGTGTTGCAGTCCGGACATCAATGTGTGTATCTATAAACTCTAAGTGTTATAAAATGAATTTGAAAATGGTAATGCGACCTTGACCTTTGAGGTAGGTACGTGTTTCGTTAACGCGACACATTGTCCTGATGTATTAGACATTAATGCCAAATTATTCTAAAATCCTTCGATGCATGACAAAGTTACAGCCCGGACACGAATGTGTGTACTTATAAACTCTTATTGTGATAAAGTGAACTTCAAAATGGAAGCGTGACCTTGACCTTTAGATAGGGATGTGATAATTGGACGCGACAAATCGTCTTGATGTTGTAGACATTTATGCCATGTTATTTTAAAGTCCTTTCATGCATGACAAGTTACAGCCCGGACACGATTGTGTGTACCTATTAATTTTAATTGTGATAATGCTAAACTTCAAAATGTTAGTGTGACCTTGACCCTTGAGATAGAGACGTAATTTTTAGCGCAACACATCGCCTTGTTGTGGAAGACATTTATGCTAAGTTATTTTAAAATCCCTCAATGTATAACAAAGTTACAGTCCGGACACGAATGAAGTGGGGAAACAGAGACAGACAGACGGACGGACAGTCAGGCAGACAAAAAGACGGTGCGATTTATATTATTCCATTGGGGACATAAAAAATTAATGTCATATGAGCATCCGATTTATGATATAAAACCATAAAAAATGTGTAACAGGGTTGTTACATAAGATATGACTGCAGTTTAAATTGCATTGACATAAATTGCACAATGTCATTATGATGGCTTAGGGTTTTCAACAAATATTGTTGTCAATCTGTGTATTCCAGTTTTCACTATAGTATTATATAATTATCTTCATATCTTAATTAACAATAAATTAAAAAAATAAAATAAAAAAATCTAATTTCTTTTCTTGTTATGAAAGCAAAACTTAATTTAATCTTATTAAAGGGAGGTAATAACCTAGACTGGAATGTATATACAAAAAACGAAAACCAATGACACCTATTTTTCCACTAGTGCTTTTGTTTTAACAAACTTGGTAGACATCCACTAGAAGATAATTCATGCCAAATATCAAAGATCTAGTGATTTTGGATTTTCACAAGAGTTTTTTAGTTTTACTATATGCATATAAGGAAAATATATGACCCCCTGGGGCGGGGAAAATTTTGCCTCAAGAGCTTTTATTTAAACAAACTTGGTATACATCAACTAGAAGTTTCATGCCATACATCTAAGCTCTAGCTCTTAAGATTCTATATCAGAGAATTTTTAAAGTTTTTACTATATACATATATTAAGTAAAAGCAATGACCCCCTGGGGCGAGGCCAATTTTAACCCTAGGACATTTATTTGAACAAACTTTGTAGACTTTTACTAGAATATCTTTTATGCTAAATATCTAAGCTCTAGCTCCTTTGATATTTTACAAAAAGATTGTTTAAGTTTTCACTATATATAACATACAAGGAAAAATCGATGACCCCCTGGGGCGAGGCCAATTTTCATCCCAGGGCTATAATTTACATTATTCCACAAGCAAAATATGTAAGCTTTAGGCCTCGCACTTTCAGGGACGACAACTTTCAAAGATTTCATTTTAAAAATCTATTTTAAGCCCTCCTGATTCTGGATTCTGAGAATAAGTTGTTTGTGTAAAAAGTTGACGACGCACGCAATGACGCACCTTGTGCTCAGGAAAGCTAAAAAAGGGTAATGATTGGAGAAAAATTGAAGCTAAAGTAAGTAACCTTGCCAAAATCAATTACAATTTGTGTTGGTAAATAGGTTTGAATGGTTGTAGTTATTGGGACGCTTGAACTTAAGGTATACTAGTATTCTAATTGCCGGTTTAGGTTAACTTTGTCGAACAGACGGACGGACGGAATTACACAGAAGGTTCAATAACAGCATGCCAATAGGCTTAAAGAATGAAATGCAATATTCTAAATGTACACCATAATATTCTTAAATTGAAATTGCTTATCATCTTCATTACAATTTTGCATGACACATGAGAAATACTCTAAAAACGATTTTTATTTAACTTCTTTAGGACATAAAAACCGAACAGCTGAAACTACAACACAAATGGAATCACGGGTCACAATGTAACATGATAAGACGTTTAAATATAGTAGCACACTTGTTTTCGACAACCGTGTACTTTAAGTATATTTGTACTTGTAATGTGGCCTATGTTTGAAAATAGTTTTTTCTCGATTTTTTCTTCATTCGAAATGTATGTGTATGATAAACTTACAAATCATTTTATTGCAAGGTAAAGAGAAATATGATATAAGATTTAAGATCAAAAAATTATTTCTGTATTACAGGAGGTATACATGACAAAAAAACTTACGTGTAGGAAGGGAAAACAACATTAATTTTAAAAGTAAGCTGTTCAGAGACCACCAAAAATTGGATATTTGAAATGATGTCAGACGCATGTTTACGGACGGCAGTGACTTTTGTATGATATCTACCACGGCCCATATTACCGACCAAAGCATAATTTAATATTTAAATATATTTAAGTATTTGGTAAAAAATTAAAATCCACTTTGTTTATATCTTTTTTACGTTTCGACGCAAGTGACCGGCTACTTATCCAACATGATTTCAGAAAAAGCGATGTGAGACAAATGCCAATTAGACAAAATGTCAAAAGTCATTTGTCACAGAGAAAGTTTGCCTCGTCCAAGGAACAAACCTTCGGCCCACTTAGTTAAACCAGTAAAGAATGACCTATGTACACCCTGGAGATGTGAACATACAGAATCTTTTATGTGACATTTTCCTGTACTTTTGATCAATCAAGGTCAATAACCTCACGTTTTAGCGCACAATCTCCCTTATCTATATCAAAATATCTAGACTTCCTTCTGACAGATACCAATTCTTTGCGACCTTAAGCGGCTACGATATATGGTCAAAATAGTCTCATGATGATTAATTCAGGTTTGTTATTTTCTTCTTTTGTTGGTAATCATCATATACCCGTAGTTTATTCGAGCTATGTTTTTCCCATATTTGAGTGCAATTATGCCATCTATGTCTTAATGTTGGGTGTACTGATACGATTCAAAATACTTTTACATTGTGTAATATTGCATTCAGTCTCATACGACTCACTTAGCTTATGGATGGTAGCTTACATTTTCCAGTATCGTCCATCGAAACTGCGTCTTTGAATGTAACCGTTTTTTGGCGTTCTTTCAGGAATTCAGTGTTTGTATTTCACAGACAAATACACAAATCACTCAACAGCCTTCAAAATTTATCCATCATTCAACTGATTAACATAAAATGTGCCTATGGGAAACAGGTGTCCCGACTTATCAATTGCTACTTGATAGTCATAAACTTTGATAATAAATACATTCTGAATAGATGATAGCATTTATAACAATTATAAGGGGGAAATATGGACTTACTAAATAGGTTATCACCGAAAAGTGTAAAGTCAATATTTGAGATCTGCAAGGGAACAAAAGATGTTCCACTTTCTTTATCGCATGATGAAGAATTTTTGTCTTTGTTCTCGCTAAACCTCCCCAAGATACACTTTCTCGTTCAACGGATACACCTCCATCCTGACATGTATTCTCTATTTGTATTTCAGTGAGGACCATCTTTGCTCTGCTATGTCTGGTTAAAACTGCTCATTTCTTAGATTGTACACAATCAAAGGAATATAATGGTAAGTATCTAGAACGGTCAGTTTTTAACTTGTTACTATAGTGGTCAGTTTATACAATAATATTTTAAAAAAAACATCAGTTATTACAAATAAGTGAATCAGACATTCCTAAAATTGAATAAAAAGTGCATTAACTGTATTGAACAGACTCAAACAAAACTAGTCTGCAATTCTATATAGTATTGCTACTTTAATTGCTTCCCAGGAATACCCTTTCCCGGATATTTATATATTACTTACCACTTAGTCAACCATGTTTTGGAAAATAACAATTAAAAAAAGACCTGTTTAAAAAATGTCAGCTATCGCCTCGGTCAATATGACATTTACTGGTGAATAGTATGCTTGCCAATGGTCAATGGTTAATAATAAATTCAGTATCTTTTTTACCTATACTATATCCTTTATTGTTTTTAATACTCTGATTTTTATTCATTTTCAGAACTTTTACATCTAATACATGACGACAACTGTATGAATGTGGATTTGGGTAAATTTATTTGATTAATAGATTTTTTGTTTTGAAACTTTGTAATAGAAAGAGCATCGAAACACGAGGCTATCTGATTTGTTCGAAGGGGCGTAGCTACCAAGTATTTATCAGATTGCCGAGTGTTTTGATGTTCTTTCTCTTTTGTATCATAGTCAAACATGAAAACACGTTTCCTGTTGTCACAATATGAAACCCCGGGTAAAAGTAACCAATGAACGAGCATCTGAATATGACATTTCTGTCGCTTTCCCTTCTCTCCCATCACAATAAGTAAACCCCAACAAAAATGAGCCAATCAATGGGCATGCTCTGGAGTGCGGGTAACTAATACCTGCACTCCAGTTAACGCACTGTGCATGTATATGTATACGATTTATTACTGACACATTTTCAACAGAAATGTCCCCAAACTATGATAAAACTTGTAAAGGAACTGGTAACTATTAGTCAGAAAGCCGGTTATGTGGATCGACGTCTGAAGTATGACCAAATAAAGATTATCAAATTATGAAATAACACATACATTTTCAGTGTTTCAGTACCTAGAGGATTTGACCAATCAGGTCGGCTTTGACTGCAGGGTACGTGTTATTAATGTTCTTTCAGGTAATTATTTTATAAAACCATTACTCTTTATAATCCTACAAAAACTGCAAAATTATTCTAAGAACTCAGTTTATTAAATGGCGCATGGGAAAAAGGTTATCTAAAACATGCGACTTTTCTAACAACGGCTATGGATTCATTTTCTTGCATTACAAACTAATAATAGTTCGAAAAAAAGCTAATATTTCCATTTAGCACTTTTGTCTTATAGTATTGTATGAATTATTACGGCACAACGATGTCATCCGTCATTCTAAGAATTCAATTTGTTCATTAAAGGCGTTTGGGAATGACATTATTTAAAACACGCTATTTAACTTACACGCGGGGATGTAAGACCAGGTTTTCTAGCACTAGTGTAAACAGTAAAACAGTATATCCTCATGTCTGATATACAAGAAAGTAAATAACCTTTTATATTGAAACCCGAACGAAAAAGCCAATAATTCTATTGATCCAATTTATTATTTACTTTTTGGAGTATGTTTTAAAGCTTCAAAAAGAGTTCTTATTTGCCATAAAGCTGTCAATTCTGTGACTTCTTTTGCGTTTTTTCGTTGAACATGTATAACTATTAAAGTGATCAAATATTTAGCGTGGAAGTCAAAATGCAACTAAGCATACATTTTGCTTCATTTATGGCAAATTATTACACTTACAGCGCAGCCTTATTCGGGTAATAAGCGTCTTACATGTTCTTAACAAATTATAATAACATTTTAGATAGAACCTGTTTGCTTTTTTTTAAAAGGATTTTTTTTCATTTCTAAGACAATGTGCCTTAAAGAGCTCCACTGAGGTCTTATAGCCAAATAATAAAATTTGTATTTCTTTCATCAATTAATTGGTGCACTTTAAATAGAAAACTACCAATAGATAATATGTTAATATACTCAGTAGTAAATTAATAATCGAATTATGTATGCGTTTTTTGGCCATTTTGATTGAAAAACACTTTACATTTTGGGTTCAACTTGCACCATAAAATTGAATATATCAAATAAGCGGAGTGAACAAATGATCTAAAAATTTGGCACACGAGTTTTTAGTCCAGAGCTATATTCAGTACAACTAAAGTCTTGAAAAAATATTTTCAGTCCCTTCGTGTCAAAAAACTCCAATATTATTTTTCTTTAATACTTTGATAATCCAAATTCAAGCAATGTAGTTTACGTATAAACTAGGAATATATATTTGATTAATAATATATTGAAAAATTTAAATTTGACGACTTATTTCGATAAATTTTAAGATATTTTGAATATACAGGCATTTTATTAAATAGGATTAAGTAAAATTTATCTGTTAAAATTAAGGAAGTAGTAATTGTCATAACATATTGTTTCGTATTATAACATTTTGTTTTAGAATAAGTCCAATTACCTTTTGCTTGTGTAATGTGTTTTTTTTCCAATGTTTGTCGTAAAAACCAACGACCTGTTGCAACTTAGTCGACAATTTAGCCTTTTAATTGGTTTGTAAGTTTTTATTTCAAAGAAACCATTGTACAATTTATTGCATGATACTGAATTATAATGCAAATCAAGTATTTCATTCAATTTAATAAAACAGTTGATTTTGCAGGTGTATCTAATATTAAAGACCATTGCCTTCCGAATGAGAATTCATATCGAGGTAGGTAGCCATTTATTTAAGACGTGAACTTCTACGCACTTCTACATGAGAAAATATACTAATCAAAAAGTCTAACGCTCATTATAATTTAGATTTTTTTTATATACATTAGACAAACGGTAAAATATTCGATTTCAAATGTTTTATTGAAATAAATTCATTATAACTCGAAACAAAATGCAAAACAAAACAATCACAAAAATAAAAGAGCAATCGACACTTCCTTATTACAAGTGTCAGTTTAAAAAGAAACAAAGTCAATAACGCGTATAACCGCCTCTAGCAACAACTGTTGCAACTTGCAATACATCTGCGGCGCATAGAGTTTATGTTACGTGTAATTTCGGAACGGGGATTTTCTGCCATTCCTGAAGCAACGTATTCTCAAGGTCTTCGAGTGTTCTAGGTGCAACTAGACGTTGACGTGTACGACGCCCGAGCTCATCCCATAATTGCTCTATTGGTTAACGATGTAGAGAACTTAAATGCCACGGTAACACGTTAACATTGTTTTGTTGCAAATGATGCGTTGTGATTCGTGTCGTGTGAGATCTTGCGTTATCTTGTTGGAAACTGATGCCATTGTGTTGATTTATAATTGGGATGAAAACAGAATTTAAGACATTGTTAATGCAACTTTGTGCTTATATGTTTCCACGAATGATAACGAGATCCCATTTACTCGTAGACGTTATCCCACCCTACACCATTACGCTTGCTTGAAAATGGTTGACCGGATTAAGGTATCCATCCGAATAACATTCCCCATGATGTCTGTGAACTCTAGTGCGACCATCTTTGCTTTGTAACGTAAACCCCGATTCATCACTGAAAAGAAGGTTTGCCAACTGTTGTCTGGTCCACCGACGATGAAGTGTGCACCAATTCAGCCTTGCAGTTCGGTGACTTGGCGTCAGGACGCAGCCAACGAACTGACGTCTTGCCCTAAAACCACGTTCACGTAAACGGTTTCTCACACTTTGACCAGATATTGGTCTCCGATATATTTCTATGGTAACGGCAGCGATGCGCTCTGCGATTCCGCATCTGGGATGTTTCAAGTCTATTATCTTGTGCAAGTGTAGTTACTCGCCATCTTTGTGTTCTTCGACGATCAGCAACAGAACCTGGAATAAAAATAGAGAAAGTAACCAGTAGGGTTAACATCAAACATTTCCATAGTGTTGTTCCGTGATTTAACGTGTTGATTATGTGATAAAATTACATTATTACTGACAAAATCACACAAGAGGATAAAAAATAAAAGAAATTACCTGTAGCTTGAAACTTTCTGTTTAATCAAGAATAATAAAAGCAAGAGCACCGCAAAGGCATGGCAATATACGCCCGAAAGTAAATTTATTAGAGTAATCAAAATCTTAAAACTAGGGCATGGACCAAATCAAACATTCTTTTGATAATATATGACCTCCATGATGGAGGCATTTATACCCGAAGTGCATACACGTCGAGAACGTGTTACATAATCGCTACATAGAATTTTAAAAATAGAGGATTATTGTCGAGAGGACATGTTGGTGATTTTTATTCCGTTCCACACTACAAAGTACAAATGTAGTTTAGATTCTTAAACATGTTTTGTGCTTCGCTTGGAAGGAACTGGGTCCGAGTCGTATATTTCTTCAGACCCTGCACAACAGTATCATCTATATATTGTCCCATTCATGTGCAGATTTGACAGTTTGAACATTAGAATCGAGAGAGGAACGCATATTTTCATATTCTAACATTATTTAACTAGCGAACAAAAATGAAACTTGCTAAACGTTAATCCTTTGCGTTCAGAATTGTTTATAAAAGGAAATGACCAGTTGAACTTCTCTTGTTTGTAAAAATTAAATAATGTTACAGCAAAGAGCGAGGTAAATTTCGCAAGTTACAATATACACCAAGCAGCTTTGTGCTGATTGTGTTATTGTTCATATCCAGATTTTCGGTACAGTTTAGATATTTACAAATTCATTGTCTCTGTATGTATGAATGATACACAGACCTTAATGTCTTGAATATCAATTGAATTGGTGAGCGTATATCATCTTCCCGAAAATAATCCTCTATATTGAAAATTACAGGTTGTAACCGAAAAGCGTGACACGGTCGTATAATTCATGGCAAGTTTCATAAAGGTCTACCAGGCAATGCTTTAGAATCATTGTAATCTATAAAAGATAAGATTGTTATCCTACACCTTAGTCTACATCAGGTAAATGACTCGGGCCATGACCAATTTTGATCCGAGGGTCATGATTAAGATAATATTTGCAGAAATGTACAAACTGATGCCACATGCGAAATATCTAAGCTCTTGACTATATGGTTTCACACAATAAGAGTATGCAGAAAAGTTTATATACAACAAGTTAGTCTAAGGTGGACCATTATTACCCAGGGGCATTATTACTATCATTTTTGCTGAGGTTCACAAGGTAATGTTACATTTAAAACATCTTAGACCTTAGCATTGTTGTTTCACAAAATAAGACTGACATGTGTTTTCTCGTGTAAGACTATATCAGCAAGTGACCCGGAGGTGGGGCCAGTATTGATCAAAGGATATGACTAATACCAGTTTTGTACAGACCAACAAGATAGTTTTTCATGTCAAATTTCCAAACTTTAAGCATTGTTGTTTTACAAAAAGAATGTATACAAAACTATGTTAACTAAACGACCCCAGGGCCCGAGGCCAATATTGCCACAAGGAACATGATTCATAACAATTATTTTGTGGTCCACAAAGTGATGTTTCATATCAAATATCTAAGCCCAAGGTGGCGTAGTATCAGTACTATATAAGTATCAGATGATTATTCTTTAAGGAAATATTAATCACGGGGCCAATATTTATCCAAGGAGCATTATTCATATCAGTTGAAGGCAAAGCTACATAATTATTGTCTAAGCTCTAAATACACACTGTATGGCAGATTCACACAATGAAACTTAAATGAGTCGGTATAAATCCAGTTATGCCCGGGCCAATTTTGATCACAGGAAACCTGTGTTACGCACATCATCTCATTATAAATAATATTTCTTCCAAAAAGTTTTATAGCATAAATAGCATAATATGCTGAATGTTTTTCGGGCTTGTCATAAAACAAGAACTGTTGTTGGAAACAGACAAAATGACCCCCAAGCAGGACCCGGAAGATGAATCACGGCCCTTGACTTGCATAAAAGGCATGCTTACTATAAAAAGAGCGCTACAAAAATAAAGAAAGATACTTTCTCATATTCTCTGTGAGCCCAGTTATTTCAGAAAGAATCCGTGAATGAATTTTAAAGATATGACAAGACACAACCATCAATTTAGTACTTTGACATTAAAGTAAAACATTCACCTTTTTAAACTGTTGACGATGCGTTTGCGTGTGACCTTGACTTTCAATGCGGCAGGGACCTAATTTTTGCGCGCGACAAATCGTCATTACGCCAAACTGGAAGTGAACATCAGTGCAGTGCATTTATTATCATTTTCTTTAAAGTCAGAGTGTGACCTTGACCTTTAAACTACAGACATGACACATTTAGGGGAAGGCAAGGGTACAAAAAATAGTCGCATAAACTCATCTAAATTGAGGTTGTTAAAATGATCTGCACTATAAGTCATCTAAAAGTCACGTTAGTCCGCCACTCAAAACGGATCAAGATGTATCTTAATTGATTAAAATTTGACATAAGTCATACGAGCAACTGAATGAAAAAACAAACAAAAAAACATGAATGTTTTTTCTTCAAAATAAATGACTTTGTATTATTTAAGTTCTTTAAGTGTCGCTCAACTATTTATAACATATAAATATTATTATTAAATACACAGACAAGTCATATATTCAATTTACAATTGACAATGATTTTGAATTTCAGATCTGTATTATCAGTTTTTTGAATCACAAGGGACACATGGTAATAACCTTGCATGCAGAACACATCATTCAGGTTTGCCACAAGTTTGTTACAACTTTTAACTTATTTATCAACCTATCAAATCGGTGTCTTTTGTAAAATTGGGTTTTGAATTTCATATACACTATTAATCTAATATTGAAATTTTCAGTTTTAATGGTGAAAGAATTTGACAAAATTTAATGTTTGTCAATGCATTAAGTCCAGTTTTAATAATTTGATAATATATTGCAGTCATCGGTTTTCTTTCAGCTTGCCAAATTTCTTTCCTCCGAACACATTTCTTTTCGATTTTCAAAGAAAATGGGCAAAGATTCTTTATCGATGACCATAGCAATTTGTCCATTGATGTTCTCTACTTTTTTCAGCTAACGAAATATGTAACGCAATTCACAAGTACTTCTTTATAAAGTCAAGGTACTCTATCCATCTGTCACATGTACACGTCTCATTGCACTGCTCGTTCAGAATGTCCAGCCAAACTTTTTGCCCATTACTGTGTACTAAAAGTTTGATCGTCGCCAAAAAATAAAGTGATTTCCATTTTTGTGTTTAAATGTTGCTTCGGTTGGTGCTAGGGGGCGTAGACGGTAACTTGCAAATTTCCATCACCGTTCATGAACAGGCTCAATCAGACCGAGCCTGCAATATTTTTCAATTTTGCCGTGTAGGGCTTTCTTGGGGGACTCTGTGTTTCTTTATTTAGCTCTCCTGGCCCGATTGGAGCGATAGTTCAAACACAAAAATAAACTTATCCATGGAATATTAATACATATATCCACAAAGATAAATCGATGTAGGAACGTAAAAACAACAACAAAAAAACAGTCACACAGGTCCACCCAAAGGACTCCCAGTAGATCACGTAACATAGGGCAAAGCCAGCCCGTAAGACACCAAACAAATAGCAGGAGATGCCATAGGCATCCTTACCTTCAGGACACTGAACAAAGACAGAGGAGGGCAAAGACCTTAGGACACCGAGCAAATGCAGAGGAGGGCAAAGGCACCCCTTAGGACACCGAACAAAGGCATAGGAGGGAAAAGTCACCCCTTAGGACACCGAACAAATGCAGAGGAGGGCAAAGGCACCTCTTATGACAGCAAACAAATGCAGAGGAGGGCAAAGGCAACCCTTAGGACACCGAACAAATGCAGAGGAGGGAAAAAGCAACCCCCTTAGGACACTGAACTAATGCAGAGGAGGGCAAAGGCACACCTTAGGACACCAAACAAAGACAGAGAAGGGCAAAGACACCCCTAAGGACACCGAACAAAGACAGAGAATGGCAAAATTACCCCTAAGGACAACAAACAAAGGCATGGGAGGGCAAAGGCACTCCTTAGGTCACCCAATTAAAAGGCACTCTTTGGACACCGAATAAATGCAGAGGAGGGCAAAGGCACCCCTTAGGACACTAAACAAATAGCGGTAGAAGGCAAAGGCACATTGTAACACACCAAAAAAAGATACTCAGAGGGGAAAGCGGGGTTCATCATGAAGGGTTGTATCAATAAATGTGTCGTTACATTTCATCCAGACAATACTTCTTTTTTAAACTGTGTGAAGTAATACGAGAATATATTTTTATATAATTATTTCTTCCAACTTATTACTTTTTTATATATCTTCCAACATATTTATTTCAGTTTGGAATTACCTGAGGCATATCTCGACTGATCAATATAACTACAATTCTTGTCAGAAAGATATAATATACCATCTAAGTTGTAAGTTACTACAACATATTTTATCTAGCTTTGTGGCTGTATAATATGCATGTATGCAGGTTATATAATGAACACTTTTGTTTATTTTAAGAAAAAAATAAGAACCAATAAAATAAAGACGGTTTAGTTACAATTAGTAACATATTTCTTTGATGTTTGGACAAACGTATTTTTGTAGTCATAAAATAATTTATTGGCATGACATTTTTGATAGAAAATATATTCACTATTCAATAATTTTGTTTATTATATACTAATAAATGAAATATTGAGAAATATTGATGAAATAAAATGCGTATTTTCATTTTCCGTATTTTCACTGTAAAAATTTATTTTTCACTGGAGTGAAACATATTTTCCGTATTTTCACTGGTGTCTTACCGGACTACTTTCTTTTTAATTCTGCCAGCACCCAAAATTTAAGGGAAAGTCTTTCAAATTTTATCGCAAAAAAAGAGAAAATTGTAAGAGAAAAGAGTATATAATAAACAGAAAATTCAAGTTTTTTTCTATAAATACATGATTTATTTTCATCTTGTGGCATGAAAATTACCATATTTCACTCGTTGCTACCGCCACTCATGAAATATTTATTTTCATACCACTCGATGAAAATAAATCATGTATTTATAGAAAAAACTTGAATATCCTCTATTTATTAAGCTTTTTATTGAGGTAGTTTCACTCATTAAAATAATTATGTGATATTGTTTCTTTTTTGTACCATAAAATGGCATGTATTTGTGTGATGAAATAAAATAATTATTATAATTGTTTTATTTATGATTAAATCAATCGTGCGTTTCTTTCCAGATGCATTTGAAATACACCCTGACCATTGTGTATGCACTGGTGAGTCTCAACAAATGTTTCCTACTTTGTATGTGTACCACATTATAAAAGCCAAATATGTGATTGAAATATTCTGCATAAGTTTAAGGCTTTGATACGATTAAGAATAGGACATATCAGCTTTAAAAACGGTGTTCTTGTTTGTGAAAATCTGAAAAGCGTCATCTGCTAAATTGCCCTTATATAGTCATAGTACCCATGACAATGTTATCAATGTTCCAGAACATACTGCACTGCAATCAGTTTAGAGATTGCCAGAGTAAACTAAAGAATAAGGTTAGTTGCTTTGTCAGTCTTTCGATAATAAGACCTCATTATATCCCTGAAAGAAAGGATGCATATTTGCTTTTCATTTATTTACTTACTTACATTTTTTCTTAATCAAACAGTGAATTTATTTTGCAAACAAGTGTTTTACGTGGACTATGACAAAGTGGTAAACATGTCGGACTAGCAATCTATGGATTGCTGACTTTGTGGGCTCAAACCAAAATCAGGGGCAAGCCGTTGTTTACTAAAGCAAGAAACTACACATTCTTTGTTTAGTACTGGCTAGTTCCAAAAGCAGATATGAAAGTCGATTGATTCCTACACAGTCAAACTAAAATAAATTCTCTATAATTGTGAATTTTGCTTAAGCCGGTGCTCGAGGCGTGGATGGTAAGTTGCATTTCTAGTACTGTCCATAAACAGACTCAATAGTAATATATATAACTGAACACAATTATGACAAAATGTCAATTGATTTTGAATTTTACCTGTTAACTTACGATTTAAACTAGGATGGGCATAACGTCACTTTAATACTTCAGCAAATTCTCAGCAAACAAGTGGTCAGCACAATAATAGCCACCAAGGGCATACGGCCGATTCATGCAGTCAATACAGCAGTTACAATCGTAAGTCTTCATATGTTTTCGGTATATTCCAAAAAGTTTCATAAAGATGCGTCTACTTGACTTTGTGAATTAATGTCACGTTGACACTTGATGAAGTTCTTCCAAAGATTTGATATTCGAGCTTAGATAATTATTATACAAGTATGCTATTCCTTTGTTGTAGTTATGTTGACGAATATCTTTTAAAAAAAAATACAGTAGGGAAGGCATAAAGTGTTAAGAAATGAAAGACAAGTTTTACACAAGTCATAACACTTTAGACAAACTACTAATCTACGTTGTATAATTTATAGCAGAGAAGGCATTAAGTGATAAAAAAAGAAAGACACGTTTTACACAAGTCATAAAACATTAGAAAAACTACTAATCTACGTTGTATAGCACTTGAATATTTCTCTTTCAGGACTCCTTGACCTTGGAAATACGAAGGACTGTTTGAGTGCAAACTCAGGTTTGAATGATTTATTTCATGATCAATTGTATACTTTCTATGTATGCCATATCTAACAACTAAGGCCCACCGCATGTTAAACTGCATAGGACATATTCATAGCTACTGAGCAATCGTTCAATATAATTCAGATAGTATCCCATTTTCAAAGTCAAATAGATACACTTCTTTATTTATACTATTTTTATCTGATTCTAGTCAGATACTTTTTCTCAATGTTTTCTTTTCAATCGGATTTTGTCTGACTGACCATTTGTATTATTCTGATTTCCAAGTGCAAGGTCTTGCTTTGTTTTTCCTGTTAAGCATTAAGATCCTCACAGTGATTACCTCCCTTGGCATATCGTTATCAAGGAACTGATGAGGGGAGATCTCTGCGTAGGAGATTGATTAAGCACTATTTCAAAATATGTATTTTAAAGTCAGTGAAAAAGTCTTTCTTTAGTATGTTCAGTCTAGCACTATGCGTTATTTTTTCCCAGTCTGGCACTCATACTTATTCAAGCATTTTTCTTTTTCTGATTTTATTAATCTAGCACATTGTCTTATTTTGTCTTTCCAGTTTTAATTTAAAGTTTCTAATCTAGAAAAATTGTTTTATTGATATCTTTTACACACTGACACAGAAACATACAAATAAATAAATAAATGTGTGTAGTGCAAATACCATAGAAATATTTATTTGCGCCTTATACATTATAAAGTTTTATCATGAAGTCATAATTGATCAATGAACATACAAAACATGCGTGTTTAAAGATCCTGTAACACAATTTTTTATGGTATTATATCATAAATATAATGCTCAAATGAAGATTTATCAATATTGTAAGTTCCAAAATGCATTATTTGTAAAGATATTACCAAACTAACATTTCATGTTAATAAAGGGAGCCAACTGGAAATTTATTTTCTATAAAGTCCAATTCAAATTTTTCAACAAGAAATGAATGCATATATTTTAAAGATTACAAATAATGTGGACAAATATCTGCAGTAGATATTTTACATATTCTTCGATGTTTGAAAATTGTTTATATACAGATATAAAATTTCGTGGTAATAACCTTAATTACAACAAACAGAATCTTTAAAGGGTGTTTTCTTCTGACATTAAGTCTTATATTTATTTCTTTTTTTAGTCTGGCACTTTCTAGATGAGCTCCAAGTCAAGAGTTCAGAATGTCGAAAGAAAATTCAGAATCATATGGCCAGTACGCATTTTCGGATATATTTTATTTTTTCGGACACTTATTATGTTTCATTACTTTTTTAAAATATCTTTCAAATGAAATATTTTAATTTAAGCCATTGTGGTACTGTAAAAGGTTTTTTTAAATACGAGATTAATGGTACATGTTATGTAGGTCTAAACCAATTGCTTTCACTCTGTATTTTGAGAATAAATAATCTTATTGTGAAAAATGATCCACAATTGAAAAGCATTGCAATTATTTTCACTCAAATTGGGATAAAATACCACAAAATTACAATTGTAATAGAGGCTTTTGGACCTCGGTGGTGTTCCTTTAAAAACTGTTATAAATACACTAGATCTACTATGCAAGTTATGGGCCTTATGGCAATAATAAAATGTGCACATAACCTTATTTAATCAACTATTTAGCATTCACGTTTTAAGTACATGTATATTATTTGTAACATTACATGGGTATTTTTTCCAGACGAATACCAACATGCAACTTCACAGCATTACGATGGGTGTATATGTCACGCGCGTGCAGCGCTTCAAAACCACGAAATATACAGAATAAGTTTGTTGTGTTTTGTTTCATTCCTTGGATTTTTTTTGTGGGGGTTGGGGCGGTGCGTGTTTTCTGTTGTTGTTTTCTATTAAATTATGAAACAAACGCGTATATCTACATTACTAAGACATGGGAACACAAGACAATATGTTTAAATACAATCTATTACAAAACAATACACTTTTTTACAGATAACGGAAGCCTGCTTGACTGTAGGGATCACACACGCGATAGCTTATATCAAGGTTTGTAATTTTATACATTGCAAGTAATTGAATTATGTCATTCATCATTTAAAGACGTTTTCGGTAGTTTTCTGTGCGCATCGTTATGCGATTCCAAGAAAGATAATCACGGATAATTACTCTTCAAATGAAGGTCAAGTTGAATAGTATTCGGATAAGTGTTTAAATTTCGGCTATAAGCAAATAATGAGTAAATAATACAGAATAGATATTTCTAAATGTTCAAAAGGAGATCGGTTCAAAAGAATAAGAGGTCGTTTAGACAACATCACATAAAGGATTTCTCCAAGCATTAGTACGACAGCATTGATGATGATTCTGCGCGCGTTACCCCACCCACTTGTGGTATAGTGACAAAAGTGCGTCGCGACTTGATTACTGGCAGACAACTGGGCAAAGAAGTTTAAAATGATATATTTTAAAAGTGTTGAATAAAAAAACAAAATTAATATCTAAGAAATGTTCCGAATGATGTTCCGAATTTCATTATTTTCTTTGTAAATTTCTGAATACTTGCTTACTGTTCGGGTATGTTAGTCGAGTGAAAAAAAATAATATGGCCCTAGATATGTTTTAAAAAGATATTCAGTATCATTTACTTAATATATCATCAAAAGAAAAAGAAATTTTTGTTACAACATGTTTTTGTTGTATATTTGACAATACATTTAGTATAACACTGATATTTCTTAAGAAAGCGTGGTAATTTTGACAGTTGGCATATGCGGTAACCATGGAAACTGCCCGTTTACAAAAAACTAACACGTCAACATATATATTTATTACTATTTTTGAATCCACCATCAAATGTTACTTGATATATCAATAATGTAGAAAGTTCTATGAAAGAAATTTCTTGATAGCTTTAATTTTTTACGGAATTCATGTTTATTTTTCTCATTTTTTGTTAAGTTAAAAAGCATGAAAACTTATTTCTTAAAGAAATATGTTCCAATTATCGTTTGTTTTATACAGAACCCTAAGATAAAGCAAGCTTTGTATAAAATTATGTTTATTGTGAGTGTAATAAGCTATTTTATACATTATTATAACACAGTTTGGCTATTTTGACAATTTTGAGATATACGGTTACCATGGAAACTGCCATTTTTCAAAAAATCCAACACGCCAACATATATTTTTCTTTTTCTTTTTGAATTTGTCATTAAATTTTACACAACATACAAAAAAAAAAGAAAATCCTATGAAACACTTTTTTCAATATCTCTAATTATTCTCAGAATTCATGTTTATTTTTCTCATTTTTTGTTCGGTTGAGGAACATGGAAATCTCATTTTTTAAAGAAATATGTTCAGATTATCATTTGTTTCATACAGAATCATTAGATAAGATTATCTTTGCATAAAACAATGCTTGTTGTGTGTTTTAAGCTATCTTATACATTTTCTATTCGTTATAACACAGTTAGGCTATTTTGACAGTTTTTAGATATACGGTTACCATGGAAACTGCCATTTTACAAGAAATCCAACACGTCAACATATATTTTTCTTTTTATTTTTAAATTCGTCATTAAATTTTACTCATCATACAAAAAATTTAGAAAGTTCTATGAAAGGATTAATTTTTCATAAAACTGTAGAAAATGTCTTTAAAAAGGTACATTTTGTCTCAGAAATCAATATTTTTAGAATTCTTTATTACTACCTAAATGTTATTTAAATTATCTAATAATGGATTTAGATCATGTTTGATGTTTGACAACTAAAGAAAACAGAAACGAACATGCAATAATGTGTCAAAAAGGTATGAAAAATGTAAACAAAGTAGAACTTTGACCTCAAAATACTATGTGATTATACAAATTGCTAACAGAGCAACAGAAGCAAAAGTTAGTTCTTTTTTATGGCAAATGAGTAATTTTTGGTCATTTTAACAATATACCAAAACTGAAATATTTCTAATGAAAATAATATTATAGCATAACTGAGGCAAAATGGGCCTTAAAATAAATTTTACAAAACCAAGTTTTAATAACCATATTATATCCACTTGTTATCAATTTAAACAAATTCAAACTTCTAACAATGATGCCTCCATTGCAATTATGAGAACACTTTCATTTAATATATCCCCATATATTATAGTTTACATCGAATACATGCTTCAGTATCTCATCGTCGGATACCCACGGCCGAACCATTAACATTTATCAGCCGTGGGATTTTTTGCCGATATTCAGTCGATTAGAGGTGTGTCAAAGGCAGCTTTTTCATTGGCTGCCTCACGATTTCATGAGGCGATAAAAACCAATCAAAACGCTCGTTCTGTACGACGTTCGGTATTACAGACACTTTTGCGACAACCAAAGACGACGTGAAAAGTTCAACATCGAAAAATTAAACGATTTCCAGCTAGAAAGCATAGATAATTTACTTTTACAGCGTGATGTTTTCCTTTCTGATTGATATCTGCTTGCAGAAGAACTGATTTGGTGATAGTTTTCGCCATTGATTTTAGCAAGACACGTACAACAGTTTTTAACCGTGGGCGCTGCCATTTTGTTTCTTATCGTTTTTTACCTCCGCTGTTGAAGAATATAGATTTGTTAAACGCGATGTCATTGGTAGCTATTTTACGCACCTGTTGCTGTGTATCGACGCAAATCGATTCATTTTACCCACGGTTGATTGCACGTTATGTAACATGTTTATCAATCGTGGGTACCCGACGATGCAGTATCTTGGCAGGAATCGAACCATTTCATGGGTGCTACGTGTTGTAAAATACCCGAATATCCCCGATTTCACTTTGCTGACAAACATTCTTTAGAGCTTTTGATAAAAAAAACGCAATTTTCTGTCAAAAATTAAACAAAACAACAAGCTTTAAATGTTCAACGTAAAAATCAAATCGTTTAAACAATGTATGTAATTACTCGCATAACAAGAAACACTGAAATGAACGTTCTTCTTATTGTTGATAATATCAAACTGCTTGTTTCAAACATTTCTAATGAAAATATAGATATTTATTTATTCTCTTGGGGAAGCTATATGGTTAATTTATAATGATCAGTAGGTTTACTTTATTGCCCCTAGGTGTCCTCATTATTTAAAAAAGGACACTTACATGTTTATTCGAGTCAAGAGGCATATACAAAATCCCAATTTCAAAAATATGTATCTTTACATGTACATGTCCTTTTCCTTTGTTAAATACACTTTACAAGAAACACACCCTACTAATTGCTTTTATGATTTTTTTAAAATAATACTTTAAATGCATTTCAAATATTTACAGAAATTGATCACAGACTGTTTTCCAATATTGAAGCACAAGGGTGTATGAACCATAATTACCGTAAGTTTCCTAACAAATAATTATAAATGTTTTCATGAACCATAATTACCGTAACTTTCCTAACAGCTAATTATAAATAATGTCTTGAACAAAATTACCGTAACTTTCCTAACAATTAATTATAAATGTTTTCATAAACCATAATTACCGCAATAACTGTTCAGAACTAATATGTTTTATACATGAACTTTCTCTGAATCATTATTATTGTATGTTTACGGAACAATAATTACTGCAACTCTTCCGAACCATAATTCATATGAGTTAATTGAAATATAATTGTACATTGCCCGAACCATAGATGGTGTTGTTACATGAACCATAACAACAAACTGTTTCCTAATCCAGCATTACCGTAACCTTAAATTACTTTCCTAAAAAAACATTTTTTAACTTACTGAACTATTAATATTGTTGATTTATTTATTCATATTTATTAACAGTTTCCTCAATCGTAATTTATTTCAGTTCCTCAACCATATTAATCTAATTTATACATGTTTTCGAACCTTAAATATTGTATGTTTCATGGCCCATATCTTTAGGTTTATGAACAATATTTTACATAATTTATAAAAGTTTTCTGAACATTTACTACTGTATATTTCCTGGCCCATATATTAAGTTTACTGAACCATATTTTACATAGTCTATATAATATTTCTAAACTTTCATTCCTGTGGTTTTCCTTGCCAATATTGTAAGTTCACCGAAGCAAATTTTACACAATATATAAACTATATTTTTTTTCTAAACCTTAATTTCTTTAAGTTTCCTGACCCACATTGTATGTTCAGTGAACCAGGTTAAACATTGTTTATATAATTTATCTTAATCTCAAATACTGTGTGTTTCCTGGCCCATATGGAACAATATTGCCTGGCAGTTCCTTGGTCTTTTACTTATTTAAATTTCTAGAACATTCATTACTTTACGTTTTAACGGTTAAACCTAACTTACTGTCAATCAACATAACTTTAATCACTTACTACATAATAACTATAACTTGCCGGGACCGTGATTTCAATAATTTTCAAGAAACATGATAACTAGAACGATAAAACAAATATTGCAGTGTGGCCAAACCTTGAGAATGTGAAAGATCACTGTTACGATGACCATCGTTGTATCGATTGTCAACAAGATCTAATAATCAGAGCAGCATGTAAGTAAAAACTTAAGATGTATTTTGATTGGTTGACCTGTAGTCACAGCGGCACTCGTAAGGTGACGATCTTCGTTTATACAAAATTTACTTAGTTCGTTTGTGTTGAATTGTAAACTCTTAGACCCATTAACAATAAGATTTGACATTAGAAACGGAAGAAGCATTTCACGTATGCGCATTTTGAATAGCTAAAAAATTAATTACATTTTTTTCAACTTTAAACTTAAAGAAACATTCGAGAATCCGTCCATGGAACCAAAAAGGCAAAGCCACGAGTGCAAAAAGCCAAAATTGGTGTAAAATTTCTTACTGTGAGAATCAATGGCTGGCGGGGTTTGAACCTACATAGTCAAAAATGTTTATATTATTAGATCTAGTCCGTAACTGCGTTAGTTAGTAGATCTACGCCACCCAAGTGCGGCTATTTCTGTTAAAATGGTTATGCGCCGACAAACCTTAGTAAATGATAATATCTATTGACTATAAATAAAAGAAAAATCCTCTTTCACGTCCTTCCAAAATGAAGATCTAGAGTCTACATCTAAAACCTCGGTCTATAAACTAAGAATCGTTTTCATAAAGAAAATGAAAGTGAAAATACATAAAGAAAATGAATGTAAAAAGAATTTACGTTTTGAACTCTGCTGTTTCGAAACAGACATCAATGCAGCGTCTCAATGAATTTCAACTGGTATCTCACAATTTCAGGTTTAAAAATAAGTATGCATATGGAAATGTAACATACAAATGAGGTTTTCTTTCTAAGGGGGAGTAACTGAACAAAACTACTTTCCTACAACATTAATTAAAGATATATATAGTGGGAAGCTGCTTCATTTCCAAAACAATCACGAAGAGTCAACCATTACCATGAATGGGTTATAAACAAAACTTGCCGGACGGACAGCTTGTTTGACTATGTTATTATACTATAACTGAAACAGTGAAAGGCCGTTCATGAATATTATTAAATGGCACTAAGGTCTTAATCAGTTTGTTTGATTGGGCTTTACGTCACACCGACACAGTATAGGTCATTTGGCGACGTTCCAGCTTTACTGGTGGAGGAAGACCTCAGGTGCCCTTCCGTGCATTATTTCAGGCACGAACGGACACCTGAGTAGAACCACCGACGTTCCTCACATGAAAGAATCCAAAGTCCCTGTCGGGATTCGAACCCACAGCGGTGAGGGGCAAGTGGTTTGAAGTCAACGACCTTAACCACTCGGCCACGGAAGCCCCTATCAGAGAGATAGATGTATGACACTAGGAAAAATGTGTGAAATTTCAACTGGTTGGCAGATATAGCGATAATTTACATTATGGTCTATATTAAAAAGATTTGTTTGTGAATATAGAACGATAAAAGTTATATACTTGAAATATGATTTAGATAATATGTGATTTACAAAATAAACAGCAAACTCCCTGATAAAAGTTTCCCCTCGAAACATTGTCGGTTGATACATTCTGTGCAATTGATACTTATTTATAGATTAATTCATGTCTGGTTTCTATGTACTTAATGAAATGTATAAATTTCATATATTTTAAGTGAAATACCCGAGTGATCATAGTGACAGCTGCGAATGTTCTAGGAGTATGTATACCGTTATTAGAAAACTTTTCTACAAGTCCGTTACTATAATGCATGTATGTAAAGCCGCTTTTCATTGGATAATCGTGGTGTTTATTTATTATTTATACAGATTTTGACAGGTTAAATGGTCCTATATAAACAGTTGTTTGGAAATAAGACCGAGACGCTAGGCAAGTGTTATATTGCAAACTACACTTTATATACTGCCAGATAACCTTTCCAAAATATCTATAACGAATTTAAAATACAGCACGTATCTTCTTCTCGCGAAAAATAGTAAGACTTCCTTGATAAATTGACAGTTGCCGTGTAAACGTCACGATTATCCAATGAAAAGCGACGTTACAAACGTGCAGTATTATACTAATATATACATACGATCACTGTAAATTTATGACACTTTTTTCATTTTTTTATCAGATAAAGACCTTGTGTATGTATCAAAAATACTTTAAATTATTATAGAATTAGAATATATATTGTTTCGCCGTGTTGTAAAGATATCACTTTCGCCAGACTACTGTTACAGCACCAGCTTGCAACTGAATTTACAGGGCCATATTACATTTAGGATATTTGAAACTAACACTATACGTACCATTTATACTGTATTTACTTTAAAATACGAGAATTTGCTAGAGCAATTTATTTCTAGTCGAGTACAGTTCTTATATTCTAAGAAAATGCCGTCGGCTAAAAAACTGTAAGTAGTCAAAGGTTCTCTGCTATTTTTTCTATGGTCTGTCAAAATGGAAACAGCTATTAATCTTTCAAGCATTATCATTCAATATTTCCAAGGTTTATAGTTAAGATAGTTTGTACTTTTTATGTCTGATACTGAACTCTAAAAACTCGACTATGCCAAATTACTGTTTTTTATATAGTTTCAGCTACAACTAAACAATCAACACCAACAAGCACTGCAACCACGCCCACTACCACACCCACAACCACGACTTCATCTACGCCCACAACCTCGCCCACAACCACGCCCATAACCATGACTACAACTACGACCACAAACACGTCCACTACCACACCCACAACCACGACTACATCTACTACCCAAACCACGCCCACAACCACGACTACAACCACGCCCACAACCACGCCCATAACCACGACTACAACTACGACCACAAACACGTCCACTACCACACCCACAACCACGACTACATCTACTACCCAAACCACGCCCACAACCACGACTACAACCACGCCCACAACCACTCCCATAGCCGAGACTACAACTACGGCCACAACCATGACTACAACTACGACCACAACCACGCCCACTCGGTCGACAACAGTTATGGTATCTGCTACATCTCCAACAGTCATTCAGCCGTCGACGACTGCTAGTCAGACACCACGACCAACTCCTACTGTAAGTTAATACTATTATCATTCCTTCATATGTGTTAAAGTGGATTGGTTCTACAATGGACACATTATCCATGACTATTTAAAATTTAAATTTGTCCTTAAAAAATAATCGCAAAATGTCGGCCAACTTTGACACTCCCTATTTCATATATTTATTATGACTTTAGTTAGACGACAAGACAATTGTTGTTCAAATTTGTCTATTGAAAAAGCTTTCTTAGTAAGTGCCATTTCTCCAATGCTATATTTGCTTTATTTTAGTCACGAAGTTAGTGTTATGTTTCAAACACCAAATTTTCACTGATTTAAGCACTTCCTTAGACAGAGTTATTCTTCCAACACTATATTTGCATTATTTTTTATCACATCTTAAGACAGTGATATTCCTAAAACCCTATATTTGCATCATTGTCGTCACTTATTCAGGCAGCGTTTTTACTCGAACACAAATTTTAAATTGTTTTAATCACTTTCTTAGTAAGTGTTATTCCTCAAACACCATTTTGCAATAAATATATCACTGACTAAGACATGTTATTTCTTAAACATCATATACGCATTGTTTATTTTAATCACTTCCATAGTCCGATTTATTCCTTTAACACCGTATTTGCTTTATTTTAAGCAGTTCCAGATGAGGGTTTTGCTTCAAAGTTACACTTACAATTTAATTATATTTAACAAGCATTTGTTAACGTGTTTTCAAATGCCCTACTGTTTTAAGTTTAACAACTTCTGCACAAATTCGAGCGGAGAACTTTTTGAAACGAAAGTTGTCTCCATATCTTGTATACTCGTGTTAGATACCAACTTTGTGTAAGCTATCTGGAAAGCTATTTATATCAAAACGGTGAGGGACAAGTGGTTTAAGGACAATTCAACCACGGGTCACGTCCCATTTTGGAAACATAACTGGTGTTATCTTTTAACCTTTTAGGAATGATTTCTTGCATGTAGTAGCCAACATAATTCCTACATACATGCATTTAAGAATTATTAGTATAAAACTTTAAACGAATCATTTGGAGAATGCTGACAGGAGAGTTATAGCTTTATACATTATAAAAACAAAAATAGAAATAAAAATTTATTAAATTGTCATTCGATTCAAATATTTACAGGATTTTCATGTAACAAGCTGGCAGTAATAGAGGGTATCGCAAAATCAATAATAGCGACTGCTCCAAATTCCAGTTATTGCAATCCTGCAGCTTGTGGTTCTGACGACTCTTATGTCCTGTCCACGTGCAAAATTACGTCACCTATGACGTGGAAAAGAGGAGCAAACGTAATTCTTTATTTTTATCTATTTATTTGTTTTATTTACTTTTTTGATAAATTTTATCGATGTATTTTAGTTATTTGCTGAATTCATCCATTTGAAGGCGTAAACAACCATAATGTTTAAACATGGTAAAAGTATTTAGTATTTTTGGGGGGTAAAAAACATCATTCTTTCAGTTTAAGTTTTTTAGATATGCCTTCATCAAGTTTTTCGAAACACTGTCATTTCAATTAAGGCTTAGTTTATAATTTAATTTTAAATACACATTATGCAGTTCACCAAAATACTCGAATAAATGAATATTCTATAGATTAAAGACAATATATTATACTTATGCATAATAAGAAAGTATATATAATCTAAACCAAATGTTGTTCCATCAATTTTTTGACGAAATGTTTAGTTGTCTGATGAAATCGGTCGGTGCAATCACAACCGTTCCTGAACCGACTCAATTAAACTGAGTCTGCAATATCATATCATCGTGTTGGTTTCTTTTCAATTTAACATTATTACATCACAATAATAAGACTATTAACACTATACGCAACTTTAATCAAAGGTTTTGGCAGACTGCCAGTCGGGCAACACATTAATACCGACCTACACACCAGTGTCAACTTTTGAAACTGAAAACTATGTCCCATTAGGAGCACAGAGCGGCATCTTCCTTGGCTGTCACAACTCTGGTATCAAGGTGAGAACCTTACAATTTTCATTAAAATAGTTATCTAACATATCATAAAAGAATGTCTCAAATAAAATAAAATACCAATTTTGAAAACCCATCACAAATATCATAATATTGACGGTTTTTATATTAATCATTGATTGATACTCAATTTTGTTGACAACAACTTTAATGATCAAATCGTTTAAATTGGGAGATGTTTCATAATATTTTACGAATTACAAATTCAATTATTCAATCCAATAACAAAACCATTATGCATTAAATTATTTGATACTGCTTTATTGATATTATTATTGACGTATTTCCCCTTCCTGCATGTTGAACAACAGCAGACAAAAGTGACGTGTGGCGGCTGTATAAATCACCCAATATTTCATTTAGATGTGTTATTTTATTTTTGTTTCTTAAGAATTCTAGTTTCTTTGAACTGTTATGGAGCTGCTTACCTTATGTTGCAGCAAGGGTCACTCCTTATGTTATATAATAAATAGATAGTTGCAAATTAAGGACTTTTCATAACGTTACAATTCATTTTTAATATTCGTATATTTTTACTCAATGTTTTGTTGGTGTTTCAGATTGCAGTTCAAAAGTGTAATTCAGCGCCAGAAATTCTGAACATTGAAAACGGAGTCTTTTTAAATAATCCTAGCAATTACTTTGTTATTGTTTGAGTAGCAAATAAACTGTTTTCCCACTTTTATTGTTGATAGTCTGACTCTGTATTTAACCATCAAACATGTATTTAGGTTAGTATTTTCTGTACTGAAGTAAAACCTGGAGACAAATTTTTTTCAAAACTCGAGAGAAGAACCATTCTAAACACGATATTTCCCATTCACAAGACAAAAAATAAGGCTCTCACCAACAATTTGTTCAGGATTTTGTTTTAAGATATTTTAAGCTATTCTTTCTAAAAAGATAAGAAGCTCAAATAAGCATTTTAACCTAATATAGTCTTAGACAATGCATTGTCTCATGTTCGAGTCGATTTCAAACTATTGAACTATATACCGATATTTTTTATATATAATACTTTTTCTACGATCGCTTATCACTATGTAACATGCTGTCTTTAATTTTTCACTACCACAATAAGTTAACTCCGTGGTTGACAATATAAACAACCCACTCATTTCTTTAACTAAATATATATTAACATATTTTTTAAAATAAACCCTCCTTTTTGCGGCTGCTTTCAATATTCGCTATGACATTAGGAAAACCTAAACCTAAAACGTGACCTTATTTTGCGTCAATAGTTTAACCAAGGTGACAAACCAATAAGAAAAAGGGACGAATATTTTACAACAACCGGTTCACTAATCCTGTTCCCGTCCGATGAACAGGGCTCTACAACAACCGGTTTACTAAACTTCTTCCTTTCCAATAAAAGTAGACAACAACCGGTTCGCTAACGAGAGTAACCATTAGTTTACTAAAATAACAAATGGAATTTGCACACGCACACACACACAACAACAAATTTGTTTTGTTTCTTCCGTTTTCTTGGTCATAACTCGTTCCTACTAACCAGTTTTACTGGAAAACTAACCAGTACTTACCAAGAGCTCCAAAAGTGACTTACTAATAATACCCAGTGAGACCTGTTTTGGCGGTTAGAAACTGGAACATTAGACTCAATACCTAAATTAAGTTTCATGTAGAAGTTTTGCCTCGTCCACTCAAATCAATGACCCCTATTGCCCAAAGGGAACGGACCTCAACATCAACCGCAAATTAATCACCTTTTAATCAGTCACTGAAATGAAGCGTCGTTATGTTCATGCTCTTCGGTAAAGATGGTCAACTTTTTTTTATCTTATCGCCAATAAAATATGCCAGAATCAATTAGACTTTATATTTAGAGGTTAATTCATGGCTGCGGCTCTGCTCGCCATTATATGATAAAGGACCGATCATGTCAGTAATGGCCTGAAGGAGGATTTGTGTGAATAACACTTAGTGCTAGATTTTTTGTATGATGTGTATGCTTAAAAGGATCTGATATTCAGTATGTCCCATTACTTAGATTCTTTTCTTGATGATTTTTCTAGTTCTGCCTTTGATGCTTATTGTCCAATAATTTCTCAAGTTATATCCCAAGATGTAGCCCTAAATCTATATTTACACATGACTTTATATTTTGGCGTTTATTATTTTAAACATTTCTTCTGCCGTTTTCGTGTATATAGATACAGTAGGCCCATCCTCAATCTGAATTAATTTTAGGATTGCTGAGGATCACGTTTTTGCTCTCGCACAGTTATTGTAGTTTTTTCTTAATTTTATAATTTACACATTAACTTTCTTGACTGCAATTGATAACGCTGTCTAAATCTAATATTATTTGATTGAAAGTTGTGACTTAAGACTCTCCATGAAACGCAGCCCTGGGGTAAAAATTGGCCAAATTTTAAAACAGGGCTTTAATTTGAACCAACTTGATGGACACACATTAGAAGATTTTTCATGGTTAATATCTAAGCTCTAGCTATTTTGTTTTTTTAAAAGAGGAATTTGAAGTTTTTACAAACATGTGTTAAATCAATGACCCCCTGGGGCGAGGCCAAATTTAACCCTATGGCTTTTATTTGAACAAATTTGGTTGACTTCTACTAGAAGAGGTGTCATGGCAAATATCTTAGCTCTAGCTCTTTCGATATTTTACAAAAAGATTTTTATAGTTTTTAATACATAAATATTAGGAAAATTAATGACCCCCTTGGGCGAGGCCAATTTTGACTCCAGGGCTATATTTTGAACAATTTTTGTAGAATTTTATTACATGATGTCACAAACAAAATTTCTAAGCTCTAGGCCTTTAACTTTCAGAGGAGAAAATTTTAAAGATTTCATTTCAAAAATCTATTTTCAGCCTTTCTGGTCCAGATGTGTAATTGAACAGAACCATTTTTGTAGAGCTTCATGCTAGGAACATTCCAGGAAAATTTCATCACATTTGGCTCAGTGGTGTCTGAGAAGAAGTTGTTTGCATAAAAAGTTGACGACGGACGCACAGACGCACTGACTGACGCCGGACAAATTGTGATCACAAAAGCCCACCTATAGCACTTTTTGCTCAGGTGATCTAAAAAGGGAAATAGGTGGTTGTGTGGTAAATAGGTTTGTATTAATGTAATTATTGTGATAGTTGAACTGAAGGTATACTAGTATCTAAATTGCCGGTTTAGGTTAACTTTATACGAACAGACGGACGGACGGAATGACACAGAAGGTTCAATAACTATATGCCAATAGGCAATAACAACAAAATACAATATTCAAAAAACCGGAACGCTTAGATTTAAATTGCTTATAACCTTCATTAAATTGTCCATGACAAATGAGAAATACTCAAAAATACGATTTTTATTTAACTTCCTTAGGACATAAACACCGCTGAAACTATAACAAAAATGGAATCACGGGTCACAGTGTAACACGATAAGGCGTTTAAATATGGTAGACACGTGTTTTCGATGGCCGTGTCTGTTAAGTATATTTGTACTTGTAATGTGGCCTATGTTTGAAAATAGTTTTTTCTTGATTTTTTCCTCATTCGAAATGTACGTGTACATGATGTCAGGCGCATGTTTACGGACGGCAGTGACCATTGTATGGAATCTACCACGGCCCATATTTCCGACCAAAGTATAATTTGATATTTAAATATATCTAAGTATTTGGTTAAATTAAGAATCCATTTTGTTCATGTCTTTTTTACGTTTCGACGCAAGTGACCGGCTACTAATCCAACATGATCTCAGAAAAAGCGATGTGAGACAAATGCCAATTAGACTAAATGTCCAAGGTCAATTGATACAGAGAAATATTTGCGTCGTCCGAAGAACAAACCTGTGACCCCACTTAGTTCAGCCAATAAACAAGGACCTATGTTCACCCTGGACATGTGTGCATACGGAATCTTTAATGTGACATATTCCTGTATTTTTGGTCTATCAAGGTCAATAACCTCACGTTTAAGCACACACGGTCCCTTATCTTTATCTAAATATCTACACTTCCTTCTGACAGATACCAATTTTTGCGACTTTATGCGGCTACGATATACGGTCAAAATAGTCTCACGATGATTAATTCAGGTTTGTCATTCTCTTCTTTTGTTGGTATTCATCATATACCTGTAGTTTATGCAAGCTATGTTTTTTCCATAACTGAGTGACATTATGTCCATCTATGTCTTAATGTTGGGTGTACTGATACGATTCAAAATAATTTTACATTGTGCAATATTGCGTTTATTTTATACCCTTCACGAAAAGTGACTCACTTGGCGTATTGATGGCAGCTTCCATTTCCAGTATCGTCCATCGAAACCGAGTCTTCAAATTTTACCGGTGTTTTTTGGCGTTTTTTTTCAGGATTTGTGTTTGTAAATCACAGACACTTACACAAATCACTCATCAGGCTTCAGAATTGATCTAACATTCAATTGATTAACTTAAAATGTTCCCATGGGAAACAGATGCCCACAATTATCAATTGCTACTTGATACAGTCATCAACTGTGATAGTATATACCCTCTGAATAAATATTAGCATTTATAACTTGAAAACTATTTTGAAAAATAACAGTGCGTTTTTATTGAATCATATAGGAGAAAAATCAACTGATGATATATAACAATTGAGTCCCTTTATACCTTTTCATATCAGTATAGTTTATACAGAGGTTGAAAAGAGGTGGGAGAATAACATATTCTAGAGCTAAATCTTAAAAAGGTAACAAAGAGGAAAAATAATTGAATGAACATATAACTTATGAAATTGCTATAAAACAGTTATAATAAAAAAAATTTGTTAATTACGTTAGTTACGGGGGTATTACACCGACAAGGCAACATATTATCGAAATGTTTCTGCAAAAAATTGTCTCTGCCTAACGACATCTACATTTTGTCACAGAAACGACCCTAGATACTATCCCAGCCAGTGTATTGTTCTCATAACTTACTCGTTTAATATAGATCTTTTATAACTATTACATTATTTCTCATGAACAGTCTCAATTAAACCACGTCTGATACTTTCAGTCATTTTTGTTCGATTTAATTGCTCTAAGGTAATATCTCCTCCTTTCCAGGAGCTTCACCTTGTACGTAAGAATGAATATTGTAAGTGTCTGACGTTATCATGTAAATATTTTGCATCCTTCTACTGTCAATGATATCAGCTTGATAAAGCCTTGCCGGATGAACCTTTTCTTTTCCTGTCATTACGTTACATTGTAAGCATATGATGACGTCATATTGTTAACAAAACAGAAACTACATATAGACGCTGTTTTATCGATTCAATTTAAATTATCTTAATTTCTTTTAGAAAAAAGGGGGTCAACAGAATACTTGATAAATCGAATACATGGTTGATGTCGAGAAAGCAGAAGGTTTATAGGGTTGGCTGTGAAACCTTCCCAAGATATCCTTTCTCGTTCACAGGATAAACCTTCTCCTTCACGATATCAACCATGTATTCCCTATTTCTATTTCAGTGAGGTCCGTCTTTGCTCTACTTTGTCTGGTTAAAATTTCTCATTGTTTAGATTGTACACTATCAAAGGAATATAATGGTAAGTATCTAGAACGGTCAGTTTTTAACTAGTTACTAAATTGAATGTGATCAGTTAATACAAAAATACTATACAAGAAGCGCCGCAATGAGACGAAAACTAGGTTTTCAACCATCAAGTATTTATGTGAAAGGAATTAATAATGAAATATGGCAGTGAAGAAAAATTAATGCTGTTTTTGTACCAACATAGAAAATTGGTTTCACTAGTTCAAAATAAAAATATACCAGATACCTGAGTATCCATGCCAGGCTGAATTTTCATGGAAGCTAGATACATGCCAAGTTAAGTATTTAAGTGTACTGAACCTTTGCCTTGCTCCTATTTTTTATATTTAAGTAGCAATCCCAAGCTGCGTCTTAATATAAGCTGCCCACACAGCAAGTTTGGTGTAAATAGGTCAAAGCAAACTAGATTTGTGGGTACTGAATTTCTTTCTGTAAAGGAACAGTGACCTGGACCTTGGTCACAGACACCGTGGTAGCAATCCCAAGATATAAGCTCCCCACATACTAGTACTAAATTTGGTGTCAATATGTCTAAGCAAACTAAAGTTATTATGCGGAGACCTAATTTCTATTTTAAGCAACAGTTAACGCCAGCCCGCCCAAGTAGTGTTTTGATATAAGCTACCTGCATACCTGCAAGTTTTGTGTCAATAGACCAAAGCAAACTAAAGTTATCGAGCAGAAACTTAATTATCATTTTTAGCAACATCGACTTTGATCTTGAATAAACAGATCTGGGTAGCTATCCAAAGCTGGTTCTTGAAATAAGCTAACCATACATTAAGTTTGGTATCAATAGGCCTTAGCAAACTATTGTTATTGAGCAGATACTGAATTTCTATTTTAGCAACAGTGACCATGACCTTGATCAGAGACACCTGGGTAGCTTTCCCGAGCTGCCTTTTGATAAAAACTACCCATAGACTAAGTTTGGTGTCATAAGGCCTAAGCAAATTTATGTTTTTGAGCAGAAACTAACTTTCTATTTTTAGAAGCAGTGACCTTGACCATAATTACAGACACGTAGGTAGCAATCCCAAACAGGGTCTTGATATAAGCTACCCATACACCAAGTTTGGTGCCAATAGGCCTAAGTTAACTAAAGTTATTGTTCTCAAACTGAATTTCTATTTTTTGTAACAGTGACCTTGACCTTTATCACAGACAACTGAGTAGCTATCCCAAGCTGCCTTTTAAAAAAGCTACCCATACACCAAGTTTGGTGTCATAAAGCCTAAGCAAACTAATGTTATTGAGCGAAAACTGAATTTCTATATTTAGAAACAGTGCTCTTGACCTTAATAACAGACAGGTAGCAATCCCAAGCAGCGTCTTGATATAAGCTACCCATGCACCATGTTTGGTAAACTTAAGTTCTTCAGCAGTTACTGAATTTCCGTTGTTTTTTTTTTGTAACAGTGACTTTGACCTTTATCACAGACAACTAGCTGCGTCTCAATATCGTCTACCCATATACTAAGTTTGATGTCAATAGGCCTAAGCAAACTCAAATTATTGAGCGGAAACTCAATTTCTATTTTTAATAACAGTGACCTTGACCTTAATCACCGACACCTGGGTATGCAATCCCAAGCTGCATCTTGATAAAATACCCATACACCATGTTTGGTGTCAATAAGCCTAAGCAAACTCAAGTTATTGTGTGGAAACTTAATTTCTATTTAAGTGATAGTGACCTTGAACTTGATCACAGACACCTGGATAGCACACCCAAGCTGCGTCTTGATATCAGCTATCTATACACCGAGTTTTGTGTCAATAGTCCTAAGCAAATTAAAGTTATTGAGCGGAAACTGAATTTCTCCTTTTAATAACAGTGACTTTGACCTTTATCACAGACACCTTGGTAGCAATTCCAAGCTGTGTCTTGAAATAAGCTATCTATACACCAACCTTTGTGTCAATAGGTCTAACCAAACTAAACTTATTGAGCGGAAACTGAATTTCTATTTTAGTTACAGTGACCTTGACCTTGATCGTCGACACCTGAGTAGCAATCCCAAGCTGTATCTTGATATTAGCTACTTATAAACCAAGTTTGGTGAGCAAACTCAAGTTATTGAGCGGAAAGTTGACGCTCGCCCGCCCGCATACTTTGGCATTACAATTACCCGGTTTCCGTTGAAAAACCTGGTTAAATAGAAAATATCAATTATTAAACAAGAGCCGGTTGCACGGGGCGATGCTCCCCACACAGGAAAATATTCCTCTTGTTGTGTCAGAGTTATGTCAAAGACCAAGTTCAAAGTGTAAAAATAACCCAAATATTGCGCGCGACACACTGTATTTAACCTTTACCTTCAAGGTAGCGACCCAAATGATGCGCGTGACACATTGTCATAATATGGTGATCATTCCCGTGAAATAGTTGTAAAATCCAACTTCAAATAACAAAGTTATAGGCCGGACATGATTTTGTTGCAAGGAAATGCTGTGACCTTGACCTTCAAGGTTGCTACCAAAATGTTGTGCACGACAATCGTCTCAATATGGTGATAATTTCTGTGAAATAGTTGTAAAATCCGACTTCAAATAATGAAGTTATGGGCCGGACACGAAATCGGAAACGTACGTAGGTACGTTCGAATGGACTGACGGACTGATGGAAGGACGGACAATCCGGCGTCTATATTCTCCCACGAAATTTTTCGCGGAGCTTAAGAAGAGTGAATCTGATATTCCTGAATCTAGTATTCCTAAAATTGAATAAAAAGTACAGTAACTTTCATGAACAGACTCATACAAAACTATTATTTTGCTACTTTAATTGCTTCCCTTTAATCCCCTTTCCAAGATTTTTATAGAATACTTCATGTTTTGGGAAAAAATATTAAAAAAACAACAGACATGTTTAAAAAACTTAGCTATCGACTCGGCCAATATGACATTTACCGGTGAATAGTATGCTTGCCAAAAGCTAACTTAAAAAACTTTTATTTTTATCTTTTTCAATAAATTCATTTTTAAACCTATACTTATTCAATATCCTTAATCGATTATATGACACTGATTTGTTATTTATTTTCAGAACTTTTACATCTTATACATGACGACAACTGTATGAATGTGGATTTGGGTAAAGTTATTTGATTAATAGACTATATGTTTGGGAAATACATGTTTTAATTCTAAATATATAATATGATGTTTGTGTTTCTTTAGCATTGACTTAAAAATCATTTTGAATTAATCGTCGGTCACTTGCAAAGGAACTCTGGTCAGAAAGCCAGTTTTGTGCATCGACGTCTGCAGTATGACCAAATAAAGATTATCAAATAATGAAATAACACATACATTTTCAGTGTTTCAGTACCTAGAGGATCTAAACAATCAGGTCGGCGTTAACTGCAGGATAAGTGTGATTCGTGCTCTTTCAGGTAACTATATCATTAAACCATAACTCCTTTTCGTTAATCCTTCAAAAACTGCAAATCATTATAAGAATGCTGTTCATTCACACATTTTTCAAATTTTACCTTACTCTGTTAAATAAAAACCTCGAAACAAAGTGATCCCTCGGAAACATTAATCACAACAAAATTACAAGAGAATTGCAGACTCGGTTGGATTGAGTCTGTACATGACGGATAATGAATACGTGCAACATCCCTCACGCCCCCTAGTACCGGCTTGGGCGACACTCCATTCTCAAACTTAATAGTACTGGCATCAATAATCCTAAAGGACCAGAAAAATATAACAACACTGAAGTGAAGTACGAGGTAACTTTTTACAGCTGCCACATAGCACTTCACACCTGCTGTTGTGAAGTATAAAAATAAAAAATGAAAGCATTTATCACAACCAAATTGCAAGAGAATGCAAACTCAGTTCGATTGAGTCTGTTCATGAGGGATAGTGAATACGTGCAACATTTTCCAGCCCCCTAGCACCGGCTTGAGCGGTTCTCAACTGTACAAAAAGTCAGTAATTTGTGTTCTTCCAATTCAATAAATACTTTTTGGTTTCCTTTTAAAGTTTCAAAACATGTTCTCATTTGCCATAAAACTAAGTATCTTTTGGCGGCTATTGCGTTTTGGTAATATATGTATAACTTAGTTATTTTGTGTTAAGTGTGGAAGTCTAAATACGACGTTTTATATGCCAAAAAAAACCCCTGGCGTCCGTCCTTCTGTCAGTCCGTGAGCAATTTGAGCATAACTTAGGATGATTGATTATAGTGGGAAGATGACCCCTATTGATTTTGGGGACACAAGGTCAAGGTCACTAACCTTAAAACTAAAAACAGTTTTCGAAGTATAACTTCAGTTCCATTCGGCCCACAATATTTAAACTTCATAGGATGAGTGTCCATATTGGGTGGAAGACCCCTTTTGATTTTGGGTCACAAGATCAAAGGTCAAGGTCACTATTACGTTAATACTGAAAATAATTTCAGAAGCATCACTTAAGTTCCATTTGGGTAACAATATTCAAACTTCATAGGATTCTTGTCTATATTGGGCAGAAGACCACATTGAATTTGTGGTCACAAGGTCAGAGGTCAAGGTCATTTCTAACTTAAAACTTAATACAGTTTTTGGAGCTTTACTTAGGTTCCATATGGCCCACAATATTCAAACTTCATACGATGATTGCCTATATTTGGTAGAAGACCCTTATTGATTTAGGGGTCATAAGGTTAAAGGTCAGCGTCACAATGACCTTTATCCTGAAAAGTCTGGTTTCTGCCATTTGGCCCACAGTGTTCAAACTTCATAGGATGATTGTCTATATTAGGGAGAGACCTTATTGATTAAGGGGTCATAAAGTTAAAGGTCAGCGTCATAATGACCTTTATCCTGAAAGTCTGGTTTTTGCCATTTGGCCCACAGTGTTCAAACTTCATAGGATGATTGTCAATAATGGGTAGAAGACCCCTATTAATTTTTGGGTCATAAGGTCAAGGTCATTTTCACATTAAAACTGAAAACGGTTTGCGCTAAATAACTTAAGTAGTAATCAACCTACAGCTGTTAAATTTAAAGGATGAACAGCCATGTCAAATACATGACCCCTATAGATTTTAGGGTCTTAAGATCAAAGGTCATGGTAACAATGACCTTAACATTGATATTTCATAAGATGATCACTTATATTGAGTACATTAGTTATAAGCCCTAAAAATTTGCTAACATTATCTTATATCCCTGGCGACATTCTGTCCATCCGTCGTAGTATAATTATTTAATTCCCATGTCTTACAAATGCTTTAACCTTTCTAAAAAACATTTTTGGCCTAGCGGTGCTCTTGTTATTTCATGCTTTTTGGTGGATTACTGATTTATTCGTGAAAGTTTTATTTGATAATTTCACAGTGAAAATTATCAAAATATAATTTAACACTTTTTAATGACTACGTTTTAAATATTTCCCCATGAGGTGCCTCAATTTTATTTTTGCAGAAATTTCTGACACTGTCAGGGCTCTTTAGAGAAAAGCAAAGCTGAAATTGACGAATAACTTAAATTTCAAAAGGAATGAAAAGAAAAAAACTTACTTCAATTCATTCAAATTACCAATCACCAAATATCGACTCTATTATTTGTCACATTTTACAATCTGAAACTGCTCTTGAAATCATTTGGGCATAATTTAGTATCCTACGAGAAATAAATGCCTAATGCAAAATGGAAACTTCAAAAGCAATGACAGTCATCTGTTGAAACGATAGCCTTTCAACAATTTCGTGCTTTCTAAACTCGTAGCGGCTCGGCTTTTTTTAATGTTTACACATCTGTCAACAATTTTAATTGTCTGTAACAATCTTCAAATAGGTTTTCTTTCTTGTAAATATATGTATGACTAATATATTCAAATAATATTTATCTGAATCAAACACAATTATTTATTCACAACTTTTAAAAGTGGCGGCCGCTTATATTACACAAAGCCTATTCTAATGTAAACTAAATTTTTTATGTCACAAAAACATGTCTTCCTAAAATGTGTATGGTCACTCATGTAAAGTTTCATTGAAATCCCACCAGAAGCTTGACCTGTAAAAGCTGGACAAGATTTTTCTCTTTTTAACTCTGGCGGCCATTTTATGCAGCAAAGCAAAACATGCTGGTGATGTGAACAACTAGGTATGGTACTGGTCACTCCTGTAAAGTTTGGTTGAAATCCCACCGGTAGTTTAACTTGTGAACCCCGGACAAGAATGTTTTTATTTTAAGCTCTGGAGGTCATTTTATGAAGCGTAGCAGAACGTGCCGGTGAGAAGCATAACTAGTGATGGAAGTGATCACTCCTGTAAAGTTTGGTTAAAATCCCACAAGTAGTTTGACCTGTGAAGGGCGGGCAAGCTTAATGCGGACGGACGGAAAACGGGCGGACAACCTGACAACCTGACAAACGGACAGACAGACTGCAAAGGCAAAAACAATATGTCTCTTAAAAATTGTGGGAGACATAATTCGCCGTAAGTAACGGAAATATGGTTGGATGGTGCGACTTTTTCTTCCACTAGAATTTTTAGTTTTTATTATTGAAACAAGCGATCATTCATATTTTTTAATAAGATAAATAATTTCACCGCCATTTAACGTTGATCGTCGAACTTATTTTTCAGCTCAAGACTTATAAACAAGAAACATGGCAATGCCATGAAACCAGGTTTTCAATATTCACCATTGTAGATAAACATATGTTGTAGTTGAACAACAAATACAAGCAACAAACAATATAACTATAAGCAATGTAAATCATGAATAATGTAGGAGGAATTGCATTCAGAAGAAATTGTTCACTATATATTCTAATTAAGGAAAAAAAGGGCTTGGTCAAAATCCGTTGAAAAATGTAGGAGAAGTTGCGCACAGAAGAAATTGTTCACTATATATTCTATATAAGGAAAAAAACAAAGGGCCATAATTAGATCAAAAATTAATTGATCACAAAAACCCTACACTATGTGCAAGGGCACTTGATGACAAAGCTTCTGTGAAAGTTTGGTCAAAATCTGTTGAGAAATGTAGGAGTTGCACACAGAAGAAATTTTTTACTTTTTATTCTATATAAGGAAAAAAACAAAGGGCCATAATTAGGTCAAATATTATCCAATCACAAAACCCCAACAATATGTGCAAGGGCACGTGATGACAAAGCTTCTGTGAAAGTTTGGTTAAAATCTGTTGAGAAATGTAGGAGAAGTTGCGCACAGTAGAAATTGTTTACGAACGCCCGCCCGCCCATCCGCCCGCCGACATACCTCAGTCTAATTTCTAGTTTTTTCCTTCAGAAAACCTGGTTAAAAATTCGACTTAATTGGACATAAATTGAAGCTACCAGTGGCAAAAACAGATTTTGATAGTAAAGTTAATATTAAAGAGATTTCTTTTAAACTTCTTCCTAGTATAAAATAAAGAAAATTTGTTTGTTTGATTGGTATGCTGTAATTTTATTTTATCTCGTGGACTTTAAAACAGTATTCTCACCCGTGGCTACGTCACTTGTTAGAATACAGTTTTTAAAGCTCACTCAATAAAATAAAATTTCATCTTACTCACAAACAAATATCATCTATGTTTACATTTTGCTTTCATTATGCCAAATTAGTATACCAACAGAGCAATTCTTTCCAGGAAATAAGCATATAACATGCACTAAATAAATTATTATAGCATTTAAATAACATGTTTATTTTTCTTAAAAGAATATTATATAAATAAAACATGGGCTTGTTGGAAATTCCCGAGGAATATTCCTAGAACATAAGTCCTTAGACGAGGGTAATATTTTCTACGAGGGGTGATATTTTAACTGTTGTGCACAACCCCGTGTGTTATTTATTTTATTACCCCGAACAAATGATGTGATGATCTGAAAATTTCAAGTTAATCTACCTGTAATAAAATTGAACTAACAAGACCAGTAACTCAACTGTTCTAACATTGCAAGTTGTAAATGTACTTGAAAGTTTTTTTTCTTATATTCTTTATTCTTTATTTAAGCAAATGATGATATGTACCAGTCATAAACATACATAAGCGTTGTTTCAATTAGAAATAAAAACACAAACCCTTTTATATTTCTAATCATTACCCCTCACTTTTTTCGTAATGTTAATTTTCCATAGGCCTCTGGGAGTAATTCTTACTGTTAATGCAAGTGTACCACGTGACTAAGAATTTGGTACATAGGTAACAGTATTTTTAACAATATAAAATCTGACCACGTGGTCTATTTTCTAAAAACAATGAAATAAAATGTTAGGTCCCCGAAAAGAAAAGAGGAAACACTTTGGGGAGCATTAAAAGAGAGGGGTAATAAATACTTTTAAATATCTGAGAAGTAATGTGCCTGAAATGATATTATTTTTGTTCAGAGCACTTTGGATCACATCCTCACATACCTCAGCAATGTAGTTGTAAGGGCCATTACAGACTGCAGGAATATCACCAGGGATCAGGAGATGGTATGAGTTTTCATAACTATAGTACACAATATCACTACAATTGTTCAACTTAGTTAATAACTAAATTTTTCAATTGTTTGTATTCTAATAGAAGTTGATTAGTAATATTCCAGAATAATACTTGTTTTGCATTTATTTATTTATTCCAATCAAATATTTCGGTGAATCTTAAAGTCTAAGTATACCCTTTTGTTTTCTGCATTTATTGCAACATATTCAAAAAAGAATACCTTTAAATTGCTTTGTATTTTTTTTATTTTAAAGAAATGATTTTCCTTTATATTACATGATATTTAAACGAAATGCAAATCAAGTTTTGCATTCAATTTTAATATAACAGATGACTTTTGCAGGTGTATCTGATATCAAAGACCATTGTCTTCGGAATGACAATTCATATCGAGGTAGGTAGTCATTTATTAAGTACGTGTACTTCTACGCACTTTCAAAGGAATATTATAAAAATACTTAAAGATCCTGTAACACAATTTTTATGGTTTTATATCATAAATTGCATGCCCAAATTAAGATTTTTCTATATTGTAAGTTCCAAAAAGCATTATTTATAAAGATATTACCGATGTAAATAAAGGGAGTTAATTAGAATTTATTTTTTTATAAAGTCTAAGTCAAATTTTCAATAAGAAATGAATGCATATATCTTAATGATTACATATAATGTGCACAAATGTTTGCAATGAATATTTTACATTTCCTTCGATGTTTGAAAATTGATTTATAAATATATAATTATATACAAATATAAAAATTCCACTTAAGTGTGGTATTATGCGCTAAATTATAATTCCACTAAAGGTAAATTGAATCTCAACACAATGTTCCGTTTTATAATTTAATGTTTCTTAACAGTAACTTAATATCACGAACATTTATTATATATCAAATATACACAGGTTATCCTGACGTTAACAAAGTGATATTAAAAATAGTATATAAATAGCACATAGGCTTTTGGGTAACAGTGAAAATATCATCACGTGGAAAAGTGTATTAACAAAATAACAATGATATACTATGTCCATCATATCTGTAACGTTTCACTGATTAAAATTGTTAAATAATCTTTTGTTGCATGCTTTAATCGTCTGCATGTCCCAGTTTGACACATAATTTTTCACAACTGCAATTACTTCCGTTGAAAACGGATGTTTACTTTTGATTATTCAACAAAAAGTTGTTTTTTTATACGCGAAAATAACTCCAGGGTGCAAACAACTTTCAACTGACCAATAAAAATTTAACATCTTTGTTTCTTAAAATACAAAATGGCCAATCAGGTTTCAATACAAAATAATGTATCAACATCAACATCAAATTTATAACATCAATCATCACTTAGGCATTTTATCAGTCATAAGGTTTAACAACTTAATAAGTACAGACAGCTTAATTGACTTTCAGCAAAATTGATTGGACAAAGAGGAAAAGCCACATTTAATCTTCCGGTTATATAATTATAATTTTGACATCTGTTATTAAAATATATAATATTTGCAACTAAACATATTTGAAATTTCACACATTGTTTTGAAAATATGACCTTTTTAAAAATGATTACATTGATAAGTTTTTGTGTTTATAGGAATAGCATGCACATTTATTCTTTTTTTTCATAAATGTATTTCACTGTTGCACAACAGTGGTAACAACCTTAATTACAACATTCTGGATCCTTAAAAGGGTTACAACCCAATGCAACTTTTGGACAAAGATCATGGCGTTATATATAAGAAAAATAGTCAAGATCCACGTTAGTTTTGATAAATATCTTTTTCCAAATTTCTTTCTTCCTGAAATAACAATGGATGTGAAAACTGTGTATTGCTTTCTTTTTTTTCAAGCTCATTATGTCAATTTAAATTTTGAAAATATTTAGGAAAATAAAGAGAATTTCACTTAACACATGAAACAGGGGAGTTCATGCGTTATTTAGAAATAAAACTCTGTGTAGAAAATTTAAAAAAGAGCATCGCAAAAGCGGGACAATATAAGCCCGAAATTAATTTGTTTTAGTATAATAGTAATAAAAAGATCTATAAATTAGGATAAAGGCTCAATCAAGAAACAATGTTTTATCTAAATTATCATTATGATACTAATTGACTTTCATTCCATCCATCAACCGGAAATGAACAGTGCATATTTATCAAAAGTCAGTCAGAGTGTGACCTTGACCTTTGAGTTTCAGACCTAAATTTTTCACATTACACATTTAGGATAAGATAGGGGCACAAAACATATAGTCACATACATTTATCTGAATTGAGGCTGTTTTGGATTCTCAATTTAAGTCGTCTAAAAGTCAAGTTAGTCCGCCAACCTAGAATGAACTATAAAAAATGCATCTTCATTGATTAAAATTTGACAAAGGTCATATATGATATATTGAATGCTAAAAAAAACATAAATGTGTTGCTTCAAAATAAATGGCATTTGTATTATCTATTTGCTGTAAGTGTCGCACAACTATTATATAAATGTAATAAATACAGAAAGTTACAAATGACAATGCAATTGAATTTCAGATGTGTACCGTCACTTCTTTGAATCTCAAGGGTCAAATGGAAATAACATTGCATGCAGAACACATCATTCAGGTTTGCCATTTTGTAACAGCTTTTAACTTCTTATAAAACCTATAAAAGCAGTGTCTTTTGTAAAATTGAGTTTTATATCATTTATACACTATAATGTTTTAGTGAAATTTCTAAAGTTTAAATAATGGACTGTGACAAAATTTAATGTTTATCAAAGCATTAAGTTTTTAATGATTTGATTATATATTGCAGTCATCAGTTTTCTTTAGGCTAGCCGAATTGCCTTCTTCCACACATATTTCTTTTCAAATTTCAATGAAAATGGCAAAAATTCTCTTTATCGATTGCCATAGCGATTTGTTCATTGATGGTATCTACTTGCTTTCAAAAATCGAAAATATGAAACGCATTAAACAAGAACCTATTATTAATTCAAGGTACTTCGCCAATCTGTCAAATGTACTCATCTCATTGCACTGCTCGCAGAATGATTTGCCAAGCCCGAATCATTATCAAACAATCAATTGTAATGATAAGGTTATAATGTATTCGTTTCATAATTTAAGATCCAGCCTCATTTTCCCCATTACGGTGTATTGAAAGTATGATCTTTGCCAAGATCAACAATAATATATCAACGTAGAGACGAAGTATCGATCAAAACACCAGTCACACAGTTCCACCCAGTAGGACACCGAACTTAGGGCGAAGGCAACCAGAAAGTCTCAAAATAGATAGCAGGAGAGAGCTAAGGCGGGAATATTAGGGTAATTAAAAGCGGGATGAGCATGAACGGTTGTATTAATGACATTGTCGGTACATTACATCCAGACAAGTCTTCCTTTAATTAAAACTGCTATACAAGAATATATTTTATATCTTCATCATTTAAATTTCAGTTTGGAATTACCTAAGGCATATTTCGACCGACACATATTACCGCAATTCTTGTCAGAAAGATATCATATACCATCTAAGTTGTAAGTTACTACGATATTTCTATTTCAGAAATCTATATAATTATTCTTCTCTGAGATCATCAAGTGCACGAAATGGTTTTAAGCAAGATTGATATTTTAGTTTTATAAACTTTTAATGATATTTTAGTTTTATAAACATCCATTTTGGTTTTCATTTTAAAACTCTATCTTAAAAAAAGAAGAAATAAACAAGAAGCAATAAAATATAAGTTAAGTTACAATTGATAACGTATTTCTTTGATGTTTGGACAAACATATTTTGTAGTCATCAAAGCATTTAGCCGTGAAAAATATTTGATAGAAAAGATATTTACTTTAATGACAAAGCATTCAATAATTGTTTCATGTATGATTAAACCAATCGTGCATTTTTTTCCAGATGCGTTTGAAAAACATCCTGACCACTGTGTATGCACTGGTGAGTTTCAATAAAGAATATTGCATGTGTATCACATAAAAACCAACTATGTATTCTACATAAGTTAAGGGGCATATTTGATAATATTAAGAATATGGCATATTAGCTTGGAAAAAGGTGTTCTTGTTTGTGAAAATCTGAAAGGCGTCATCTGCTAAATTGCCCTTATATAGTCAGAACACCCATGACAATGTTATCATACTGCAATCAGTTAAGAGATTGTCAGAGTAAACTAAAGAATAAGGTTAGTTGTTTGTCAATCTTTCGATAATAAGATCTCATTATATCCATATAAGGACGCATATATGCTTTTCATTTTCAAACTAACATTTTCTCTTAATCATACAGAGAATGTGAGTATTTTGCAAACAAGTGTTTCTATGATTATGGCCGAATGGTTAACATGTCGGACTAGCAATATAGGGATTGTTGGCCGCGTGGGCTCAACCCCAAATCAGGTGCAAGCCGTTGTTTACTAGAGCATTCCTTGTTTAGTACTGGTTAGTTCCAGGAGCAGATATGAAAAAGTCGATTGATTCCTACACAGTCAAACTAAAATAAATTCTGTATAATCGTGAGTTTTGCCCAAGCCAGTGCTCGAGGCGTGGATTGTAAGTTGCATTTCTAGTACCGTCCATAAACAGGCTCAATAGTAATATATATAACTGAAAATAATCATGAGAAAATGTCAAGTGACTTTGATTTTTGCCTGTTTACTTACGATTTACACTTGGATGGGCATAACGTCACCTTACTACTTCAGCAAATTCACAACAAACAAGTGGTCAGCATTCTAATGGCCACCAAGGGCAAACAGCCGATCCATGCAGTCAGTACAGCAGTTACAATCGTAAGTCTTCAAATGTTTTCGGTATATTCCGTAAAGTTTCATAAAGATGCGTTTACGTGACTTTGTGAATTAATGTCACATTGACACTTGATGAAGTTTCTCCAAAAGATTTGATATTCGAGCTAAGCTTATTATTATAACGTTTTCGAAAATAAGTGGCTTGGAGAGAAAAAGAAACACAAGTATGTCATTCCTTTGTTGTAGTTATGTTGACGAATATCTTTTAAAAAATTACAGTAGGGTAGGCATAAAGTGTTACGAAATGAAAGACACATTTTACACAAGTCATAAAACATTAGACAAACTACTAATCTACGTTGTATAGCACTTGAATATTTCTCTTTCAGGACTCCTTGACCTTGGAAATACGAAGGACTGTTTGAGTGCAAACTCAGGTTTGAATGATTTATTTCATGATCAATTGTATACTTTCTATGTATGCCATATCTAACAACTAAGGCCCATCGCATGTTAAACTGAATATGACATATTCATCGGAAAACTACCAGTGTATCTATTTAGGTCCTATCCAATTCTGACGATCCCCCCCAAAAAAAACAACATCAAATTAACTTAGGCCGAAGATGCACTAGAATGTCAAGGTCTAACAACTTTAGCTACTGAGCAATCGTTCAATATTCAGGTATTATCCCATTTTCAAAGTCAAATTGATACATTTCTTTATTTATACTATTTTTTATACTATTTTTATCTGATTATTGTCAGATACTTTTTTCTCAATGTTTCTTTTTAATCGGATTTTGTCTGACTTTTAGTTTTTCCTGTTGAGCACTTAAATCCTCATGATTATTTCCTCCCTTGGCATACCGTAATCAATGCACTGATAAGGGGGGATCTCTGTGTAGGAGATTGATTATGCACTATGTCAAAGTCAGGGACAAAGTCTTTCTTTAAGATGTTCAGTTAAGCACTATGTGTTGATTTTTCACAGTCTGACACAAATCCTTATTTTTAAATTAAATTATTTTAAATTTTCTAATCTAGAAAATTTGTCTTATTGATATTTTTCACACACTGACACAAATGCATACAAATAAATAAATTTGCGTAGAGCAAATACCACAGAAATACTTATTTGCGCCTTTTTCATTATGAAGTCATAATTGATCATTGAAAATACATAACATGCGTGTTTATAAGATCCTGTAACACAATTTTAATGGTATAGTATCTTAAATATAATGCTCCAATGAAGATTTATCAATATTTGTAAAGATATTACCGAATTTTCATTTCATGTTAATAAAGGGAGGTAATTCGAAATTTATTTTTTCTATAAAGTCCAATTCAAATTTTTCAACAAGAAATGTATGCATATATTTCAAAGATTACATATAATGTGGACAAATATCTGCAGTACACATTTTACATATTCTTCGATGCTTGAAAATTGTTTTAGAAGCATAATTATATACATATGTAAAATTTCGCTTAAGTGTGGTAACAACCTTAATTACAACATACAAGATATTTAAAGGGTGTTTTCTTCTGACATTAGGTCTTATTCTTATTTCTTTTTCAGTATGGCACTATCTAGATGATCTCCAAGTCAAAAGTTCAGAATGTCGTAAGAAAATTCAGCATCATATGGCCAGTAAGCATTTTTGTATATATTTACTTTTCGGACACTTACATGTTGTATTATGTTTCATTACTTTTAACAATATCTTTAAAATGATTTTATAGTTCATTTTAGCCATTAAGATTTATATAAGCGTGGTTTTCATCGACTCTGTAAAGGGGACTCCACTTAGATTTTTCTAACAAGAAGAGACTGATTACAATTTTACGAGATTAATGCTACATGTTATGTAGGTGTAGACCAATTGCTTGCCCTATGTATTAAAAAAAACATAATCTTATTGTGAAAAATGATTTACAATTGAAAAGCATTGCAACCCTTTCCTCTCAAATTGGGATAAAATACCACAAAATTACAATTGTAATAGAGGCGTTTGGACATCGGTGTACTGTTTAAATACACTATATCTACTATGCCAGTTATGGGCCTTATGGCAATAATAAAATGTGCACATAACGTTATTAAATTAACTATTTTAGCTAACGTTTTAGGGTATTATTTGTAACATTAGTAACATTATATGGGTATCTCTTTTCCAGACAAATACCAACACGCAACTTCACAGCATCACGATGGGTGTACATGTCGCGCGCGTGCAGCGCTTCAAAACCACGAAATATACAGAATAAGTTTGTTATATTTTGTTTGTTTTTTGGTTTGTTTTTGGTGGGGGTGGGGGCGGGGCGTGTTTTCTGTTGTTTTTTTTTATTTTAATTTATGTAACAAACGTGTATATCTATATCCCTAAGATATGGGAACACAAGCACACATGTTAAAATACAATCTTTTACAAAACAATACCCCTTTTTTTACAGATAACGGAAGCCTGTTTGACTGTAGGGATCACACAAGCGGCAGCTTATATCAAGGTTGGTAATTTTGTACATTGCAAGTAATTAAATTGTCATTCATCATTTTTAAAGGTACATTTTGCCTCAGAAATCAATATTTTTAGAATATTTTATAACTACCTCAAATGTTATTTAAATTATCTAATAATGGATTAAGAGCATGTTTGATATTTGACAACTAAGGAAAATAGTAACGAACATGCAATAATGTGTCACAAAGGTATGAAAAATGTAAACAAAGTAGAACTTTGACCTCAAAATACTACATCAATATAATTATACAAATTGCTGACGGAAATACAGAAGCAAACGTTAGTTAATCTATGTGGAAAATGAGTAATTTTTGGACATTGTTACAATATACCAAAACTGAAATATTGTGAATTATTGAAAATGAAATCATAGCATATCTGAGGCAAAATGGGCATTTAAATAAATTTTATAAAACGAAGTTTTTATTTACCATTTTATATCCACTTGCAATCAATTTAAACAAATTCAAACTTCTAACAATGGTGTCTCCATTGCAATTATGAGAACACTTTCATTTAATCTATCCCCATATATTATAGTTAATCAAAAGGCTGCAAGCTCTGCGGTATTTTCTGATCTTTGCAATCTAAATCGTACTGAATATCTGTATGTGTTTTCCTGTATAAGTTTATTTTTATGTACTATAAGTCATCTTGCAGGGCACCAGAGTTTGATACATACGGAATTTTGCATAACTAGAGTTGCATCAAAAATAATTTATGTTCATTTTTATTTGTTTGGGTCGTCAGACCAAACAAATAATGGTAGCGAAATTTCAGAGTCTAATGTTGCTAATTGCAAATGCCGAAAGTAGTCCAATTTTTTGGAGCGGTTACTTCCCTTTTGTATGTACACTAAAGCCGAAAAATTCAGGGGAGATCACTTCGTAAAGATGGTCAAAGACAGGCGCATCAATTTTCAAGCAAAGTAATTCCCGAATGGTCAAAGATTTCTAATATTGTTTTATTGTATTTTCTGATCGAAAATAACTAAATACAAAGCGGACATTCAATCTCTGACACAGAAGTTTACTACAAACCTAACAACAAGTAGTTCTCAAAACAGCTAAAAACTAGCGATTTAAAAGAAAGAAATATTTTATTTTGTTACAAGTATCCAACAAATTACAACGCATTTAAAGTTAAACAATAGCGTTGGCTTATAGAATTGTCAATAAATGCACAATCACAAATTACGCGGATGAATATGATTTTATCAATGAAAATACTATTTTTAGCCATGTTGATTACCGAATACTACACAAACCGAGTAGTGGAATATATAGATTCTACATGCCGGACCGTTTGGGCGAGAGGATTTTTGCTAAAATATCTACTTCAATTATAAACAACAGGTTTAGCCTAAACAAAATACCTCGAAATTAATAAGGATTACAAACCCGAACTGCAATGGAAGTTCCAAATTTAGAATGATTTGATATTATTCAGACACACTGTGTATAACTTTTCCGTGGTACAAGGGTAACGCGCTCGCCTCGTGAGTGAGAGGTCTCGAGTTCGTATCCAAGTCGAGAAAACTTTTTTTTTTGTTAAATTCTTTTTTTTAAGTGTTTTTGTTAAGGAAGTAGCCATGATATACAAAGATAAAGTGTGGCTGTCGTAAAAAAAGGACATAAATGATTTTTGATGCAACTCTAGTTATGCAGAATTACGGATGTATCAAACTCTGGTGCCTTACAAAAGGAATTATAATACATAAAAATAAACTTATACAGGAAAATGCATACAGATATACAGTACGATTGCAAAGATCAGAAAATACCACAGAACTTGCAGCCGTTTGATTCTTTATAAATATACATGCTTATAGTAAGCTCCAGGATTATTTACATCTGTGTTAAACAACAGTTAAAGTCGTTACAAGCCCTAATTTAGAATAATATGGTTTTCTTCAGGCCGTTCACATATAAATTCACCGTGGCTGAAGGGTTTTCGGGCTCGCTTAGGAAGCGATAGGTCTGGAGTTCAAATCCCAGTAAAGGTTACTCATTTTTTTAAATTGTTAAAGTCAAATAAACATTGGATTGAATATCAGTGTTGCAATTAGTCTAATAGCCAATTTACTACAATTAAAACGCTGGAAAGCATTGGTGGCACTAAACATATAATCTCACAACCTGCACCTTTCTTACATTCTGAGACCCAAACAAATTCAGCGCCTTCTGTGCTTTGATTTATGATAGCCACACTTTATCCTTGCATATCGTGGCTATTTCCTTAACAAAGACATTAAAAAAAAAAAAATTAAACTAGAAATGTGTCATCATGCCACGGATGCCCCCGCATGCAGCCAAAATTTCAGATGTTATAATATTTAGTTCCAAATTTGTTTGCACAAATTATTTTTTTCATTTGCAGTTCAAAGCCCTTAAAACTTTTCAATGTTAACACAAACCATTTTCATACAATGTTCAAAGCACTGAAATTATTTAGTCTTAACCTTTTGAAAATAGCATATTTCATATTTGTAGCCAAAATAATGGCTACATACATTTCCACAAAAGTATGAGTGCTGAAACTGAAAGTTCAAAATTTTTCCAACATTCAAGAAAGATAAGTTTGTCCAAAATCATTGAACCACGACCAAATTCAAACTTAAACTGCTTATTCCTAAGATGTATCTATATTATTTTCAAAGTGAAAGGGACATAACTCTGCCAAAAAATCATCGAACCATGACCAAATTCCAACTTGACCTACCCATTCCTTTGACATATCCATATGTCAAATTTGAGTTGAATATGTAACACTGTTGGGTAGATAATGAACAGAAACTGTAAATTTCATATTATTTTCAAAGTAAAGGGGGCATTACTCTGCCAAAAATCATTGAACCATGACCATATTCGAACTTGGCCTGGGCATTCCAAAAACGTATCCATATGTTTAATTTGAGTTGAATGTGTTGTACTGTTGGGGAGATAATAAATAGAAACTGAAAATTTCATATTATTTTCAAAGTGAAAGGGGCAAAACTCTGCCAAAAATCATTGAACCACGACCAAATTTGAACTTGACCTGCGCATTCCTTTGATGTATCCATATGTCAAGTTTGAGTTGAATGTGTTGTACCGTTGGGGAGATAATGAATGGAAACTGAAAATTTCATATTATTTTCAAAGTGAAAGGGGCATAACTCTGCCAAAAATCATCGAACCATGACCACATTCGAACTTGACCTGTATTTTCTCAAGACATATCCATATATCAAATTTGAGTTGAATGTGTTGTACCTTTGGGGAGATAATGAACGGAAACTGAAAATTTCATATAATTTTCAAAGTAAAAGGGGCATAACTCTGCCAAAAATCATCGAACCATGACCAAATTCGAACTTGACCTATATTTTCTCATGACATATCCATATGTCAAGTTTGAGTTGAATGTGTTGTATCGTTGGGGAGATAATGAACGGAAACTGAAAATTTTATATTATTTTAAAGTAAAAGGGGCATAACTCTGCCAAAAATCATCGAACCATGACCAAATTCGAACTTGACCTGTATTTTCTCATGACATATCCATATGTCAAATTTGAGTTGAATGTGTGCAACCGTTACTTAGATAATGAACGGAAACTGATGATGACGGAATGACAGAATGACGGAATGACGGAATGACGGAAGGACGGAATGACGGAAGGACGGAAGGACGGAACAGGGTAACACTATATGCCCCGGCCATTACATGGCGGGGGCATAAAAAGAAAGTTCAAACTATAACTTACATATGTTATGGTTAGTATTTGTTGTGTAAAAATTAATCTATGTTAAATAATTTTTTCAAAATAAACATCATAATATGAACACGAGATAATTTGATTTTATATGAAAAATAGCACTATTCTGAATGTTTTGGTCACTCAAAAAAGTCGGAAAAAGAGACTTGTTTTAACATATATGCATTGTGACAGTTTACATTTTCTAGATAAAATGAACTATTTTTTATTTGCTAGATAAAATGAACTGTTTTTTATGAGTCTTGGTTATTTTCAAACAACACTTCTATTTTTTACAAAGCAAAATTTAATATTCACCATGATATATGTTATTTATACGCGGAAAGTCCTAAGCGGGGCCAAAGGCCCCGCGAGGGCTGTAGCGCTCTTAGATAACATGTATGACGCGTATCAGTTCAAAGGAAATCAAATTCAAACTAAATGAAAATTTCAAAAAAATATATATCCTATACCTAATGAGCTGTGAAAAAATCCTTAGTTAACTGGGCGCTGCCATTTTGAAATCCTTTTGAGCGCTTTTACATAATTCAGACTATTGCAGACGCATGCTAAGTAACACTTCCGGTGAAAGAATGATGTACAAAATCAGAAAATAAACCTGCATTTCATTGATAAGAATTATAGTAACGATTATAATTATAAAAAGTTATTCAAACATATCCTTTTTGATAAATTAGCACATTAAAAATAACGTAAAAACAACAACTGTGATTAGAGATTAACAAAAATGGCGGACGGGATTTTCCAAACGCCGACGCATGCGCAGAGGTCCGGAGTTTTTCGGTTCCGGTGATAGGTTGAACACCACCAATTTATTTGCTTTGTTTATTCAAAAAAGATCTGGTTTACATGTACACTAAATATGTTATGCTAAAATCATAATTCATAAGAGCTTTCCGCGCCATAGGTAGCACCTAATTTCATATTAGTGTCATTCTTTGACTAGACGCCAAAATTTTATAAAAAAGTAATATTCATATTTGGTATTCTCTTCATATTCATGAATATGAATTCATTTTCGGTATTTAGTCATACCCGCTATTAAGTCATGGTTCTGGTGACAGTGATTTTCCTACATATATAACATACTCCGATAAAGGGCCTCTTCCCAATTGAAATTTTCTTTAAAATCATGCAGTTTTCCCAATAATCTGAACTGAAACATGCTTTTTCTTCCCAAATTAGCAATTTTAGCGATAATTTTTCCCAAATCAAGAGGCTAAGGC